TACTAAAATATAATGTACTGTCATCATAGCAAAGATAAAATTAATCGGTTATTAGAAATGAGTTATTAAAACTATTATATTTAGAAATGTTGAAAAAAAAACTTCTTTCCATTAAACAGAAATTGGGGAGGAAAAGGATTGCTAATATTCAGGAGGGCTAATAATTCTGACTTCAACTGCATATATACAGTTATTTTCCACCCTGCAAAGGAAAGAGAAATAAATACAATAGAATAAAAATATGAAACAAACTGCTTTAAGCATCTTCACTGTAAGAAAAACTCTTTAGCTACAAAAGTCCTTCAGTCAAGAGGGAGAGGGGTTGTATTAATCATGATAAAACAGGCGGCAGCTATTGTGCTCTGTCTCTTTAATGGTTTCGCTTTCATGCGTCTTTTGATTCTCAACTCGTTTGTTTTTTACACAAATGAGGGTTTATATAAATAATCACTAAACACTGCGTTTTGACACCTATTTGAACATTAAAGCGCTAAAGTTAATGACTTTAGATGTGTGTGCTCTCTGCTCGTCGCAATGTGCGAATGAGACCAAGTGCTGACCACATGCTTCTGACTGTCTGTGCGCCGCACACACACGCACATAAGCATGCGGTCTTTCGCGCTTTTAAGAACAACAAGTGAGGATAACTGGAAAGGGGGCGGTAAATAATGGAATAATCATTTATCTCGGTTAATGGTTTTTCATAATCGTTAGAAGCCGTAATCGAAATCGGATTTTCGATTAATTGCACAGGCCTAACAGCTGTCATGTAAAATGGTTTGCCAATGTTTTTAGTTCCTTTTCTGGTCTTTGAATGTCTCGGACCCTTGCTGTCAATGGAGGATGAGAGAGCTCTCAGATTTCATCTAAAATATCGGAGATTGAAATGACATGAAGGCAATTAATAAAAATTTATTTGGGTGGGCTAACCCTTTAAAGAATTATTCTGCAATCTTTTCAGGTCAAAAATCAATGAGTTTGAACATTAATAATGTTACATAAGAATGATATTTGAATGCGTTTAATTTTACTAAAATATTTAGGCATTGTTATTATTGTTAAATATTTTTTAAAATACATTTTTGCAACTATTTTCTGCATTTTTGTGGCTTTATAATTGAGGCTCTTGAAAACTGTTTCTTTCTTTAAGCATATGAAGACAAAAAGCAGTGGAAAAGGCAAGAAATATCATCTCGTTCCTGGTTCAATAGTCCATCATCTGCAGCAGGTGGAGCCGCTGGAAGTCTTTTGCAAAAGTTAGGCCAGCAGGGTCGAGGCGCAGCAGTTGCTAAAGCACTGAGCTCTTCTACATCCACTTTACCGATACTGGTGCGTAGGAAATCTGAAAGCAGCAAGTCGGAAACCAACAACACTATGAGCACTATTTTGCCAGTTGACACTCATCCAGCAGCTAAGGACACAGACGCCACGGACTTACCATCCATTGTTAATAACATCAATGTGAGCATAAACACAGACATTAACAGCTGCACTACAGATGCTTGTAAAGCAAGCTCTTCATCAGAGGAGGAAAACAGCATTGACTTGTGTGCTGCTGGAAAGTCTCTGGTTGCAGATTACAGTGACTCTGACTCGGGCAGTGAGGTCTGATGTAGACCGCAAGGTGAAATTGTAGCAAAACTCTGATTCCTACATGTATCAGTTCTTCCTATGGTCCACAATTAGTCATTATTTACTAAAAAATAAAATCTTCAATGATGAAAAATGTCAAATTCAAAGCACTGATCTTTAAACTTAAGCTTCATTCAGATTATTCTCATTACTTTTTTTGATGGCAATTTACTTGACGTAGGGTTTTGTGGACATTTGTACATTCTCGTAGTTTATGGCAATCGATGCCATGTCTGCAACGTTTCGAGGCATCATGACAGAAACTCAAGCAGGTTTAATTTTTTCACTTGTCATCCACGAGTTCTGTCACACTGTTTTCCAAGAAATAGAAGAAAGCTTTGTGGAGTGACACGCTTGGACTTTGCAGCCTGGTGAGTGAGTGAGCATTGAAATATATGTTAACTAACAAATTACTCGTTACGTTCTCATTCATAATGTGGTGTGGGAAATTTTATGTGAACATCTTTTAAGGTAACTGGTTGTATACTGCTTTGTTAAAAAAATCTCAATCTGACGCAGTGACTATTATAATTGACAGCAAAAATTGTGTAGTCTGAATGAGACTGTAGTTGAATTACTTTTTACACATGTCATAACAAGGAGGCGATAGAGATATACTCAGATAAATTAAATAGCTATGATTATGTACCATTAAATGTATCAGTAGGTACTACAGTATGTTAGATGAGAGGCAACGGCTGCGTCTAAAACAAACCGCCTACTACTCTGTAGGTACTGCATTTGAGTTTAAACATACTACTCGGCCATTAGAAAAGTATGTTCTAGTATGAATGGGCATACGAGCAGTATGAATGGAGCTCAGATCTGCTATTTTGTCATGATCCACATGACCTACCCGAGTGAGTTGCGTTGCTTCACTCCCATTCATGAATTCTCTCGCAGGGCATCATAGGATTGTGCAGCATGTAGAGGATGCACACTTCAGAATCTTCCGCGAAGTAGTGGGTCATCCGGGTACTTCTCACATACTGATTTTCGAATTCTATGATTTTGGACATGCTACTCAGCTCAATAGTATCTGGATGCAGCCTTTATGATGCAAGCTGAGATTGCATCACTCAGCGATGCAATGTCAGACACAATGCACTCAATGGAGCTAGTGACGTCACTGTGACGGGTAGGGTTAGGGGCGGGGTTAGGTGAGCGCATTCAAAAGCATTTGATGCGTCTCAGATTGCACTGCACCAGGTCTGCATCCAGACCCCTCTAACTCAGCTCGCATCCTCTTTTTAGTGTACTATATAGTATGGAAGTATGTTGTTTCGGACACATCCAAACTGTTCGACTATCAAGAAGTATTGTGAATTAAATTTGTGGTAAATAGACCATCTTAATTGAGGATCTGTTTTAGAGAGTTGTTAGTAAAATATTAACTTTAACATGCTCAGGAAGTTTCAACTAATTGTGCCTGTTCACATTGATTAGTAAAAACTATTGAAAGTAAACTAATAAAATCTCTTCAATTTTTTGTTTCAGCTTTAAATGCTTAACAATACTGAAGTCTGACTTTCGATCATGTTTGCACAGATTTAAAGCTCTAATCTGTAGACTGAACAAATTAACGTATAGTTTTCAAAATTGTGCACTTGAAACCAATTTCCAAACTTGGAAAGTTTTACTTTTTAAAGTTTTACTTTATGGCTTCCTCCAAAAAATATTATGTAAATAATTTAAAAGTTATAGTCATCACTTTAACTTGGTATCAATTAGGTACTATCTCTTCAAAAGATTAGTATGTTATGTTAGGCACGACTTCACAACAAAGGGATAGTTTGATGATGCAGTGACTGAGTATAGCACCATGGAGTTGTCATCTTCGTTACATCCTACAGGACTCCTGCAGAAATCATGTTCAAAGATGAGCTAAAGTATAAAATGCTATTATCTTAGTATGGAGCAGACAAGCAAAGTCTCTGGTTGAAGTCGCTACGTTTCCATCAGTTGATGGAAACAAGATGCTCATAAATTTTTGAAAATGTAAGCACATAACTGAGTAGGATAAATGTTTTATTTCATAAGAAAAGATGCGCATAAGCTACGATCGAACCACTTTTTCTGAACAAATTCCAATATATGCATTAAACAAGGTCAGGGGATTTTTTTAGAGATCCTGTGATGATTATAATGTGTGAATGGACAAACCAACAGGCTGAGCACACTGTAAAACATCTAATGTGTTGATTTGGTCATTCTAAAATGCCTTAACCCTTTCAATATTAGTGTTGTTATAGTATTAATAACCTCCAGAACTGTCAAGAGTGTCTGTGCTAAGCGTGTCAAGTCTTCAAACGCCATCACGTATTCATTGCATGTCGGCATCATCTTCTGAGTTGCAAGTCATTTATTAAATAAGCAAAACATTGACGCAGCTTCTTCTACAACAGCAAATTCTGTTTTTATTGTTGATATTTGGTGTCAGTTAATCAGGAAGTGATGATTTTGTTCTTTTTGACTCATTGGATGGAAACAATGCTTCATTCGCACGTTTTTTTTTTTTTGTTTTTTTTTTTTTTCGATATATCAGTTTTGGGCATAAAGTTATTCTCATTTCTGGATGAAAACATAGCTAACGACTCTAAATCCAGCTAAGGCACTAAAGCAGCAGAGCTTTTATTATGCCACAGTTCACCATTTTCTGCTCTTCCTATATGAGCAGTACTGTTTTATCATACTAAATACATTTAGGCTCTGTGCAGTCCAATAAATCATACAACATATTAAAACGTCATTGTTGTTTTTCTGTTTTATATCAAATCTAACCGGATATATAGGGTCATGATGTCATTGACATGGACCATGTCACTAGTTAAAATGAGTATTTTTATGGATTTGAACATTTTCTAAAATAATTAAAATGGGTAAATCAGCAAAATTGTCTAATAAATAAAAAATAAATAAATAAAAACATTTTACATATTGTCCCTTTAACCTGCTCAGGACATAACTTTAAATAATGATCCTTTTAAGTTGTAGGCTGACAGGTTGAGTAAACACTGCAATACAAAGTGCAGCATAAACTTTAATGTACCAATGACAACAAATGGCAATGCAGAGAATGCAACGCACACAGTTAAAATGTCCAAATAATAAATAAAAATAGATTTTTATAGCCTACCATTTTGTTTACAGCACCTTAAACGTTTCTAATGCTGGGTGTCTGTGTGTTGTCAAGAAAACTGATTTTGCCCAGAATACACTGCAAACATTGCACAATTGCTTTACAAAGTTTCGAGATTCACTAAGCTCCCAGTTTAGTGGGAGGAGGGATTTGGGCATATGTCGATATTTTAGCTGTTTGTTTTCTAGTTATTTCTGACATATTGAGTGGCGGTTACTTCAGCAGGACGATGCTTCTTCAGCTGCTGTTATGGGCGACCCTGCTCTGTCAAATCTGCGATGGAAAGGCCTTCCCTCAACGACAGTGCGTTTAACTCTGCATTATTAACTTTTAATGTGTAAAAATATATTCTTATCTTGTCGACGTTGATTTTTATAATGTGTTTATCTTGTCAAATGAGCAGCAAGAGGACGGTTTGGAGACCTAATATGCGACAAATGTAAGTAGCCTAACGTTACCCTGTTTCGTTTTGTGTCCCGAAAATGAACGATTATATTAAAACAATATTAACCACAAATTAAGCATCAATATGTTTAACAATGTTGTTTGTTGTAAAATGTGCTTAAACTAATAAAGTCATTTCGGACTGTTATTTCTTTAGTATTTATAAGAGAATTGTGTAGAAAAATATTTATATATAAAGTTATATATATATACTGTTGAAGTTAGAATTATTAGCCCTCTGATTTTTTTTTTCTTTTTTTAATAATTTCCCAAATTATGTTTAACAGGGCAAGGAAATGTTCACAGTATGTCTGATAATATTTTTTCTTCTGGAGAAAGTCTTATTTATTTTATTTCAACTAGAATAAAAGCAGTTATTAATAAAGGAAAACATTTTAAGGTCAATATTATTAGCCCTAAGCTATATATTTTTCTCGATACAGAACAAACCGTCGTTATACAATAACTTGCCTAATTACCCTAACTAGTTAACCTAATAAACCTAGTTAAGCTTTTAAAGTCACTTTAAGCTGTATGTGAGTCTTGAAAAATATCTAGTCAAATATTATTTACTGTCATCATGGCAAAGATAAAATATATCAGTTATTAGAAATGAGATATTAAAACTATTATGTTAAGAAATGTCCGTTAAACAGAAATTGGGGAAAAATTAAACAGGGTGGCTAATAATTCTGACTTCAACTATATCTGCATATCAAATTCTATAATGTAAATACTGGTTGAACTGGAGTTCAATTGAAGTGTGTTTTTCTGTTTACAGTGAGCCGGTCAAAGACCCTTCTCCGTCGTGAGTAACTGTCCTCTGCCCTCAGTAAACACACACATGCACAGATAATCATGGGTAATTTCACAGAGTTGTAATTTATTTACTAAACAAATAAGTGTGCCTTGTGGGATATATTTCAATAAGACTAGATGCATCTTAAATATTATAACATTTTTATTTCTTTTTAGGTTAGGCAAAGTTGACAGTTTGTTATCGATTGCAGATCATTTACATTGAAACAACATAAAATATCCTACAGTACCATACAAACACATAATACATAAACTACATAATACCGATTTTGCAGTTCACATTAGGGCAGCACTATGTATATTTTCTGCATCAATATGGCAATGTGATCATTCGCATGTATGCAGTGTTGAGTGTGGTTTAGATTTTATCATTTTGCAACAGTTTTTTGAAGCCTGTGACTGTGTAAAGGTTTTAAAAACATGACCTATGAAATTGTAATTGTACCATTTGTAACTTTGATAAATTAATAACAATACATTTTATTGAATTTTGGTAACACTTTGCAATTATAGTACATGAATAATGAAGTATTAGTAAGTAAGCTGAACGTTACTTTATTATGAACTAAGGATGAGTTAAGGTGCGCACTAATCTTTACAACCTGAGTCGCATGAGTTCATGTGTGGATAACGATAAAGTCACAATATCATTATACATTAACTTGTCAAAAGTTTATAATGGTTAAATTTAGCATAAGTTAATGTGGTAATTTATACTACATGATAATGCTTAATTTAAAACCCTCATAAACTTGTTTTGGTCACAATTCATGTTATTAACTGCTGGCTTACTATGTGCCTATAATTAAGATATTAGCTGTGTAATAGTAGTTATAAAGCCCCTGTGGCCACCCCAATATGATTTAGTTGTTGATATTATTCATTTAAATGTACTTACTTGAATTCACAATAATAAAAATACTAAACTATTGATCAGCGCCACCTGAGATTGCACACTTTTTATTAAGAAATTTTTATATTTGAAATGAAAAAGTTGTGTTTTATCTGATTGAAAATCACAAATCCAAATAAATTAATAGATGCATTTTGAAATCGGCTTTTCAGAATCTAGTTTATTTAGAAACTCCATTATTTTGCTGGTTTACTTTAGAGCCAAAAATCTCAATGATTTTGTGGATGTATTTTGCAAAAAGGTACATCATAGAAGTATATTTATTAATAATATTGTGGCTCAAAAAGGAACATGGATAAATGATATTATTGGAGTCTGTATAGTAAGTGTGTGTGTATGTAGTAATGTCTTTTGTTCGTTTGTTTGTTTGTTTTATTATTTCATTCATTAATCTTCATTCATTTTAGACATGGCATATACTGTATGTTGTACAATAAAAGTATGTGAAAAATAACTTACCTGAAAGGAGTTTTTAAACTAAATATTGGTTTTTATTTGGTTTGCATGTGTACTTGCTGAATTATTTAAGGAAATAAATTACAATATTAATGAGAAATTAATGAAAGAGTAATTAATGGAATTATTTAAAACGTCATTATTTCCTTTACCAGAAACAAAAACATAACATTACTCATTGTTCACAATATATACACAGTTCATTATTGTTTTGTGTGCCACCCCAAGATTTGGTGTGGCCTTACTTGGCCACCCCTAAGAAAATTTTCTGGGGGCGCGACTAATCCCTAAAACCACCCAAAACCTAAACCCAACTTCTACCTTACTAACTATTAATAAACAGCCAGTTAGTTGTTTATTAATCTCGTAGTGTTAGTTAATGGTTTGTTAATATTGTGAATTGTGACCTAAACTAAAGTGTTACCGAAAAGGGTTGTCAACATCAACAGTTTAAATACAGGAGTTCATGAGGGATGAGTTAATGTATATAATTAATATATATAATTAAGAGATATAATTATACATTAATAGCTCATTAGTTCATGTCGGCAGGGGCGGACTGGCCATTGGGAGCACTTGGACGTTTCCAGGTGGCCTGACGGGCAATCTGTCCTGCCACCGTGACTCTGGCCTATCTCTAGCCCTCCCGCTCTTCACTTGCCGTCGTCATCCCAATTTTTCTCATTATTGAACTTATCAACGCTTATAGATTGTTTATTATATTTTTGCACTTCCATACAGAATCATTCCAATCCATCTAAAATTCTAAATTATTTCCAAATGGTGATTTAATTCATTTAGTGCAGTTGTATTCATGTCGCAATATATATCGCAGAATACAAAAATATCCCAATGTTTGATTTTTTTTCAATATCGTGCAGCCCTAATTCACATGTTCATAAATAGATAAATGTGAGAAAAAAAAGGAAATTGCATGAACCAATTTTAAAATATATAAAAAAATATGACACAAGCTATATAAATAAACTATAAATTCACAACAATGAATTATGTATCAATAATATATATTAACTATTCTTCCAATCCTAATAAAAGTTATAAAAAATGACTATGCATGACCATATGTTCTAAAACCCAAATTCAACCAATTGTCAATAATAAATAGATATTTATTTTTCTAATATTGAAGAATGGATTTATTTTTGCTAAAATTTATATAAAAGGTAAAACTTGCACAGAAGCAAAATTATTTAAATAGAAATTTCCATCTCATGCTTTTTTAAATTGTTATGCAGCATAAACATACAGAATGCTAATGGTCTCATTATTTTCCTGTTTCCTTTTTCCACTGTGCTGTTTTTTTTTTATTCTCAGTCTCCATGATAAGCAGCTAAACAAGTTGTCGTAATTAATTTAATCCTCTATTTATGATGTTGTAAATGCAACCAGGAAACAGTATGTGGGGCTATTTGTTCTCAGGGAAACAGGCCTTTGTTATCTAAACTAGTCAACATTTGGAATTGGACTTAAACCTTTCCAAAAATCCAAATGTGTTCTTGCCTCAGGACAACTTTGATTAACTTTTTTGATCCCTTTCAAATGTTGAATACTGTAGTTCTTATGATTTGAGCTCCTGCAACTACTCGGTGCAAATGCATCTTTTGTTTTTCTTGAGGTTTTCTCTTCTAGCTCCAGCAAAAATAAGGCCTGGAACAAAACAGAACATCCTGGTGGAGGGACACAACCTGGCACAGGTGGTAGAAGTCACTGTTGTGGTTTACGACTATCCAAACTCCCAAACTGCCTTGTCGCGGGGCTCGGTTTTCCTCAGTTCAGACAACAACTACAGCGCCCTGCAAACCCTAGAGGTGAATTTATGTATGAATGCATGAAACCCTTCTCTGCATCAAAATGGCTTAAAGGGATAGTTTACCCAAAAACAAAAATTACCCACAATTTACTCACCTTCAAGTAGTTCCAAATTTGTTAAGGTTCTTTTTCTGTTGAACTCAAAATAAGATATTGTGAAGAATGTTAGATACTTGTAATCATTGGCCTCCACAGTAGGAAAAGCAAAGACTATAAAAGTCAAATGTTACCGTCTTGTACCGTCTAGTTTATTTCAAAGATTTACTTTTGTGTGCAATGGAAGAAAGAAATTAAGTTTTGGGTATCTTACCCCTTTAACCCTTCGACTGCCCCTCTACAAAATGGTTGACCATGTTTCTACTGTTTTAAATAGCAGACTGTTAAAGTAATTTAAAAAGCAAAGTGATGGTTTGCACACACAGCAATGTTGGTTTACAAAAAAAATATCAAACATAATCCTGTCACACACTACTGCACTTGATTTTGGTTTTATTGTAAAAAAAAACAAGAAAACGTGTTAAATGAGAATCCTTTGTGATGAAATATTTTATGGCATACTTAAAAAACTTAAAAAGGTGATTTAGTATTCAAAAATGTTTTATTTTGAATATTTTTATGTAAATTGGTATTACACTTCATATTTTCAAATTTTTCATTGTATATGTATTAAGCCTGGTACTTTTACCATAAACTGACATATCTACCATTTGGTAGAGGCTGGTATTTTAGACATTATGGGATGTGTTGGTAAAAAAGATGCATTGAGTGTGTTAACTAGCGACATTATCACAAGAAAATAGATTTTTATAACATAACTGAGTGACCAAAAGATACACGGACCGCTCACCGGCCCTGCACGCACTGCTTGACATGGATGAATCTGTTAACGATATAACTGTGCTGTTCTCACGGGTGCTGTCTGATATTGCACTGATGCTTTTGACATATACTGCACCTTATTATATGCATAAGTCATGTTAATAGCAATAATGGTCTTTTCATGAGTAGCGATATTAGTTTACTCAGTGTAAGCCCGTTTGCGATGGTGTACATGGTGTATTTGACATATAGCTGCCACTTGCATGGCGGACAGCATCTGGCGATTATATGAAGGATTAAACAGAGGCTCTCGTGCTAGATGTGGCAAACAGTTACCTGAAAATTCCATCCCACAGACTTTTCATAGCGGACTTGAAGCCAATGGAAGTCTTTTATTCACTCTTCGAAAAGTGTAGATGGTGGTGGATTACCATTCAGCACATGATCACTACTAAGATGTGTCATTATTTGTAACTTTAGATGCCATGGTTTCTAAAACAAAATCTGTCAGTGTTATCTTCATTCTCATTTTCAGCGCTTTATAATTTTTCGCGGTAGTAGCTCTCTCTGTCATCCCAAGCCAGAAGGCATTGACTGAGTGATTGACAGCTGATATTTTAGTGCCAGAGCTGTGGTGGGAAGAGCGCGAAGGCGGGGCAAGCATTACGGACTTGGCTTTGTTTACTGCCGCAAATTGACCTGACAACTGAGCGCTGCGTTTCAAGTGCAGAAATGCATTCTGGTGAATGTTTCCCGAATCCGCGCATGTGATGAACATTTTGCAGTAAAAACTGGTCGCACACAACATTTTTTTGCACTCGCACAAATGCGCCCAAATATATTTTGAGGTCGCATAGATAAAATTTCGGGCGCATATGTGACCAAAATTGTCGCAATTTCAAGCCCTAAATTATTATTATTTTTGATTTATTGCTAATATTTTTTAATCTCAAGAAGTAAGCTTCCACACTCTAATGATAAGCACAAACCCGAGTAAGTCAATAGGGTATATGCACAACTAGGGTTTCTTCCTATAACGATTTACTTCCGGTGAATGGTTAATGTGACTTTTTCAATTTTATACAATTCCATTTACAGCATCGATGGTGTAAAGTAATTAAAATATAATCAGTTAAGTAGACTTCACCATTCATTTTGTTGTTTAAGTGTAAAACTAGACGAAAAGATCGCACATCAGGATCAGAAGGCGAGCCTAGAAACTCCATTGAAAAAAACTGGAGTAAAATACATTTCCATATTTTAAAAACATGTAGTTTAATGCAGTGCTGCTTGTACATTTGGAGACCCACTTTATATCATATGTCAATCCGGCGGTACAAATGGTTGATTTTTAAAGAAAACAGACCTTAAACACGCTAAATTGTTTAACGGCATACAGTTCACCGGAAGCATTTGACCCAGGTACCTGAAGAATTAAAAGCCATTTTGCATATATCCTATAATTTATCATATAAAATAAGCTACTAAATTGCTTATACAATACAATTTTCCCACTGTGTGAGTTTCGTAAATTCTGAAATTATTTTAGTGCTCATACAAGCTATTCGTAAATAAAGCCCTTTGCTGAAGTTCTCTAATGTTTATGATCACATCTCTTGTTGCATGCAAGTATAATCAAATATGTTTTTTTTTTATCAGATCAACCCAAATTTGCTACTTCCAGATGGAAAAAAGAAGTATGTGAAGCTCGTTGCTCAGTTCGGCAACATCTATCGTGCAGAAAAAGTAATAGCGGTGTCGTTCCGCTCCGGACACATCTTTATTCAGACCGACAAACCTATTTACAACCCTGGAGACAAAGGTCAGCTCTCACATGCTGCTATTGAGCTGTTTTCATAGTACTCATTTAAATTTACAATTATTCCCCTTTTCCCAGTGCGTTTCAGGGCTTTTGTGTCTGATTTGGAGTTTCGTTCTTCTGAGAGAACCATATCTCTGGAGATTCAGGTGATTTGTCACATTAACCTAAGTGTTGTAATCATGTTTGCTGGACAATTGTTTGTTTGTTTGTTTGTTTTCTGGAATATTAATGCTTACAGCACAACTTGCTCATGTTTCAGAATCCAGATGGAATTGCGGTGCATGGTATTGGGAGAGTTAAAGCAATCGATGGGGTCTTTTCTGACATCTTCTCACTGTCTACTGTAGTCAAGTATGCATTCAGAATAGTTCAGTTGTGTTGTGTAGAATATAAAACAGAGTATTATGCACCAAAAGATAAATAGAGTGTTGAGGTTGTTTAAAGAATATTCAGATGTAGTTTAGGGTGCTTGTCCACTGTTGTGTTTTTTCGCCCTAGCCAAATACACTACCTGACAAAAATCTTGTCCCCCATCTATGTTTTAGAAACAATAATTAAAAACTTGACTTCTAGTTGATCATATGGAATCAGAAGTGGCTTTTATGAAAGGCAAAGGCCTCTAGATTATAATAATGTAATAATGTTCATCTCTGGTGACTGGGCTGGCCAATCCTGGAGCACCTTGACCTTCTTTGCTTTCAGGTACTGATGTGGAGGCTGAAGTATGAGAAGGAGCACAATCCTGTTTAAGAATTTGTCTTCTCCTGTGGTTTGTAATGTAATGGGCAGCACAAATGTCTTGATACCTCAGGCAGTTGATGTTGCCATCCATTCTGCAGATTTCTTGTAAACCCCTCACTGAATGTAACTCCAAACCATGATTTTTCTTTCACCAAACTTGACTGATTTAGTTCAGAATCTTAGGTCCATGCAGGTTTTAATTTGATGTTCAGTAGTATTTGTGATGATTGGGATGCAATTTAACAGTTGATTCAGCTGAAAAATCTACCTTCTGCTGCTTTTCTAAACGATCAACTAGAAATCAAGTCATTATTTGTTCCTCTTACAACTGGGATAGATGACAAGACTTTTGTCAGGTTGTGTATATAAATATATCAGAAGTGCCATATTTTTCTGAACACATTTTTGAAAAAACACTGCCGTTTTCAGCTGCGCAAAAACATGCTTTGGTGGATATGTGTCCTTTAGGTCCATTCACACCAAAGCTTTAAAGTTTAAACAATATTATATAAAAGCAAAAAAAAAAAAAAACAAAAAAAAAACATTTGAGCATTTTGATTTTGCATGAAATAACAAAAAGGGTCATTTGTTTTCATACATTTATATAAATGTTTGTCTTTCAACTGCAGAAAATTGATAAAAATCATCATTTAGTGGAATAAACCTGACCACTTCTCTAAAAAAGCATTACATAACTTTATTTCTTTTATTTGAAAATCTGAAGAAATATTATCTGAACTTTTTAGAATAAAACATGTAAACATTTTACTTAAACAGATACCTAACAAACAAAAACCAAAACTTTTTTTTACCAAATCTGTATGTACAAACAGAGGGGAAAATAAGTACTGAACACGCCATGTTTTTTTTTTCTTGGGAATAATATATAAAGAAGCTGTTGACATGGAAATGAACCAGATTTTGCTAAAAACTAATACAAACAAACAATACAAACATAAAAAAAAAAAAAATCTGAGTAATTTAGTTGTGTAATAAAAATGGAATGACTTTGGAATGGCTTTTTTGGTGATGGCAGCTTAAAGACGCCTCTCATATAGAGAATTGAGTCACATAAATTGCTCAGGTGTAATTTTATTTATTAATTTTTTTCACAGACTTCAACAGAGGGTAAAAATCTTGATGATGCAGTGGGTTTCGTCTATCAATTCAGATCTTTATTTTGTATTTTAAATTGGATTTAAGTCAGGAGATTGACTGGGCCATTCTACAGCTTGATTTTCTTTCTCTGAAAGCATTTGGCTGTGTTTTGCATCATTGTCTTGCTGAAATGGTTTCATCTTCATCATCCTGCTAATGTAGATGTTGGTCTGAAGCAGCAAATAGTACATTACAATGAGGAAGGGCAGAGGGTTGCTGAATAACTACTGAGAGATTTCAGCTGCTGTCTTGGCTTTTACTGCCTTTCTACACCTTCCTTTCTTCATATGTTCAATACTTTTTCCCTTTGTCATTTCATTTTATTACAGATAACTTAATTTGTAAAATAATTAGATTTGTTTTCCTTGCATATATGGATTTCTTTGGTTGTTACCAACATATAGGGAAAATTTCAAATCAGCGGCACCTTTAGAAATATGTTTTCTGAGAAAAATGGTGACATGTTCAATACTAATTTTCCCTGCTTTACTTGTGTGAGCATGTGTGTGTGAAGTTTTTTTGTGTGACTTGACCAAAAGTATATTTTGGATTTCCTAGAGAGGGCAGATGGAAAGTTGTAGCAAAGTTTGATCAGGGAAAAGAGAATGTTTTCAGCAGAGAGTTTGAAGTGAAGAAATATGGTAAGCCCTTCATATTACCTCCTGATTTGTTTCTTCTACATATTTCTTTCTCCGTTTCTGTGTTAACACCATTTCTTCTTTTTTTTCAGTGCTTCCAGCATTCAACGTCACACTTACTCCTAAAACATCCCACCTTAGTCTGGATGCAGAGAAGTTGGAAGTTGAAATAACAGCCAGGTGTGTCAAAAATCAAATTGCTGTGAATTATTTTAAAACCAATGATGCTTTATTTGAAATATTTACTCACCAGTGGCCAGTTGTACCAGCAGTCTGCAAGTTAAAATGTAGCCTAGTTTTGACTTAAGGGGACACTAAGTTTCAACTTACACTCTACTAAATTAAGTTTCACAAACTAATTTCGAGAGGAGCACGTGATATGATTGACTGCAGCTGGCCACTCATCTACACTCATTAGCTAGCCAATCGGATTGATCCAAACTCACTATAAGTAACCTAGCTAAGAACTACTCCCTTATCTTCGTTTTCCGAAGAAACCCCCCATCCATCCCTTCTCCTCCTTTACTCTTTTGCTGAGGGGAGCTGTCGAGAACACCTGACCTCGTACTCCCCTCAAATGCTTTATGGACCTGGCGGGAGCCCTGGGCTCAATTATCTCCGAGCTCAGGGTTCTCTCCCCGGACAGCATGCCAAACCTGCTAACTTGCTAAAGTTGTCAAACAGTATCTAAGTGTGAACTTTTGAAATATTTCTGTGTCACGGAATTTAGTTTAAATGTAAAGCTATGTTCTAACTAAATATTTACAGCAGAAAAGAAATGACAGCGAGATTAGTTTACATTAAGGAGCCCGTGATGATAATGGAGAATGATCTCCCTCTACTCAAAGTCTTATTTTCCTCCCAAATCTCGCATATTGTTCGGGCTGTGAAAGAAGAGTTTAATTTTCTTTCAAGGAGTGTTTTGTGTTTATTGTGTCCACTAATTAAAACGAGAATTTCTTCATGACTGAGTTTTTCACCCTGCACTTTTCTCTGTCATATATAGGATATATAAAAAAATCAAATGTAATGTTTGATAACATCATATGTATTTGCCATGCATTCAGGGCGCGCAATGCAGATATGTGCATCGTCTGTAATTAGTGACTGTTTTGGCTCTAAAGCATATCATATAGCGGGCTTGTTTTCAAGCGATTCACCTCAGATGTTATTCTTTCCTCTTGTTTATGCTGTAGATAACTAACCAACAAAATATACATCAAAATTAAGTTGCACATTATACAAAATGAAATTTGTTGCAAAAATATACGTTTTCAAAGAAATATATATTTACATATGTATTTTTTTTTAGTTTAGTTTGTCTTAAACAACTGTGGGTGGATGATATATGCTTCGCTTTGTGGAAAATAACTGATGATTTACTGTTGTTGTAAACATCTGTCATATAGGCCTATTTGCAGTATTTTTAATATGTCATTATTTTAAAGATTATGTCTGGCATCTGATTTTTCCTCGGTAATTTTGTCTTTTAAATATCTAAAGGCTGGGTGTTTTACCGTCAATGAGGGACAATAGTGGTATTACAGATTTAAAAGAAAATATCTTAACATTAAAAAGGAAACATAAGCTTGACAACAGATCCTATCAATTTAGTGACAAATGCCCTAAAATAATGCCGCCTGTAGTTTACAGCAAGCATCAAGTATTCATTGAGATTGTATAGTCTGTCATATCTTTCGTCTGTCTTTTCAAGTTTTTTTTTTTTCCTCGTTAGGGATGGCTTTCAAAAATGATGACATGAAACTCTGCTGAGTAGTTGTGCTGGTTTACAAACACTTGGGTCTGTAATCTTATTAGCATCTTCATAAGGGTTATATTGTTTTAAACGATGAAACAGGTTTGTGATGTTGCCTGCTTTGATGACACGAGTCGTCTGCACAGTTTGCAGTGCTTGTTGCTTTTTTTGTGTCGGATTGCAAAAAATTAAGTAGCTCAAGACTACTGAAGTCTAGTGACGTTTCTTGTCAACAATGTCTGTGTCTGACCTTTTTTACCTGATTTTTTTCTTACTTCTTTAAGTGCCACTAACACTTTATGGCTGTAAACTTGTATACTGCGTGCGGCATCCGGGAGGGCAGGCTGCAAAATGCCTGTGCAGCGTTATGCGTAGTGTGTAAATATTATCGAGCAATTAACAAACTGTTTTATTGAAAATGTATATATCATGATAATTATCGATATCAAATTATCGCCCAGCCCTATATGATAATATTGGAAAGTTTGTGGAATCCTTTTATTGTGTTGATTCCGTACATGTGGTCACTGTATATATTTCATCCAGGTATCTTTATGGCGCGCAAGTGAAGGGTGTTGCGTATGTGCTGTTTGGTATTGAAATTAATGGTGAAAAGAAGAGACTCACATCCATGAAGCAAATTGATGATGTAAGTGTTTAATTTAAACATGCTAACAGTTTAATTATCTTTGTAGAAATTTACTATTGCGACTCTGTGTCTATTACAGCTAAATGGAGGAAGTGTTAGTTTGACTATGGAGGAGATAAAGAGAGCTTATCCTGACATAAACAGCCTCTTGGGGTCTACGGTGTATGTTAAAGCATCAGTATTGACTAGTTCAGGTAAGGAAGTTCTACACCCTAGCTTAACAACACGCAAGCAATGCTCTAAAAATCTCCTAACTCATGGAACATCAACAAGGTATCACTTGACTTGTAACAGTATAGCTAAAGCTTGGCAACCACTCACAACAACTTTTATCCTCTTCACAGGTAGCGATCTTGTGGAAGCAGAGAAATCCGGCATTAAAATCGTAAATTCACCCTACATGCTTACCATCAAGGACACACCAAAATATTATAAACCTGGTCTGCCGTTAGCCATGACGGTAATCTAATATTCATTGCAATGCTTACAGTTTTAAAACATACCTTTTGAATATAATAATTCAACAATTTTATCACCACTTTCAATCAATATCATATTTAATCATTAAAAATAAAAGTCATCAAAATATGTTTATTCCACTATTTTCAATTAGTTGATGTTACATCATGATGTTAGCATTTTCCAATTAGCAAACATGTTTTTTTGCTGTTTTTTTAGGTTATCGTGAGTAACCATGATGGATCTCCAACTCATAATATTCCTGTTAAAGTCACCTTTCTTGAAAGTCCAATCAGTGTCCACAGTGGCACCATCAACATTCACATCAACATGCCGAAAACGCACATACTGTATGGCAATTCCCAGATATTGAAAGTAAGTCATTCGCATAAACGCACACAAAAACAGCAAGCCCCATTTGTGCTGAAAGTTACTTTACTTTGTACCTATACCTAATCAAATTGTAATATTGACCAGAGTGTCCTACATTAGTTACAACCTCAATTAAACACACCTTAACCAGCTAATCAAGCTCTTTCTAGGTATACTAGAAACTTCCAGGCAGGTGTGTAGCAACTTGGAGCAAAGCTATGCAGGACACCGGCCCTCCAGGACCGAGTTTGGACATCCCTGCATAAGCGAACTAATCGGCTGCTTAGGGACCTGCTGCCGCTAGTGGTCCTGGCTGTTTCCTTGCTAAAATCATTTTTATTTGCATTTTACAAATTATCTTCATAGACAGTGCTTTAGTACTTAAATATTTATAAAGTTTTACTGAAAAGAAAAAAATACCTAATTTTAATAAAGTTGAAAATGTTTTCGTGGTAGGTCAGTTAATCAACAGGAAGCTCGCAGGATCTCGTTTCTCATATGGGATCTGTGTTCTTGTGGTTCGAGTTTGTTCTTTAAAGGTAACCTGCGAGAACGACAGGTCACTACAAGAACGCAAATCCGTGCACAGACACAGCTATTGCCTTTGGTCCATTGCCTGTCCCATATACTATACTGGAAATTAGACAAGTGAATGATGAAACAAATCTAACAATACTCTTCAGGCTCAGAAAAAGAGAAGGGGAAAATAACGGCGAGAAAAGACAAGCACAAAATGATTTTTAGCTTTGCTTTTAATTGCTAATGATCATGTGAAAACAGATATAATCTAGCACACTTATTGAAAATAGGCAATTACAGAATAATAAACGTTGACTACTTGAATTATATAGAAAATAAAATACATATATAACTTAAATAATCTCTCAAACAGAAATAGACTTACAGATCTTGCATATGCTTTGCGTTTTCATCCCTTTACAACAACAACAACAACAACTATGACCAGTAAAAGATGGGGAGCTACAAATCCTTTAGAAGATTGCCTTTATAGAAGAATATATATATATATATATATATATTTTTTTTCCTGGTTTTATAGATGGTTTTTTAAACTAAGTCTAAAATGTATTTTACTGAAATGCAATACTGAAGTGTCTTTAAAAGATGGGGAGCTACAAATCCTTTAGAAGATTGCCTTTATAGAAGAATATATATATATATATATATATATATATATATATATATATATATATATTTTTTTTTTTTTTTTCCTGGTTTTATAGATGGTTTTTTAAACTAAGTCTAAAATGTATTTTACTGAAATGCAATACTGAAGTGTCTTTCACTGACATATTTTGCACACTGGTAATATTTTTCCTGAGACAAGTTTATAAGAGTTATGTCCTAACTGAATTAACGAGAGTTTAATATAAGCTCTGGACCCTGCATCTCAAATAAAGTAAAGAACAGGGAAGGTGACTGAAGGAAACAGAGTTTGTGTTTGTGTTTTAACATTAACCCAGTGTTGATTACCTTTTTCGTATTGTTTTATATTTTTTATTATTTATGGATCAATCTTTTGCCTTAATGTTAATTTTTTTTTGAGTTTTTAAAAAGTTCTAAATTGTGTATTTTATTACTAAAAATGCATTTTCATTTTTGGCAAGTTATTGTTCATTGTCATTTTATTGCAGAGTTTTGCTTTTAGAATTTATATTAAAAAAATACTATAATCTTTTATAGAATCTTCAATCTATTTGCTAAATTAATAGAATTTGTTTTAAACACTCCAGAAGGACGCAACGTAGGAATTACTGGTCCTTGTACTGTTTATTTCTTCATTTTTGAAGCTGCTAGACAAAAACAGTGCTGTTTTAAAATGTCCAAGTCATTCAGACAGTTATTAAGTAGAAGAAATTGATTTTTGTTTACATCCCTCAAAATGGTCTTTAATATACTCAACTGAACCACTCAATGAAAATGAGCCAAAATAGGAGTGTTTTAACTGTCTGCTGAATACTGTATATTTAACATCATATAGGTGGAGACAGTGGATCCGTCACTGAAACCAGAACAGCAGGCCATTCAAGAGGTATACGTCAAGCCATATTCTACTTTTAGCGGTCACGATAACTACTTGCACGTCTCAGTGGGAGCAAGTCGAGTGGTGGTCGGTGGCAGTATCAGCATCCAAGTGTACATCAAATCCTCTTTACCAAACCACAGAGCACTCGTGGAGCATCTCACATACATTGTGAGTGACCCTGGAGACATTTCAGTATTAAAGCGGACTGTATTGTCAGTGTTATTCATACTAATAATTCTTTTCCAGGTGTTAAATAAGGGGAAAATAATTCAGGCTGGTAGAGTGAATGTCAAAGGCCAGGACGTAACAAGCGTTCATCTGCTCATTACCTCAGAAATGCTACCTGCATTTCGGTTTGTGGCGTATTACGTTTTGCCATGGCAGCATAGGGCTGAAGTGGTGGCAGACTCAGTGTTTGTTGATGTGGAGGACCGGTGTGTAGGTTCGGTGAGTTCTTGTGGTATTGATAAGCAGTTATTATTAACATTCTGATTTTTAAAAAATATAATTCTGAACAGAAATATCAAAACAATGATGTCTGGCATTGCCTATAATATAAATTTTATAATATAAAATTCAATTTTGTGATTTTTACTAGCTTAATGTTGGACCAGTGGATGGAGAAATTGTCAGTTCTTACTCACCAGGCAGCAGCTTTAAATTTCAAGTGAAAGGTGATGTTGGAGCAAAGGTCAGCCTGGTAGCTGTGGATAATGCCATCTTCTTGTTGAGTAAAAACCGCTTGACGCAGAAAAAGGTGAGTGGTTGTCATTTGCATTCAGGGTTCATACGGTCATGGAAAAACTGGAAAAGTCATGGATTTTTTACATGGCATTTTCCAGGTCTGGAGAAGTTTTGGAAAAACAGAAAAACCCACAAGGTTTTGGAAAAGTCATGGAAATTACAATTACATTTAGTCACTTAGCAGACATTTTTGTCCAAAACGACTTTAGCTGCGGTCACACTAGAGCTTGTGCTTGCAAAATTCTGTCGTACAGTGCTGTGAAAAAAGGCGGGGTTAAAAAATATGATTAGACATTAATAAAAGTGAGCGATTGCTCCATATGTTATAATTTCTTATTTTAAACGATCTTCTATTGGTCTCACACAATCACCTGACGTGATTTCACAGGTAAGAATTCACCAAGCTTGAACTTTCGTATGCAGTGATCTGCGAAACACGTGCCTGGTTTCTGGTCTGCCGTATTCGCATGCCTATGAATGGAAGTCTTTAGAGCGAAAAGTGCAGTGATGATCACAGCTTTATAATACAATAAGTTTTACCTACTATTACTAGTTTAACAAACTATTAAGATTAACTCAAATTAGTTTGACAATATCTGTATATTGGAATGGAGCTTAGTTGTTTTTACTTATTTCCTTTTCTTGACTAAAACATGCTCTCACATTATTAGTGCTGTGTAAGCATCATCTATTTTACATAGACATAAAAATAAATTTTAATGCATGTTTTATGCTATGCTGTAATAAATTGAAATGTTTCTTATGATTTACCATGTATATGTTGACATTACATGAAACAGGTTATGAAAATTGACTTGAAAGTCCTGGAAAAGTCATGGAATTTGTGTTGTAAATATGTGTATGAACCCTGTGCACTGTTCTTTTCAGAACTTTCTCCTCAATGAAAAAAGTAAAATAAATAAAAAATAAAACTCTTTCATTCAGGTGTGGGAAGTGGTGGATCAGGCTGATATGGGCTGCACCGCAGGAGGAGGCAAGGATAATATGGGTGTTTTCAGTGATGCAGGACTGATGTTTCACTCCAGCACAGGAGGTTCAACTGACTCCAAAGAAGGTCTTTCATAGACACAGCAGTAACATTTTACATTTACATTTAACATTTATTTATTTTGAGTTTCCAAAAGAAAATACATATATAACTTACATAATCTCTCATGCAGAAAGAGACTTACAGATCTTGCATATGCTTTGCGTTTTCTTTCCTTTAACAACAACAACAACAACAACTATAACCAGCAAAAGATGGGGAGCTACAAATCCTTTAGAAGATTGCCTTTAAAGAAGAAAAGATATATATTTAGACACATAATAATCCATTTAAAGGTTACAATTCTAGAAAAAGCTGGGCATATTGGTAAAAAATATTTAATCCATTTACTCCAAATCAGAAAAAAGTATTCAGTCTGTGTTCTTAATGAAAAAGATCACCTTAGGTGTCTCTAATTTTAACCTTTTTTTTGTAATTAGTTTTTTACTAGCTGTTACTTGTTTCTAGTTTCTTGTCTTTATTAATCCATTTATATTACCTAAATATAAAGATTCACAAGTGAAAGCAATTTCTACTTCAAAAATAGCATCTAAATGTATTTTATTCTCTTTCCAGCATGAGGTTAATTACTGACAATCCCCCTCCAAAAAAACATGATAGTGACTAGCTACAGTACTTTTCCCCTACACATTCTCCAGCAGCTAGTGCCCTTGCCTTTGTATTATATCTGATGGGGTTATGAAAAACCTTACAACATTTTCTCAACAGAATTCTCTCCACATGGCTGAGCTGGTATTTTCCAAAGAGTTTTACAAATATTTTCCTAATCCTCATCTGAGATATTCAGATTTCCTTTCATTTTTCATTCAAAGCAGTAACATTTAATACAGTTCTACTAGAATATGTTTGGTCACTTTGTTGAGCAAAGGTTTGAGGTATTTCTAATGCTTTTACTTGCAGTACCAATGCTGCATATATTTGATTAAAATACAGCTAAAGATGTAATATTACTGGATATTATTATACTGGATTATTAGTATTTTAATACATTTTAAAATATAATTTATTCCAGTGATATTTAAAACCTGAATCATTAGCATCATTATGGCAGTCTTCAGTATCAGATGGTCCTACAGTAATCCATCTAAACTGTTGTTGATGATAATAAGTAATGTTTTTACATCGAGAACAATTATGCTGCTTCATTTTTCATCAGTATTTTTTTTATTTTTTAACATTAAGTCTTTACTTAATTTCTTTTAATAATACAATGCATTTACAATGTAATCATTTAAAAGTGTAAATAAAGCCAGTCAAACATTTTATAATTGGGCAAAATTAATAGCACAAAATGGAGGTTGTCAAAATGGATTACAAAATGCTGGAAAAATATTCTTTTGACAGTCACCTTGTCCAATTGCTTAGATTTTTAAGTAAGGTTATTAAAGTCAGAGCCAATGTAACACAGAAGTTCCAATGTTAAAACAATTTTTTTTGGAGTTTATTAGATGAAAAAGCAATGTTAGTTAATGAAGTAATTTCATATTCATTTCATGAAATCTAAGGGGCCATTTACATGACAATGTTTTCAGCCTGTTTGATTTGGCTGTTTGTTTACGCAACAGTGTTTTTGTGACTGGATACACACAAAGCAAACAGAATTCAGACAGATTCGATCTGTATGATTGTGTAAACATGAAATAAAACGCATGCATGTGGATATTCAGAAATTGGTTTCAGGCCTCTTTCATATGTGGAAATAAATCATATATAAAATGAAATCAGATATTGGCTACAAATCATAATTGGACATCAAGATCTGAGAGTGTAAACGTTAAAACACTTGTGTAGACATGGAACAAAAAAAAAAAAACGAATTAAAAAATGTTTCCATTTTTAGCTGTGTCATATAAACGTAGCCTAAATCTAACAAAAATTAAAATTACCCCAAGATATGGGTTGTCCATGGAAAGTTGACTTTTATATGTACTTTTATTGGTTTGTTTCTCACAGACTGCTCCAGTAAAACTAAACGACGAAGACGTTCTGCAGCCAAACTGCAGCTCAGAGATCAGCTCGGTAAGTCGGAATTATCAGTGTATCAAATGTTCTTTAAGCAGTCATGACATGGATTTAGCAGCAGGCAGCAGTTTCTAACTGGCGGGACTATTTTCAGGCATTACATACTATCATTGAGCCTGCTGCAGCCAGGTTACAGCAGCAAAGTTCCTTGACTATTACGCTGGAATGAGAGTATAGTTGCTAGCTATAGAAAATACTGTAGCAACTTTTCATTTTTTGTCAGTTTTAGTGTATAATGTATCTACAGAAGAGTCAAGCATTAAATAAGAAAATTATTGAAAAATGTTGTTCTTTTTTTTTTTTTTTTTTTTTTTTTTTTTTTGCGAGATGCTAATGGTCTAATCTATTTCAATAATCTATGCTAAGCTAAGTTAAAAGTTCTACCACCAGACCCGGAGATTTACTAAATGCTAGAGTTCCTATTTTCAAAAGAAATTGAGTGTTGGTTTAAAGCAGTATTGAATAAATGCATTGTTAGAACATTTAAGTGTTGAATCTGTGTTGAAAAGTCAGAATATATTATTAAAGATATTCAGAAGCTAACCTAACCGTTTAAATATTTTTGTTTCTCTCACTCAGAGAAGGCCTATTCAGATGAGCTCCTGCAGAGGTGTTGTGTAGATGGCATGAAGGAGATTCCCATGCCGTATTCATGCTACCGTCGCTCTCTCTACATCACCGAGGACTGGAGCTGTGTGTTGGCTTTCCTGCGCTGCTGTGCAGAATACAGAGGAGAGGAGCTCGGCGTCATTACCAGACCTCCACCAACCACTGCTCCACCAACCATTGCTCCGCCAACCACTTCTCCACCCACCCTCTTTCTCGTACCACATCTTGAATATCATTTTCCGGAACGACCAGTTTTTTTTGTGAGGGATAGAATACTACAATCCATGCCAAAGCTGCATGCCGAAGCTAATGTCATCGGAGTTCGTCAGGACAGTTATCGGGAAGTCATTGTAGAAGAAGAGGAAGAAGAGGGGGCTTCAGTGTTTGAGGAAGATGATTTGGCTGATCTTGAGGATATTTATGTGCGCAGCAAGTTTTTTGAGTCGTGGTTGTGGACCGATATCAGACTGCCTAGCACTGCCAAGTCTGATGGGTAAGAGTTTAGCATTTGACTCGATGTAGATGTCGCACTGTTGTTGTATTAATTGTTTTGTTTTTTCTTTAGGTTGGCTGTGCTTCCAGTGGACACCGTTCTTCCAGACAGTATCACACAGTGGGGGTTTCTAGCTGTCAGTGCCTCACCTGAGAAAGGTGAACAGAACTTTCATGTTGTCACAACACAAATTTAAGTAGATTAAACAAAAATAGTTAAGGTCTCGTTTACACTAATATGTTTTAGTTTTAAAATGGCCTTGTAGAACGAAAACGATTCACACTGGCGTTTCACCTAGCATTCCTTAAAGATCTATGTCCACACTACACTGCTGAAAACGCACATTACATGACCACAAACGCACTCTGGCATGCGCTGCATCATATGCGGAAGTCTGAGCTCCAGGCAATCAGCTGGTACTTTGAACACACCTCCCCAGGTGAGAGCAGCACACATCGAACAGTTCATCTAGGATCTACCGCTGGATGTCATCGAACTAAAGGTGTTAAGCATGATATTTTATTCATCTTGTCTCTATCTAATGACTCTTTGGTCTTTTGAATCTTACTTGTTCTCTACTTGTTTTGGCTGAGCACAAAGATAATTTAATATATAAATTAATGTAACCGCGTGCACTGATTCTGCACATTTTACTGATTGCTTGCCTTTATTTCCTATATTGTTTAAACTTATTGTACCTTATGCTTTTATAATGGCCATTAAGATTGACATTCAGCAAAGCAGACAGGGCATGTTTTGTATTTTACAATGAAAATTAAAGTAAGCAGTTCTGTTATAGGATCAGTTTTGTTATAAATATGCACACAGTGAAGAGGACGGTCATAAAAATATGCAGCTACATGATGCCTCAACATTTGTGGTGTCTGTTAAGTTGTTAATATCAAAATGAAAACAGGCAATTCCTGACATCATGTTTCGGAGTCCAACATCGGATGGTGATAATGATGATATTAAAAAATAATAATATTAATTGTAATTATTATTAAGCTATGCGTTGATCGTTATTGTATCTAAATGTATGATTATTTAATCTAATATTTAAAAGGATCATTTAAAATATTTTTATTCACAGGGTGTCCCCTGAATCTTAAAAAGTAATTTTATTGTTAAAATAGTGAAACAACATAACCAGGGTAATATGAATGACGTTTAAGTACACTGTTCCCTTTGAAGATTTACCCGACATGTCCTAAGGAAAGGATGCAAGACCAACCTTGTGTACTTAATATTGAAAAAAAAAACATAATCAGAATGTGTGCAGCCCCACCCTCATTTTCAGATGTCTCCGTTTTCCCCCAGCCACGCTGACATGGAGCTGCAGCGTTTTATAACAAAAATGGCCTCTTCAGTGTTTCCAAAATGCTCCATTTTTGGGGCTTGGAAACTCTGGGTTAGTGTCGACAAAAAAAAAAAAAAAAAAAAACTAAGATTTGTCTTGTTTCAATTTATATTAAATAATTAGTTTGAACAAGCAGCAAGAGTCATTTTTGAGTGTAACATCTTCTGCTTCTTCAAACCTATAGATTGCAGCATAATAATAGCAGCGGAGCTAAAATGATAAATGGCAATTGCTTTTATGCAACGAATGTGCCCATATTGTTTTTTTTTAACAAGTAATACTGATCATTTTTCGGTTTAATCCTGAGTCCTTAATTATGAGTTCTGATCTGATAATGATGATAATAATAATAGTCATATTTAACAGGATGATTTAAACCATTTTTATTTACAGGGTGTCCTCTGGGTCTTATAAAGTCTTAAAATGTCCTAAATTTCAAAAACTACATTTTAGACCTTAAAAAGTCTTAAATTCACTTAAATTTGGTCTTTTAGGTAATACATATTCTGTTGTGGGTTGTGCACTACCTAATATAAAAGAGATTGCACATGATCGAATGCTGGAAAAATCATCCCTTTTTTGATACAGTCCAAAAGTGTGCAAGCTCTTTTAGTAAAAGATTAATTAATCCCCGGTGTTACAGAGAAAGATACAGGAAGTCTTTTTTACCAACAGTGATCAGATTGTATAACCAAACTCATACTAGATGAATTGTGTTGAACTGAATTAGTTATTAAATATGGACAAGTGTTTACTCATTGTTTTTGGAACTAAGTTGTGCAGTATGAATGTAATTTTATTTATTTTTTTTTTAATATATATATATATATATATATATATATATATATATATATATATATATATATATATATATATACACGTATATATACCTATACATATATATATATATATATATATATATATATACACGTATATATACCTATACATATATATATATATATATATATATATATATATATATATATATATATATATGTATATGTATATGTACATTATTTATCTATTTTTAGTATGTAGAGCTCTGCTGTGACGTAAATTTTCATTTTGGGGAATAATAAAGTCAAACAAACAAACAAAATAATTGTAAACAGGTCTTAATTTTGCTATGTCCATGTAAAACTACCCAACACGAATCCAATCACCAACAATCCAACTCTATATAACTTTTAACCAAACTCTATTTATAACTATTTACCATGTGGTTTAATCATCGTCCTTACAATCATATTTTTTCAAAAGGTCTCTGTGTATTTGTAGTCCATGTATGGTGAGGACACTGACCTGGACCGACTATTGTGCATACATTTAGTTTGTTACAGTTTTTAAAGATTTTTTTTTTCAAAGATATGTTTTGTTGAAAAATGTGAAGTAATACAACTAGGGGTTGCTTGTTTTGACAATTTATTTAAAATATATGGCAAAAAAAAAAGTATAATATAATATATTTAAAAAGTCCTGAAAAAGTCTGAAATTTCATTCATAATGGTCTTAAAACTCTTAATTTTGACTTTGTGAAACCTGCAGAAACCCTAATTTAGCTTTTAATACCACCATTAAATAAACAGAACTTATTATTTAGCTTGTATTGCACATTATTATTATTACTATTTTATTATTATTATTATTATTATTATATTTCTTTATTAGTCTTTTAATGCAATGATCACCTATGTTTACATAAGAATAATACACATTTGTTAATAAATGACTTCCAATGCTACTTTAAGCATTTCTGTATGTGAATTACAAATGCATTAACCATATTTAGATTTAAGGAAACATGTTAAGGATTTTTGCATATAAATTATTTGAAATATTTCTTACTAATATTGTGATGCTTGCCCAGAGGTGGGTTGCGGCTGGAAAGGCATCCGCTGCGTAAAAACATGCTGGATAAGTTGGGGATTCATTCTGCTGTGTCGACCCCAGATTAATAAAGGGGCTGAGCCAAAAAGAAAATGAATGAATGAAGGAATGAATAATGTGGAGCAATTTTTTTGTTTTGTTTTGTTGTTCTAGTAGAATCTCATTTAGTCACCAAATTTAAGAATTAAAGATTAACTAAAGAAAGTATTAGAAAATGCTATTAACAGTTGTCCAGGGACTTAGCAGTAATGTGTTTGTCTGTATAATTTTGGCAGGTGTCTGTGTAGCTGAACCATATAACGTCCGCGTGTGGAAGCCGTTCTTTATCGACCTGCGTTTGCCTCACTCAGTGTCCAGAAATGAACAAGTGGAAATCAAAGCTGTGATCCACAACTACAAGAACTCAACACTGGAGGTTCGTTCCACACCATCAGTAAACTTTGTGACTTATTTATTTGTGTCTTTTTATCAAATCCAACAATTTACTTCCTCTCTGGAACGGCACTCCTTCTCTGATGACATAATTTTGATGGTTTCTGTAAAATATGCTTAGCCACACCTCTCCAAACTGTTAAGCTGTGGTCACATTGCACTTTTCGCCCCATTCCATTCATGTACACGTGAATGTGCCAGACTGGAAATGCAAGCTCTTTGCGAAGTTCAAGTGACCTGCAAAACCTATCACGTGATTGCGCAAGACCAATATATAAAATTGATCAATATTATACAAAATATATAAAACAATGTAAAATATGGACCAATCGCTGGCTTTTTTAACGTCAAATGATCTTGTTTAACCAGCCCCTTTTCTGAGCACCATACAACAGAATTTTGCATGCTTAAACTCTAGTGTGACTGCTGCTTTAGTTTGTTGTTAATTAAAATTGAGGAGGAGGAGTGCAAAAATAAAACCCCGCCTCCCTCCTACTTAATATTCAGTTTCAGTTGGAAATACTGTCTACACATAATGCCCCATTCTCATGGGGCTTCAGCATCAATGCTTGACAGAGGGCGTGTCTGAAGTTGGGGCTGACGCGATCATCACAGCAGCGTCAGCCAATGAAATTAATAAGCAATCAGCTACTGCCTGAGCTGGTGTATTTGCATACAGAGATCTGATTGGCTGACGCTTTCATTGGCACTTGAAAAGTTGAGCAAGTCCCAATTTCTGCAGCGAGCAATGCCACTAAAGCGGCGCCGACGGATCCACAATGGAGTTCGGCAACGCTTGGCATCACCCATTCAAAGTGAATGGGAAGTGTTGAAGCTGACGCCCCGTGTAAATGGGGTGTAAGTCTGCAGCAACTACCGCTTTGCATTTGCAAGTAGGCTTAGTTTTTAATCAAAAACAAAAACATTGCATACGCCATAATTCACGGTCACATTTGGATTTACTATCGATGAAATGAACATGAGAATGTGCGTTGGTCCCCGCTAACTTCATGTCTGACATATATTTCTTGTGTGTTTGTTTTATTTCTATTGGCAACTCCTAGTGGCAGTTATGTTAAATTGCACACTACAAAGTATCGCACATGTGAAAAACAACACATGTGAAAAACATTGCTATTAATTTATAATTAATAAAATGGGTTTATTGACACAATATTTTTTTTTTTTTTACCAATTATGTGATTTAGAACATATAAAAGCATTTGAAAATGTATACAACCCTTAGTCTATGGCAATGGCAGTGTTGGCCTTATTAGAGGACATTGTCAATGGTTGAATCCGAAGGGAACACATTTTTTAGGGATCACAGTGATTTTCTAGCCCAAGATGATGACTGGCTTGTTAGCAGTTTAAGATTTCCAAGAGTGATCCTCTTAGAGCTCTGTGCTGAGACCCAAAAATTTGAGTTCCAAATTTGGAATGAGAGACAGCGAGGAGGCTCCAAGGTGGCAGGGTGCGTGATGGGTGGCTTCTTGGTGAGTGATGTATTTAAAGATATTATTCCAGCTAAGTTTTTTAAAATTATTTTATTGAGCGTAATTATTTAACTGCATATCAGGAGACTGCGGTTATCCATTGAAGACTTGGCTGTTAACCCCCCTCAACAACCCACAAACTGACCAAGAGTGCAGATACAATGATGCCCGGCCGTCGATTAAGCGGCTGAAATGCCAGTGGGGCTGCCTTGATAAGAGCGGAGGGGTGCTGCTATACCACCCTAACAAAGTATTCCTTTAATAAATCTTTGTCTCCCACAGACACGAATACTACTCCAGACAGTAAAGTGTCGCCCACAATTGAGGCAACTCTCTCCTCAGAGGGTGTTAGTTCTGCATCCTCTCTTCCCCCGCCTGTTCGGTCCACACTTTGCTAAATTCTCCCTCTCTATTTATTTTTCTTTTGTTATTCTGGAGGACAAACTTGCTAATGACACAGTTTTTCTCTGGTCTACCTCCTCAGTTAAAATACTTGGGTTAAAAATACCCCAACATTAAACCCAACTATAGGTTATTATAGCACCTTCCCAACTATGGGTTATTTTGATTCAATGCTATTTTTTTCCTTTATGGTATTACTATTGCTTCTATTACTAGTACTATTATTAATTTTATAATTATGGCTGTGTAAATAAATAACATACATTTTTAAGTTCCAGACACTTAAGCGTTTTTATCTGTTTAGATTGGTTATGAAGTCAATCTAATCAATAAGAAAGAGTGCTGGTGAAAAGGATATAAAAACACAACACGGAGAGGTAATGTTTAAATAAAAAAGAAAAAAAGAAAAAAAAAACAATATATATATATATATATATATATTTACAGCTGTTCTGTGTCAGTCAAATAATTCTAAATTTTTAAACCAACTGGTTAAGTTATTAAATAAATAACCCAATAAAGGTTAAAAATATCCCAACAAAGCACCAAATATTTACCCAACAGGTTGATTTATTAAATAAATAACCAAATAAAGGAAAAACAACAACAACAACAAAGCACCAAATATTTTTAACTTAACAAATGGGTTAAATAAATAACTCAACGTTTTTTAGAGTGTCCGATAGGAGCACCTCTAATTCACATTCTGTGAAGTTTATATTAAAATAGTTTATTTAAAAGTTTCATTACTATATTTATAAGAGAAAGGAAACAGGGAGGGGTTTTGCACTCGTGCACATGCACTCAGTTTCACGTTAATTTGGATGTACAAAAATAATATGTGTGGGATTCCGCGTACACAATGTTTTATACATCTGATTTTTTTTACAGACAGAGACAGAGAGAGAGCGAGAGAGACGAAAAACACATTGTACACACCAAAGTTTTGTCTCAGGACATAACAGTGCTGACTGTGAAGTTTTAGGGAACTGCGGCCAACGAAGTAAAATTTCATGAAATTCGAGTATTCGAATATTTGTTTTTGATTATTCAAATAATTGTTTCAAGAACAAATATTTGAATTTTTGACTATTCGCAAACACCCTTTTCACAGTAAGTTGTGTTTTGCGCAATCAGCATTTATCATTGGATTGAATCTATTTAGGCCAACAGTGACATTTTGTGGAACTTGAATAATGTTTGTGATTATTTGTTTAATAAATGCAGAGCAAACATTTGAATATTCTCTTCATGCAAATTCATAATAGTTATAGCTGCAAGTTTTATATCTTTATTTTATCATGTCTTTACTCAATCTACTGTCAGCAAAGTGACGTTTTGTTAAATTCATTCATTCAATTTCCGTCAGCTCACTCCCTTTACTCATCAGGGGTCGCCACAGCGGAATGAACCGCAAACTTATCCAGCATATGTTTTACACAGAGGATGCCCTTCCAGCTGCAACCCAGTAGTAGGAATCACCCAAACACTCTCACATGCAGACACATAAACTATGGCCAATTTAGTCCATTCAATTCACCTGCAGCACATGTCTTTGGACTGTGGGGGAACACAGAGCACCCGAAGGAAACCCACACCATCACAGAGAGAACATGCAAACTCCACACAGAAATGCCCTTCGTAAAATTAAAATAGTGTTTTTGATGACTCAAATAACTACTGTTAATGAAATGTTTGAAAATTTGCGTACGCCTTTAAAAGTCATAAGTTTTAAGTTTTAATTCGCACGTTCAGTATTTTTCATAAATTCGCTCTATTTATGACCAGCAAATTGAAGTTTTGTGAAATTCGAATGATGTCTTTTAGTTTTCGAATAGTGAATTGCTGATTGGCTATTGAATTATTCATTCACATGCCTAGTTATAACCTGATTGACGTTTGTGTTCGCAGGTGATGGTGATCCTGGAGAAGACAGAGGACATGTGTAGTGTGGCCTATACGGGACAGCACAGACAGCAGGTTACAGTTGCAGCCGGTTCCTCTAAACTCATTACATACACCATCATCCCTCTGAAAACAGGGGAGCTCCCTTTACAGGTCACTGCTGTCGCTGCCTCGTTCATGGGTCAAGATGCAGTGAAGAAGAATCTACGTGTAGTAGTGAGTGCCTATTATAAACAGTGTGCCTATTATATACAGTGAATCTTTAACATGATATTAAAATGGTGCAACGGTGTAGTTTCTGATGGTTTTGTATGTGTGTGTTTTAGGTTGAAGGCATTCAGACACTTAAAGTGAGGAGCTTTGTGTTGAACCCATCAGAGAAAGGAGGCAGTGGTGAGACTGAAGTTTAATGAATGTTTATCATGTAATGGCAGCTATTGGAAAAAGTGAGACCACTTGAAAATTTGCAGATTTTCTAGATTTGCCATTTATATGTAAAACATATTTTGTTTTGCTTCATTCTGTGAACTACTGATGAAATTTCTTCTAAACTTTATAATTTCTTCTAAAAATAATACCTTTTTAACTTTTTATTAATGTTTACAATGTAAATCCAACAAGTTCCACTTAATTGGTAAACAAAGCAAGTGTCTCTTATAATATATCGACTAAAAGAAATTTTTATATTAGCCAATAATATTGCTGAAATTAACTTCAAAACTGAATAAATGTCAGCCCAATAGCTTAGTGGTTAGCGTGCCGACATATGGTGCAGTAGCACATCAGGGCGTCCCGAGTTTGAATCCTGGCTTGAGGACATTTCCCTACCCCAGCTTCTCTCTCTCTCTCTCTTTCCAACTTGGCTTCCTGTCTAAAGTGTTGCCATTTTTTTATTCATTTTCTATTAATTTTGTCTTCATCAGGTTTATATTTACTTTAGGCAACACATTGCAAACTTCAGAAGAATTAAGAAATCCATAATAATATTTATTATACCCATGACTGTCAACAAAAGAAAAATAATTGTTTTCTTGACTAATTGTCTTCTTAAAAATGCTCTAAATTGCAATACTTCAAATTTTTTGAAATTTGTAAGAAATGCTGTCAGATTTTTATAGGATGAAACATTTTACTCAAACACATGACATTTTACTCAAACGCATATCTACTAAATCCAGTAAATACAGAGAAACTGAGAAGTTTCAAGAGATGTATTTATTTATTATTTATATAATTATTTCAAGTTATTTATGTTTCTTGCTATTGTCACGATTGGAATGGAAAGTCGAGATGCGGATCTAAATGTGGCACAAAACAATAAAAAATTTTTTAACAGAAATAAATGAAGAACGCATGACCCCTTAACACAAAGAGTGACCAACAGAAATGAAACAAAAGAGCTTAAACACATAGACAAATAAGGTAACACAGGTACCGTAGGAGACAATGATAAAAAAGAAATAAGATAAGAGGGGTTACTGTTAGAAAACAAATCCAAACAAAAACGTCATCTTATTTTTTCTTTGTCACATGTATGTGAATTAATCATTCCAATAAGATTGAACAATACATTTCTTCTAAAAATATATAAAAATTCCATTAATTACATGTATTAACAAGGCATATGTGAATTATCCTTATTTCTTAATGAAATGCTTTCATTTATAGATCTCTGACCTGTGTCTGTGATTTATGATTTGTTTGTATCTAAGCTGGGCAACAGTTGATTCAAGTCAAGAAGATGCAGTTGGATGCTGTTGTGCCAAAATCTATACCAGAGACATTCGTCAATGTCAGAGGTGTGACATTTTCTTAAAATGTTTTGTAAGCTGTAAGCTGTTTTATTATATATATATAATAAAACATAGACATATCTTTTGTCAAAATAAACTTTTATTTTGGATGCGATTAATTGCAATTTAATCTTTTTCTAGCATTAAAATAAATTATTTTCTCCAGGTGATTTGCTGGCAGACAGTATTGATAACTCCATTAAGGAGGACTCGTTGGCAGCATTGATCCGGATGCCTGGAGGCTGTGTGGAGCAGAACCTGGCCAGAATCACTCTGCCCCTCATCGCAGCTCATTACCTGGACCGCAGTGCAGACTGGGAGATCGTGGGAATTAGTCGCAGAGAAGAGGCCATCAAATACATACAGAGAGGTGCAATGACACTCAAACAGGGATGAACTTTGTTTCTTTTAAATACAAATGATGCCAAGACTTAGGTCTACAGCAGCATGGTGACAAATATAAATACCCGAGCAGGCACGTAAATTATATTAATTTAACACATTTGTGTCCAATAATTGGTTTTATTTCTGTATTAGTGTTCGCAAACGAATCGTTCTTTTTAACCTAATCTTCTAAGTGAACCAGTTGAACTGATTCACCAAATCAAACTGAATCATTTTAACTATTAAGTTCTCTAGTAACGCTAAGCACGTGTTTACAGACAACTTACTTTTTACTTTCCTGATACCCCCTTTGACTGGAAATATACCAATATATGCTGAGTTATTCAGTTATTGGAACAGTACACTGAGATCAGATTCGAGAAGTGGTTAACCGATAATACTGCGCATCAGTGATTCAGCAGAGGGTGAACTGAACACAAACAGTACATGACAGCCTGCTGAAGTCTTAATGGATTTTAAATAAGTGAATCATGCGTCAGTTGGTTTGCAAAATGTAATTGTAAGAAACTGTTCAGATCATGGTAATGATTATGATTGCTGACTACATATTTTTAATATGTTGAGTCCAAACTTGGCAAGATTGTCACAAAAGAATCTCAGAAGCAGCTTTGCACACATATTGTACTTAAGTGGGCTGTTGTATTTAAATTAGAGGATGGGTAGATGGTAGTGTTCTTGTGTCAAAAAAATGTAGCCTATCTTTGGTTCAGTTTTTATTGTACAATGTTTATTCTGATGATTTTGAGTCTTGCACCTAACAAATATCCTAATTTACACACACACAAAAAAACTGAAACTAAAACTAAACAAACAAAACTTGGCAATTTTAATATATAAAAAATAATGCTGTCAATCAAAAAAAAATGTAACTAATTAATCGCACTTAAATTTTTTTTATCGCGATTAATCACGATTAATCACATTTAAAAGACTGAAACTCGTAATTTTGGTTATTCGAGTGTAAAATGAATGTAAACGCAAGACAAATACTGTTTAAATTTAAAATATAATTCATTATTAGAATTTTTAATTTTTCTTCATGTAAACAACATACCCACAATAAACCATCAAGATCCTGGCTTGACAGCCATACTTATTACAGAATTAAAAACACAGGCATGTTAGAGCCATTTGAATTTCAAAACAATCAATGCCAATAAAGAAAACATTGATCTCCATGTTGGATTCTAAGTGGACTGCAAAAAATGCCAAAATACAGGCATTGCAGATATGGAAAATTATAATAATAACAATAATGTATTGAAAATCTGTGCATGCCCTTGAATATGTTTACCAACTCCCATTCTATAAAAGCACAAAAGCCATATATAGGAAATAATAAAAAACTAATTTTTGATTTATTCATTATTAAAAGTAAATTATAATCCACACTGGAAATGTGGGTGCCTGTGTGTTTTGAGGGAGCCTAATAAATAATGAACATAACAAAAACTGCCTGCTGACGCACACAGTTAATGTTGGTTAATAAAAAAAGATAAATAATAAAAGCAATGTGTCAGAGACCCTAAAAAAATGTTTAACTCAACAATGAAACATCAAACGATGCTTAAAGATTTTACATTGTCAATCAAATGAACTTAAACAATTGAAAAATGCCACAAATATTTATTTGGGCAGAACTACAAAACTAAATGTAAAAAAAGTTGCTTAAGTTGCACACTAGTTTGGTCATGTATAAATATCATTATAACCATAATTGTATAAATATTATTGTCACTATAAGCCTACATCATGCTGACGATCAAAAACACAATGTCATGATGTCTCATGCGCTTGTCTTCTGACCAAGTGCATCTTAAAATGCATGACTGACACTCTTCATAGAGCGTGAGAAGCAGATATTCTTTATAATTTGTAAAATAAAGACTTGCAGGTTAAGGAAACAGCATAGGAAGTTGCCGCAGCCGTGGTGCAGATTTTAAAGTTTAAAAAAGTATATTTACATGGACAGATAGGTAACTAGATAGAATAGACAGGAATATATTGATCTGTGCCCCGCTGCAGAGTGCAGACGCAAAAGCCTGCTCTCCCGCAGCGCGGACCTGCGCTTAAGAAACAGGCTATTTTGACGAATACACACCTACGTTACACAGAGCCCAACATGGAAGTTTGTGATTGGGTCAGCCAAATGTCAATAAAGAAAAGAACCAATGGGCTGCAGATTATGTCACACGGCCACTCTTTCCGGAAAAGAAACATCTTACTTTCAGAGCGTGACAGACAGCTCACAGCACCATCAATCACTGAGGCAGAAAAACATAACAGTCTTTTGTGTTTTATGAGCTAATCAGATCATAAGAAGATGATCAGCCCGGCCCAAAAAGTACGTCGAAACAGCGGGAAACTGCCTGGTGTCTGCCCCTGGCCACAACAGAAAAAAAAAAACTGCGTTAATTTTTTTTAACGCGTTAATTATTTCAAATTAATCACATGCGTTAATGCGTTAATTTTGAAAGCGCTAAAAAAAAAAAAAAAAAAACTAGTAGATTTACCTCTTAAGCTAGTTAAAACTAACTGAATTTGAAAACAAGAAGACAAAACGAAATAAAAACTAAAACTAACGAAAAATCAAAAACTATTATTACCTTGGTATACAACTAAAAGAACAAAATAAAATAAAAACCCAAACATGCACATAATATAAAGACCTACAGTGAAATAAAGATAAAGAAGAGGATATATTGATGGCTAAGTATAGTTGCAGACTCAAAAGCCAGGGATAAAATGGGAGCTATTGGGTAAACTGACCATGGTAGAAAACTTAAGATAGATTAGTGAGGCAAATATATTGGACTACAAATACCATTGTGTTTTGTGGTATTTATTTGGTGTTGCGTGACTTTATTTGTCAATAATATGTCCCTGTAAATATCGTTAGTGTTAAAGCGAACAAAAGTTTTTGCAGTTGTACTGCCCTGTAGCATTCCTTTCAAATCTTTGTTTAGACTTTATATAATTTCTTATTTGAAAAATGGATATGGTTTGAAGCGGAGCAATAAAAATAGCATTAGTGTACTTTTTATATTGAAATAAAATTGTGTTTGTGAATGTTTTATTACAAAAAGCTGGGTCACACTTCATTGAAGGTACAATTCTTGCTGTTAATAAACTATTAACTATGAGTTTTAGCTCAACAAACTCTTGATTCGCTGCTTAGTTAATAAGGTAGTAGTTAGGTTTAGATAAGTTATAGGTATTAGGGATATAAAATAAGATCATGCAGAATATGTACTTTATAAGTACAAACAAAACAGCCAATGTTATAACAATAATAATAATAGACAGTAAATAGGCAAATAGTTTATAGTGAGAAAAGGTGCATGAACTAAATTGTTACCAAAATTTTATTGCATCTCTAATATTATTAATGTGCTCTTAAATTAATTGTATTTTCTAGGTTATGAAAATCAACTTAACTACAAAAAATCAGACGACTCGTACCCTCCCTACGCCAATGAAGGCACCAGCACATGGTATTGACACCGACGCAATAATAACAGCTTTACATTTCCCAGAATTCATGTGTCTTTCTGCTCTGCCCTGTCAGGATCACTGCGTATGTGGTGAAGGTTTTCTCCATGGTGCATTCATTCATTAACGTCAATGAGAAGCATCTGTGTGGCCCTCTGCTCTATTTACTCAAGAATAAACAGGGTTATGATGGAACTTTTCAAGAGAACAATCCTGTTTATGACACCAGTATGACGGTAAGAACTAAAGGGTCACTCCACTTTTTAGCCTCATTTTTCAACTATCCTAGAGGTTAAAACGTTTGAGTTTTACAATTTTCCAATCCATTCAGCCGATCTCCAGGTCTGGCAGGAGCACTTTTAGCTTAGCTTAGCATAAATCATTGAATCAAATTAGACCATTAGCCTCTAGAAGTTTGATCATTTTCTCGGCTTAACTTTTCTGTAGTTACATTGTGTACTAAGAAAAAAAGTTGCTATTTTCTAGGCCGATATGGTTACGTGTTGCATAATATCATTGCTCCTGCTGCAGCCATGATGATACAGCAGTATAGTTCCTTGATTATTACACCAGAATGAGAGTATAGTTACTAGTCATATCAACCTAACACCAGCTTTTCATTTTCTGTCGGCCTTACTATGCAACTACAGATGATTCAAGCTTTAAATAGGAAATTATTAAAACTCTTTGGCCATTTTTAAGCGAAATGCTAATGGTTTAATCCAATTCAATGATCTATGCTAAGGTAAGCTAAGCTAAAAGTGTTCCCTCTACACCCAAAGATCGGCTGAATTGATTCCAAAATGGTAAAATGCTGCTTTTTAGCTCAAGGTGAGCCTATTTTAAAGTGTTCCTTTAATAACTGTGACATAATAATCAAAGTTAATAGTCATCTGTATTTCTATAGGGCTTTTTACAATGTAGACTGTGTCAAAGCAGCCTAACACTATCTGAATGTTTTGTCACAGTGTTGTGTTGTGTTGTGTTGTGTTGTAGGGAGCTATGCGGGGATCTGAATACAAAGCATCTTTGACTGCATTTGTGCTCATTGCTTTAGCAGAGGCACAAGATAAAGTTACTTGCCAAGATCAAGAAGTCAACATACGGGTATCTGCACTATTCACTTGTTAAAATGGCTGAAAATATCAGCAATTAAATAAGGCTAGTTGGCTACATTCAATACTTTAAACAAAATCTAAAACATCAATAAAGTGGAAGCTAAATGAAATAATGATAACTGAATTAAATAATTAATATAATAGCTAAATTGAACGGTTTAAAAACAGAAGAACAGAAGCTAAATTAAATGGAGTTGTAGCTAAATTAAGTAGTAAAGTGATAGCTATTTGCAATAATTAGAATAATTGGCACACTAGCTAAATTAAACAAGTAATATCTACATTAAACAGCTCATTTAAATAATTAGAATAATTATTTTTTGTTAAATGTTTCATTATATAATTTAGACATTATCTAAATACATAATTTGAATTATTGTTTATTAATAATTTGAACAATTCATTCTTTTCATCATCTCAAGGTCCTGAGGTGTAAAACTATATATTATGTTAAAAGGCTAAATTAGCAAACAAGTACAGCTCTGATCCATACTACCAGGCCTGTGAACTATGAATCTACAAGACCAAAACTATTTGTACTGGCTATAATAAAATGTACTTTTTTTACATAATTAATGGTTTTACTTGTATTTTTTTATCCACAGGATAAGTCTAGACAGGCAGCAGGGTATCTGACAGAGCATTTCTCCCGGCTGACCAGGCCATATACAGCAGCTATAGCATGCTATGCGCTAGCCGTATCGAACAACGCCTGCGTGAAGAGCATGTTGCTCAAATTTGCCTCACCTGGTACTTACATTTTAAACGCACAAATATGAACACAATATGTCATCTTCTCTTTCTCATTATACTTTATTGTCTGTCCACAGATCATTCCCACTGGCCTGATTCAAACAATTATTTTTTCACACTGGAAGCTACAGGCTACGCACTGCTAGCGCTGATCAAAAGTGGCCACATGGAAGAGGCAGAAGCTCCATTTCGATGGCTGAATGAGCACCGTGGCATTGGTGGAGGATACGGCTCTACTCAGGTGAAGTAAACCTGTATGAATGATCTAAACTAACTGTCAAACGTTTGGGGTTTTAAAAGAAGCTTGTTCTGTATATAGCACATTTATTGTGTATGGCCATACACCCAAGGCACTTCACTATCACCACCACCAGTGTGCAGCATCCTCTTGGATGATGCAACGGCAGCCACAGGACAACAGTGCCAGTGCGTTCACCACACATCAGCTATAGGTGGAGTGGAGAGACAGTGATAGAGCCAATTCCGTGGATGGGGATGATTGGGAGGGCATAATGGTTAAGGGCCTATTTAGGCAATTTGGCCGGGACACCGAGGTTATACCCCTACTCTTTACAAGAAGTGGCATGGGATTTATTTATTTATTTTTACTTTGTTTATTTTGAACATTCAATTGAGTACAATCATACAGCATTTCAAGGTACATTGGTATCTCAGCATGTGAACTTAGGTGGTATAAAAATTACGTACATTATTGTCAGGTGTATTTACTACACAGAAGTACTCAAATTTTGCAAATTATAACATAAAGAGAGAAGAAAAGTAAAAAAAATAATATGAAAAAGATTAAATATAATATGATAATCAGAAATAAATGGAAATTAAAACACTATTTACATCCAGGGTTAGAACACGTCATTCCTTCCAGAGTAATCTCAAGTGCACCATCTTTATTTAACACATGGGGACACATTATAATATGAATAAGTGTAACCATATACATGTAAATACACTAGCATATATTTATCTATCAGAACATCATCTTCAATTCATTTATAGCAAATGTCATCATAGTCATGTCTTCTAACTAAAATATATTCAACCCATATATTTATTAATATATTTCCTCCATTTTCTCAGGAATATATCCTTCTTTAAATTGACAACAAAGGTGATTTTTTCCATTTTATACAGTAGATCTCAATAGTTGTGTCTATCCAATTACTAAGGGTTGGTCCCTCTTGCTGTAGCCATTTGCGTGTGATTGCTTATTTGCTAGCAGCCATGAGAACACGCGTAAGGTATTTATTGTCTGCCTTCACTGTATCTGGATCCACACAGCCAAAATATAACAATTTACTTTCTAGAGGTATATCTTTTTCAAATATATGTTCAAGAGCCTCCTGTATTTCTTTCCAATATTCTTGAATATACATACATTCCCAAAAGATATGATAATGGTTTGCTTTATTGCATCCGCAGTTACGCCAGCATTTTGGAGACTTGCTGGTGTTTTAAAATATCTAATAATGTTTTTCCAACAGTTTTCGTTCCAGTTTAATGAACTTGTTGATTTCCATTGAAATTCTTATATATTTGTCCACTCTTCATCAGTGAATGCTGTTCCACTTTCTGTCTTCCATTTTTCTTTTGTATAATTTGTGGAATGTGTTTTCATACTTCTCAGACTCTTATAAATCAGAGAGACTTTTTTGTACTTTATACCTAATGTGTGTGCTTTTTTAATTAGATCTAACAGTGGATTCTGATTGTCTTCAAGTTTTCCTTTTATTTTCTGATCGTAATAGTTTCGCACTTGTCTTGGAGGTACCTATAAAAATCTTGATTTTCAAGTAGAAAATTGTCCTTTAATTGTTGAAAGCTTAAAATTTGTCCCTTTTTAATGATGGTACTAAAGGACGTTATACCCTTGTTTGCCCATAATTTGACTCTGTTATCTAATCTGTTTGGTGTAAAATCAGAATCATAAGCAATCTATTTTAAAACTGTACAGTATTTTAGCAAGTTCAATTCTTTCATCACTGATGTCCAGACATTTAAAGTAAGTTTTGTCCATGGGTCTTCTATTTGTTCTGTATATTTTTGTAATTTTTCATCTATTAATATGGCTTGAACAGGCGTATTTCTGAATGTTAAGTTTTCTATATCTTTTCATGGGGCATGATAGTGTGGGTCACACCAGTTTACAATAGTCTTGATTTGTGCTGCTATATAATAGTCTTTTAGAGAGGGGAGAGCCCATCCTCCTTTATCTTTCATCAGCTGCAGTGTTTTAAAGCGAACTCTCGGCTTTTTTCCCTGCTAAATGAAGCGCAAAAGCATTTTATCCCATTCTATAAATTGTTTTTCTACAGGTAAACACTGAAATAAATATACAATTTTTGGTACAATGTTCATCTTAATTGTTTTAATCCTCGAACTAAAGCTAAAAAAGGGGATTAAATTCCATCTGGTCAAATGTTCTCTAGTTTTAGCAGTCACAGGGTCGAAGTTTATTTTTTCTGTGTTTTTTGTTTGATGGATACCTAAATATTTTAATGATTTTGTATGTCATTTTAGTGAGTATACATTTTTTATATTTGTAGGGGGATTATAAATATATGTAATAATTTCATTTTTTTCTATGTTTAATTTATATCCAGAGATAGGACTAGAGTATTGGAGTTGTTTCATGAGATGGGTTAATGAAGTGGTTGGATTTCTTATATAAATCAATACATCATCTGCGTAGCAGGCTATCTTGTGTTCCACTCCTTTAAAAACAATACCTTGAATTGTTTTATTCTGTCTTATGCTTTTTACTAGGGATTCCAAATAGAGTGCAAACAATTGAGGGGACCACGGGCATCCCTGTCTGGTGCCTCTTTCCAATGTGAATGAGTTTGAGAGGTGGCCGTTGATCTTTATTTTTGCAGTTGGTGTATCATAAAGTGCTTGTATACTTTTGATTATAGTTTTGTGGAAGCCAAATTTGTCTAAGACTTTATAAAGATATGTCTAGCTGACAGAATCGAAAGCATTTTTAGCGTCTAAACTTAAAATTATTGCTGTTATCTTATTTCTCCTGATATGGTTCATAACATGTAATGTGTGTCTAATATTATCATTAGTTTGACGCTGACGGATGAATCCAGATTGGTCTTGGTTTATCAGGTTGAGCATGAAGTATTCCATTCGTCTGGCCATGATTGATGTATATAATCTATAATCAACATTTAATATAGAGGTCTGTATGATCCACACTGTAACTTGTCTTTGCCCTCTTTTGAAATGATAGATATAATTGCTTCTTTCCATGATGGTGGAACAGTTGCATTTTTTAGGGTCCAATTAAAGGACCAGACCAAGACAGGTATTATCTCTTTTTGGAATGCCCTATACCACTCCCCAGTAAATTGATTTGGTCCTGGAAATTTGTTAAATTTAAGCTTAGTAATGGCCTTTTTTAACTTCAGTTTCTGTTATTTCTCCTGACAATAATTTGTTTTGTTCGTCAGTTAGTGTTCCAAAATGTCAATTTCTTTGTTTTTATCTTCAGGCATTTCAGAGTACAATTTTTTGTAAAACATTTCAAAAACAGTTTGAAAATTCTCTTGTTTGTTTTGTATTGTGTTGGTCACAGGATCTCTGATTCTATATATTGTTTGGTCTGCTTGTTGTTTTCTTAATTTCCATGCCATTATTTTCATAAATTTGGGGCCACTTTCATAATATTTTTGCCTGGAGAACGATATTTTTTTCTCGACCTCTTGAGTATATAGCATATTAATTTCATTTTGTACTTTTTTTAATTTGTTTTAATATTTTTGGGTTTTGATTAATCTTGTGTTCTTTTTCTAATGATTTTAGTTGATGCTGCAATTTGTTTAATTCCTGTTGCCGGAGTTTCTTGTTTAGTGAAGCAAATGCTATAGTTTTCCCTCTTAATACTGCTTTAGCAGCATCCCACAGTATAGGAGGAGTGACCTCTTCATTATCATTATTTTCTATATATATGTGAATTTCATTTTTAAGATGTAGTTTAAAAGATGGATTATTAAGAAGGTTTAGGTTAAATTTCCATAGGGTGTCTTTGTATTTATTATTTAATTGTAGTTTTAAATAGACTGGAGCATGATCACTAATGTCTATAGTTCCAATATCACAACTCGTAACTCTGGTTCTATCTATTTTATACGTAAGGTAATAATCAGTCCTAGAGTAAGTATTATGCGGAGAAGAAAAATGTGTATAATCTTTTGTATTTGGATACAAGCCTCTCCATATATCAATATTGCCAATATCATTCATCATTGCATAAATTTTCTGAAGAATGGGTTTGGGAAATTTTTTTTTCTTATTTGTGTCTAAGTCAGGTTATAGGTGTATATTTAGATCACCCCCACAGATCAGAATACCCTGCGTTTCGGAGGCTATGGTCTGAAATATATTTTAAAAGAGATTAATTTTACTAGTAGGAGCATAAATATTAAATAACGTAACGTATGTTCCATATGTTCCAACGACCTTCTTTGTCAGCATATTCATATATTTTTTTAAAAATAACTTTGTGAGAAATCAATATTATAACCCCTCTCCTATGCTCTGTAGGGTATGATGAGTAATAGATCTGGTTAAATCCCATTCTTTTAAGTTTTTCATGTTCTGAATTATTCAGATGTATCTCTTGTAAGTATACTACAGTATATGGGCATTTTCTTTCTTCATTTTAGTCAATATTTGTTTCCTTTTGATTGTATTAAGTAAGCCATTAACATTAAATGAAATTATTTTTGTCTCGTCACTTATGTTGGTTTAGTATTTTAATATCTCTTGTGTAAGGAAGACAAGAACCCTGGAGAACGATATACGAAACAATAACGAACACTTCAGGAACCTGATAAACATATTGAGCTTCCAAGTTAGGGGTCTCAAACAAACAACCCTGGGACAGTCTGATGACATCTAGTGTGGGATGGAGACCTTTCTTTCTGTGGTGGTACTCAGGGCCCACAGTTCACCGTATTTACATGAGATGGAAGAAAACGTACCTCACGTGTCCGACAAAATATGATGTTTTTTGAACAATACGAAAAAAAAAAAAAAGAGTAGAAATTATTTCTAGTTTTGTGGTCCATATAAATGCACCAAATCAAGTATTTGTCTGTTGTAGATGGCGTAGACAGATTCAAATTATCTTTTGTATGCCTGCAGATACTCTCGGATGTCTGTTGATTGCTGATTTTTTTTTCTTTTTGTCTTTTTATGCGAGACAGTTTTCCACGTCATATGTTTGAGTTGTTCCATTAACAATTCTGTCTGCGGCGTTTTTTCCACACAGAACCCTTTTTTCACCATGTCTCTGTAGGCCTCTTCAGCTGTATGGTACGTGTGGACCCAGTCCTCATAGTAAACACGTAGTCTTGCTAGATATGGAGTTTGGAATCAGATCTTCTTGTCTTTAAGTACTTTTTTCACCTGTGAGTAATCCTTCCTTTTCTGGAGAACCGCGGGAGGATAATCATGATCCAAGTATATTTTTTTGCTCTCCCACGAAGATTTCTTTTTTCGCCCATGCCTTCCGGATCACTTCTTCTTTCGTTCTGTACCTGAGGAATTTTACTATGATCGATCTAGGTTTTGCATTTGTTCCGGGTTTCGGCACGAGCGCCCGATGGGCTCTTTCTACATACAGCTCCGTGTCTGGGGGAAAATCCAAGGTGCCGCGCAACAGTTGTTCTACGAAATCAACCATGGAGTTTCTCTCTGCATCTTCAGGCACGTTGTATATCCTTATATTGTCTCTTCTTGATCTGCCTTCTTGGTCAATCTGTTTGTTTTCCAATTGCGATTGTATTTTGATGATTTTCTGCATGATTTCCTCCACGTTTTGCATTTGGGTTTCAATTTCTTGAATACGATCCTCTGCGTGGCTGATTCTTTGATTAGTCTTATTTAATTTCGTTTTGATTTTATCCAACTGGCGGTTGTTGTCCTTCCAAAAGTCTTGAATTTCCTCCAGGATTGGTTCCAGATTGATCTACGTGTTGTCAGGGTTACTAGACTGTTGACGATTAGCATTGTGTTGCTGTGCTAACGCATGTGTTCCAGCGGTGCCTTCTTGCTGTCTGCCTTCAATTTACACGAGTTCCGTGTTGGTTTTCCTGCTCTTTTTTCTCGTTTCCATTGTTGTCTCACTATTATCGATTATTTTGTAACAGTTTGGGGTATTTCTTAAGTTTAAGTTGGGTTATTAATATCTTCGTCGGAGGAGACGATGCACTATGCTGCCATTCCCTCACTCGCCAGAACCGGAACCCCGGCATGGGATTTTAATTGACCACAGAGAGTCAAGACCACGGTTTAACGGTTCATCCAAAAGAGGGCGTCCACTGACAGTATAGTGTCTTCTTCACTTTTAGTGGGGCATTAAGACTCACACAGACCACAGCTTGAGTGCCCCCTGCTGGCCTTTCTAACACCACTTCCAACAGCAACCTAGTTTTCCCATGTGGTCTCCCATCCAGGTACTGACCAGGCTCAGCCCCGCTTATCTTCAGTCAGTAACCGGTCTTGAGCTGCAGGGTGATTTAAACAGTTTTCAGATTTCAGTGTTGAAGGTTTGTTCAGAAATACTAAAATGATGATTTGAGAAACATTCATTACTATTGTCAGTGTTGAATATTGTTAGGCTGTATATGTTGTTTTCAATCACGCGGTTCTGGTGACGCACAGAATTCAGATAAATGGGAAACACAAAGGAAAGTTTAAGTTTTTTCGATTTTTACCATATTTCATAGGTCAGGAGATATAAATAGAAAATAACCACATATGTTGGGCATAATCCTTGATCGCACTTTATTTTGATTGTTTGTTTGTTAAATTTAAGTTACATTGCATCTACATGTTAACTAATTTTCATTAGATTATAAGTAGACTGTTTGGTTGAGGTTAGGGTTAGTGTAAGTTGACATGTACTTTCAAAGTTATTTATAGTCAGTTAAATGTCTGTTTAGCAGCAGTATCAACAGATATTAAGCAGACAGTCTACTAATACTCAAATGGACCATGGAAATTAAGTATTACCTAATCCTTATATCATGAAGAGGACCGAGTTTACTAAGAGTCTACTTTATTAAATTATATTTGCCTGTCAATAATGCAGTACATACTGTATAATTACTTTACATGAAAAAATACCATAGCGAATACTATAGTGTTTGGAAGCATACTTACCCGAATGAAATTGTCGTAATCATATTGTTGCTGTGGTACAGCACAACTGTAGTAATAAACAGATTATTCAATAGGCTTCAGTTTTATACGTTATAATCACAATGCACCACAGTTTACACTAACTTTACAATAATTACCACAGAATATCAGTTTACTATGCTACAGTATTCTTTAGCACTCATTAACAAAGAGTTAAACACTTTACTATAGTTTTTTACCACATGTGAATATCTTCCAGACATAATGAAAAAACAGATGAAAGCATACAAAAGTGTGGACGTTTAGTCTACATTATTATTAATTTATTTTTGTAAGAGTGAAAAATGCTCCACAATAATAATCGTCTAGTTTTGTCGCAAGGGTTGCATTTCTTTTTTTTTACTTAGCATCAACAAACATTCATGCGCTGCCACGCATCTTGATGTTGACGTTACGGTTGTTTATTCTGTCAAAACGCTGGTAAAGACATGGATTATTGCACAACAAGACAGAGATTCGAGTGCAGCGATAACATGGCAGGGTGGGCTATTTATATCCTCCTGGATTTTGTATAAGTGTGGTTGTGTTTGTATCTGATTTTTATATAACACATTAGCATATTTCCATACATAGCTAGGCCTGTGTATAATCTTTATTGGTGCTGTCAAATGAATTATCGTGTTCAAAAAAAGTTTGTACATATGGATGTATTAAATAAATGTTTATTACATGCTGCCTTTTCTTCCGTTTTTCAGGCAGTTTCTTAAACCTTAAAATCCTTTTTATGAGCTAAAGCATTTCGAAGTCTATAAAAGCTGTTCGACATTTCTCATTTTGACTAATTTAAACAATTATAAACAACATAAAACAGAAACATTTTGATGTTCTGATAGCGATTCCTATGTAGAGGAATCACTTCCTGCCCTGCATCTGAATTTCGTGCGTCATCAATAATGTCATGTGAAAACAACCTATACAGTACCATTCATAACTAAAAAAAAATGTATTGTATTTTCTTTTGTTTATAGGACACATTAAATAGTCCAAGAGTGAAAGTAAAGACATTTTATAATGCGTCTACATGTGTATACTATATTTTAGTGTTAGAAGGATCATGGGTCCCACTTTATATTAAGTGTCCTTAACTACTATGTAATTGCATCAAAAAAAGAAATACATTGTACTTACTGTGTTTATGATGTATTTGAGAACACTTGTGGTGCTTTTGAGTTGGGATAGAGGTTGGGTTATGAACAGGTTTGGTGGTATGGGTAGGTTTAAGGGTGGGTTAAGGTGTAAGGCATGGTCAACAGTGTATTTACAAATGTAATTACAAAAGTTAATTACAGATGTAATTACATAATTGTATTAAATCAAGCATAAGTACACAGTAAATACATGAGCTTACACAATAAGTACTTTGTAACAAACTATTAATTCCTGTGTAAGTACATAGTAGTTAAGGCCACTTAATATAAAGTGGGACCGGATCATGTATCACTGACGGTTGGAGTAATAATGCTGATACTTCTGTTTTAAATAACAATAATGAAAAAATATTGGGACTACACCCAATGTGAACACTATTATTTTAAATTGTAAGAATATTTCACAACTTTGCAACATATTTGATCAAATAAATGCAGTTGTGGTAAGCAGAACAGGCTTCTTTTATTCCTTCATCAAGTGAAGAACCATGTATTGTAACATCATTTAGATTGATCACAATGTAATTGTACTTTTATTATGTGATAAAAGTCTAATAATTACCTTATTAACACTCCAGAGGATTTCTGTACTGTAACAATTTTGCTTAAGCAACTTTTCTTTACTCATTCCAAACTTTTGACCAGTGGTGTAGTTGTGGTTCATTTGTTTTCATATAATGATTATATTCCTCCATCAGTCCACCATGGTGGTTCTTCAGGCCCTGTCTGAGTATCTAGTGAAGAGGCCTCCTCCGTCAGACCTCAATTTGTTGGTTCAGCTCAGCGTTCCTGGTCGGAGTGATGTTCGCTGGACCTTCAATCCCAACTTGGCTTATGTGGCCCGTTCTTCACGAGTGAGTTTATGGATGTTCCATCTTTTGAACTCCTTTTTGAAGACAAAGACAAGTTTGGTATGAAATATGACACACTTTTAATGTCTTCCAGGTCCCTCTTGATCAGGAATTCTCAGTGGCGGCTTCTGGGAACGGCAAGGGTGTTTTGGAGGTGCTAAATGTCAATGTTTACCAAGAATATCTTGAACTAGAATATAAAAATCGAGATATAATTCATCGTTTATGTGTAATAGGTAGTGACGGTTTACCATCAGCTTCCTGATGTGTATGAGAACAGCACATGCAACGGCTTTCAGCTGGACGTCTCTATCGCTGAGACTAATGGTGAGTTGACAAAAGTTTGCAGTGTTTTCCCCCATACCGAGATGTACAGTGCAGGATTTATGAACTGTTGATTCTTTTAGAAATAATGTAACTTTCACAGTATTTTAATAAAGGGATTTCTCCCTCCTCTGACATCATGGGGTGAAAACTTTAGTTGTAGTGGCCTCACGATGACACTATACCCATGGTTTCAGAAATTCTTCACCCTGGAATGAGTTTTTTGTTAGAAATGTTTGGTTTTAGTCACCTGATACTTCTTTTTTTCCAACTGGATTGACTGTGGGTTTGACAATACTTGTGTTTATGTGATCGTTCTGCCATGTAGCTTTATGAAAAGTCTACTGGATAGATTTCACCAATACTCTATTGTCCATTTTTAGAAAAAACCTCATCGGATGTAGAAAAGTCCTTCAGACTCAATGTCAATGTGAGGTAAGCACTTCTAAACGGGTTGACAGCTTTTTAAATCAAGTTAGCATTGTGTGGTTCCTATATTTTTCCAATTTTCACCTACACAGGGCTCTGGAAGAACGGCAAGTGAGGATGGTTATTCTGGACATCGGCCTGCCTACAGGCTTTGAACCTGAAAACTCTGATTTAGAGTTGGTAAGACCAAACTCGTGTGACATTACATTAGTGACAGCAGCTAATTCTGCATTGTATACAGAACCTTGACAGCCTTTTAGGTGCAGCTCACCTCTAAGTTTGGCCAAATTTAGCATCAGACCATGTATAATAAAGAAGGCAATCCTATAATGCATTGTGACAAGCTACTTTTAAAATAGTGGACATCAAGAAAAAGGTCATTGCTGATTATAAATACTGTGACATATGTTTAATTAATGGTATTTGGTATAAATGTGAGCCCAGCATTATAGACGTGAACATCTGCCATGACTTTTTCAGCTTACAAATTCAGTGGATCGCTACATCAACAACTTCCAAGTGGTGGACAACCTGAGCGACAGAGGATCCCTCATAATTCACCTGTTCAAGGTAACCTAACAAGAACTTTTGACTTAGATGTCTTGTTAATATGCTGTAAATGAATGCATGATTGAATATCTGTCTTTGTGTGATGTCCCGCACAGGTGTCCAACAAAGAGGCAGAAATCATCTCATTCAGACTCAATCAGAGGTTTAAAGTGGGGCTCCTTCAGCCTTCCACAGTCAAAGTTTACCAGTACTACAACAAAGGTTCATACTTTAATATGCTTTATATGTTTACTAAGTGGTACTGCTCAGTGCTTCATTTGTAAATGGATCATTTCTGGAACAAAATTAGGAAATTAAAGTTATCATGACCGACATCTGCCACACAATTTCAGTGTTCCTAGAACATGACGTTACTGAGTAACAGCGGGGAAAAAAGCATAAAATTTCTGAACAATCTTTAATTATTTTGTGCAATATAACGGTATGGGTTAACCCTGAAAAAGCAAACAAACATGTAGCTACAGACATAAACTGTATAAACATCACTCTTCAGTTTACTAACACCACTGACATTCAGTTCACTTCACTATTATGTGCCAGGAGAATATGACTTACTCTGTGACTTGAGATCCCTTTGCTTCTGTCTCCCGCTATCCTGATCCAGCGGCGCAGTTTCATCTTCTCAAGATTTCTTTTAATCAGGCTCATTATCAGATTTACTCGTGGTTTAAAAAAATAATACATGCTTGACTGCCTCTGGCATTTTGAAAACACAAATGTTATTTATGTAGCCCACTATGCCATGCGCATGAATCAATAATCACTAACCAATGAGAATGATCGTAAACATAAGAAAGCTGATTGGTCGAAAGTGACTACCTTTATGTATGTGCGCGCACACACAATCCACACAGCTTTGCTCGCTGTTTTTCATTCGAATCGTTTACATTCTCTCTCTCTCACACACACATGCTGAAATTCACCAAGCAAAAGTTAATGCCGGATCCATTAAAATAAACATCAGAACACAAAACATGAATATCTGACATTTCCTGGAACAGGATCCGGCTCAAATTAATCACTGGTACCGCTAATATAAACTCTAAAGTATTAGATTCTTTCTAATGGTTAAGTCTTGGCTGAAATATCTTTTTTTTTTTGCATTTATTATTTTGATGCTAACTAAAGGCTTGACTGTGACTTTATATGATTTATTGCAGATAAAAGCTGTAGCAGGTTCTACTCTCCTCCTGAAGACAAACAGCAGCTGGATCAGATCTGTGAAGGCGACGTGTGCCGCTGCTCGCAGGGTCAGTCTCTTTGTGTTTTCAGTTTAACGTCTCACTTTTATCCAGAAACATTATAAATTCTTCCTTTGCAGGTGACTGTTGTGTAATGAAGGAAGACTTCGCATTTTTTGGTAAAGAGCAGAGGAATGCCGCTGTATGCAACGGATTACATCATGGTGAATATTTCTTCAGAGTAAATTACTGTTGTTTATTATTCCTGTCAATGAACAACTTTTCTTCAGCCTACAGAGTCAAGCTGATCAGCATCAGCCAGAGTCACTATTACCAGTATGAGATGGAGATTGTGCAGGTTATTAAAGAAGGTATGTTTGTTTAGCACTTTATGGAGGTATGAAATTGACATTTGGCAGCAATTAATTATGTACTACTTATTTCCTTGTTATTCTGAACAATATATTGGAGAATAGGAAAGGTAGACATACCTTTTTTACAGTACTACCTGTAAATTGACATAAAATTACTCGAATGACTTCACAAGTAACTAAAAACTTCTCATTCTGGGAAATTGCCGAAAATATTTTTCAGGTATTTTTTTTAAAAAGGGCCCATTCACACATGATCTTTTCATGGCAATTTACCTGAAATCGTCCAGAAAGGTCTGTATTTGTGAATGGGAAAATAATGTGCTGTTTATGAGTTACACAACATTCGAGTGTCGCTCCAAAAATCATTTCCCTGTCACCCTCACACATTTTTATTCACAAACCAGTTACAATTGTCTTACATAGCCTTACTGTAAATTTTACATATCGTAGCTCTGAAATTTCTGGACTTTTATTCATGTATAATTATTATTTGTTCTTAAGTTTATTTTAGTATAACAAAAATATTTTTAAAAGGAACAGTCATATTTTATGATGAAAATCAACTTTTGGAAACTTTTTGGACAGAACTGTGTGAAGGTATAGTGTGTCCACAGTCAAATTGGTGTGATATAAGCACAATAATTAAAGTAGGATCCAGATCCCTCCCATTTTGAGGTTGATCGCAATGTGACGTAGGAGTGCTGTTTTCCCACTCACCCATATAATCATATCCATGTGACAGGATGTGCGCAAAGCAACTGGGATTAAAAGATCTGTTCAGCTCACTGTAATCATCTGCACCTCAAGAACGAGTTTAAAACCTTTTTTAAAATGTGCATGTTTGTAATAAAGAAAAGAGAGTAAAATCGATGTACACAGCTGCATGTCAGTACAATTATAAAAGAAGACGCTTCAATCCTGGACATTAAATCAGGGTTATTTTGTTATTTTGTTATTTTTTAACACAACAGATATCCATACAGCAGTGGATATTAACGTATGTCTTGTCACATTTGCCGTGCAAAGCAGAACAAAGTTATGTGTGCACGAGTGTGTGAGTGTGTGAGTGTGTGAGTGTGTAAGTGTGTGTGTGTGTGTGTGTGTGTGTGTGCGCGCACATGCAAACTTTATAATGACATTATGTGTGACTCATTAATGCAGAAAGGCTTGAATTAACTCCACAACAAATACATCAAATAATCATTGGGAAAGTGCTCACTCTAGTAAGGGAAATCAGTTTCATACTTGTCTGTCACTGTGCTATTTATCTACCTGAAGGCTTCACACATGCTTCAGCGCAATACAAAGAGATCTCCACGGCTCTGACATGCACGTGTTTGGGGGGTGGGGGTTTAAATTTAATGGTAAATCATATTTTAAAGTGTTGAACTGTGTTTTCTTATGTAATACCCCACATTTTAAACTCTTTTTTAAAGAACTTTTGAAGCTCTTTAATGTACTAAAAACTTTATGGATATAACATACAGCATACATACAGGCTTTAGGCTGTTTTTCTTATTTCATATGTGCCCTGGTCTCATGTGTATATTGTGTTTTTAGGGACGGAGGAAGGTCTGAATGAGAAGGAGAGGAGGATGTTCCTCTCTCATGCAAGCTGCAGGACCAGACTTAATTTGAAAGAGGGTCAGGAGTATCTGGTCATTGGGCCGATCACTGATGTTTGGAATGCAGGGAGCACAGTGTCCAACAAGTAAGTAAAGTAATACCAATGATAACATATAAAGTTAAAGTCAAACCCCAACCCCACCCCCCCTGCAATATCATCATCAATTGTGGAAATAACCCATTGAAGGTTTTAAGAAAACGCACAATATGACATAAGTGAAGTCAACTTTCACCATTGACCGACTTGTTAAAAAAAACATTTTACAAGTAGCCTAACTTTTATTTGAAATCTTGAACCTTATTCTTGAGAGAAAAAAAAGACCAATGAAAAGGTCGAAAGCACCAAAAGCAACCTATTAAAGTTAATTTTAATACTAATTAGGCTGCATATAAAAATCCAAACAAAAAAAAGTTTTTAGGGGTAGCTTAAATTATGTGTCAGTGCTCTTTGTGTAAGGGATTCATCAGAATTAACATTAAAATCAGTCCAAGGCATTTAAAAAATATGGGAAAAATAATGAGAAGCCTTTATTGACATGGCTGTTCCTTAAAACTGCAGCTACATCAGGTTACCCTGATGAAGTCAAGTGTTATCAAAACGTTTAGACGCAGTTTTAAGAAATAGCCATGTTAATAAAGGTTTTTAAATATTTTTTCCACCTTTTTGTAGTGCCTTCGACAGATTTTTGCTGTTTATACTAATTAGGCTAATGTTGTTAGATAAATTTTCAAGAAAGGCTAGAAGAAAATCGTGAAGCTCTTTTTTTATATTTGTTTATTATAAATCTTTAGGAAATATTTTTGGTACATCAAAAATGGAGGATACAACAAGCTAATCCAGCTAAAAAAAGTGCTTAAAATGCCACTTATTGGAGTATTTAAACATCATAATTAAATAGAAAATGAGTTGAATAACTGCAAAAAAGTCCACATTTTGAGAAAAAAGAACCATCCCTTTCACCAGGCTGGCTACGGGCCTGATAATTATTATCATTTTACAATAATTATAAATAATTCATAATTATTTCAAAAAATTATTAATAACAAAAAAAATTTTTTTTTTCAAATATTTTCCAAATGATGTTTAACAGAGCAAGGAATCTTTCACAGTACTTCCGATAATATTTTTTCTTCTTTGTTTTATTTTCCCTAGGATAAAAAAGCGATTTTTATCATTTTTAAAACTATTTTAAGGTCAATATTATTAGCCCCCTTAAGCAATATTTTGTTTTGATTGTCTACAGAGCAAAGCATTGTTATACAGTGACTAATTACCCTACCATAATTAACCTAGTTAAGCCTTTAAATGTCACATTAAGCTGAATACTAGTATCTTGAAAAATATCTAGTAAAATAAAATATTAGAAAATAAAAAATAAAAAGAAATCAGTTATTAGAAATTAGTCAGTTAAACTATTATGCTTATAAATGCATTGAAAAAAAAAAATCTTATTTCTGTTAAACAGAAATTAGGAAACAAATATACAGGGGGGCTAATAATTTTGACTTCACCTATATATCTATTTGGGTTCATATTTGATCATTTGCTTGTGTTTGCTCTCAGGTATGTGTATACGCTTGGGAAAGAGACGTGGGTTGAGCGCTGGCCAGATGAGTCTGAATGTGGATCAACACTGCAGAAGAAATGTGACGAGCTGAAGAGCTTTGCAAAGAAACTGATTGAAGACGGCTGTCAGGCTTGAGACTAACTTTTTCTTATGTGTTATTTTGATTCTTAAAGTCCACGTGAAACAGTGCTGAGACGTTTATTTCAATAGGTTGATGTACTTACAACTAAAACAGAATATTGAGTAGGGGGCGGGGCTTTCTTTGCGCATCATTCCCTCATAGCAAACTAACGAGGCTATTAATATAAGCAAATGGTCCGTTTGGTTGAAGATTACCAAACCAGTTTTTTTTCAGTGTATTAACTTTATTGACCTTAAAGGTGCAGTAGTTAATTGTCTTCAGAAGCATTTTTTGTTGTGCTGGCTAAAAGTCTCTTCACAGTCCAATAGTAATGATTACAGTAAATGATCTAAATGTGTTTATATGTATTTTTATATTCTGAGTAAGGCATAAAACTAAAAAAATGTTCATCCAATTAAATATTGTCGGACCGACATCTCCCATAATTGCGATAAGTAGCTCAATCTGTCTGTCAGCAAATGCAGATTTGGGCTTGCCCGCCGGCATGAACGCTTGCATGTCTAGCTGGGCTTGCGCATGCACACAGTCACAGTCACGGCGAAATCTAATGCTAAATTGAAACTTTTTAAACTCCTGAATCATTCCTGGGTTATTTTTGCACGCTGGAGGAAGGACGACACCCTGGCTCAAGTATTACTCTTAGCGGGAAATGTTCTGTTTTAAAACTATTTAGTTTCATGCAGAGCTGATGTATAGTGTGTTGTGTATTTTCGGTTTGATAAGGGCCTTTTACAGCATCGATAATGTAGATTTATATTTAGTTTAACAACAAAACATCAGTAAATAGCGCTATTCTGCCTAGCCTGCTTGCTGAGCTGAATCTGCTTTTATATTCACATTGGGTCATTTCTGAACAATGACAGCTTGTGATGCGCTCCCTATATTCTTTACCATGCTAGTCTGAATATTCGCTCTGAAATTGCATGTAAGTGTGGCTTAATAAGTGAAATTCCTGCACGCAACCGGGCCAACCACTATGTACACTTCTAACTGGGGAATGACATGAACTAGTGGGTTGTCTGCTGTCGTTTCGTCGCGGTGGTCGCGTTCGCAATTTCAGGAGGCGTAGCTTTGAAACACAGTACCTCCCCTTCCATCCAAAGCTAATCTGCTAACCGATTAGCATTTTGGCAAATCACCTACTGCACCTTTAAGAATAACAATGTGAGCTAGCAAAATAAACACTGTAAATTTAGATTTTGCGCAGACTTTAATACAGTTCTTTCATTAAAAATATATTTTTGTCTGTGCTAAAAAACAACCTCAAAACAGTTCTTAACCCATTTCATGTTTGATCTAGTGATGGACAATACATCCACCATTTTTCCACAAGTTGCATTAGAGGGAAGACAAGATGTCGCTAGTGTGGGTTTTCACTGTGGAATAAACAATCTTCAGAAGTGTACTTTGTTAATAATTTTCAGAAAAGAAAGATCTAGTTTTCTTGCTGTTTCTTTCTTTTCTGCAGTTTGGATTTTAAAATAAAATCAGTTGTCTATTGTCTACACAACTCTTATTTGTTTTGGTTTTGTTTTCGTAATCAGACTCAGAAAAATTAATATCAAGTTTTGTACTTATTGTCCTAAATTTATTTGTAATCATCTTCCACATAGTTTTTAGTGTCAGGTCAATAAAGTGGATTTCTAGTTTAATCTGTACCAGAATGCTTGGCAAGAACAAACTATCACTATTTATATTACTAAAACAAGCTATTTTTAGTGTTTTCAACTAGCTTTTTGTTAGCAAGCTAAAAGTTTAGCATAATGCTAGCTGCCTAGAAATGTGTTTTAGATTAGCTACTTGTAAAAAAAAAAAGAACTTGTTTCTACATCTTAATGTAAAATGTAGCCATAACTTAAGTTAATTAAAATAGGAGAATGAACTAGTAAGACATAACCATGATTTAACAAACAAAAAACAAAACAAACAAAAAAAAAATTAAGTGGTCACAGTTAGAGTAGTTTGCCCAAGAAATGAAAAGTCTATCATCAACATTTTAGAGTTTCAGAGTTTGTTAAACAATGCCTGAAATGGCAATTTTTGTGTGTGCATGAAACGTAACTCGGGGGGCCACTTCTTCAAATGTTTATAGGTGGCGCTGTCGAGCCATATTGCCACACCTACTTCTGAAACCCTTATTAAACTAAAAAACTTTTTTACCACTTCAGCTGTGTGTGAAAAAATTTCAAGAGTTTTTCGAGAATGTTTAGACCCTCAAAATGTCCTCAAATAGGGGCATTATGATAATAATGATGATAATAATAATAATAATAATAATCAGAGCAATTTCAATAGGGCCTACACATCACCGATGCTCAGTCCCTAAAAAATCCTCAGGAGAGCTTATAATTCTGTCTATGAGGCTAGAGTAGTTTGCCCAAAAAATTAAAAGTCCATCATCATTTATTTACTATTGACTTGTCCCAAACCTTTGCTACTTTTGATGAAGATACTTAAAAAATTTAAAAAACTGTAATCATTATTGACTTCAATAGTATTTTGCCCTACTATGGATCATGTCAATTATTACCAGTTTCCAAAATTCTTCAAAATATCATCTTCTGATGTTAACAGAAATTATAATTTTGGATGATCTTTCCCGTTAAACTAATTAAAATTGCTTAAAAACAATTTAGTTCAACATGACTATAATTTAATGAAATTTAAATGAGTGAGTGATTTAGTACATTCAACTTATTTACAACGTAAATAAGCACAACAGTCACAATCTCAGTAAAACAAATCAATAAAGCATAACCACAAATATATAATATATAATAATATATAAATAATATATAAATATAAATAATATAAAAAAATGTATATATATATATATATATATATATATATATATATATATATATATATATATACACTCTCAGAAAAAAAGGTACAAAATTGTACCTTTTAGGGTACAAATGGCCCGTCACTGGGGTGGTACCCTTAAGGGTACAAATTTGTACCTCATTTTAAAGGTACAAAATTGTACCTTCTACATTTGTACCCTTTAAGGGACAATTTTGTACCCTAGACACTGAAGGTACAAAAATGTACCTTTTTTTATTATATAGTATTTTCAGGGTACTGACCCAGGCATTTTGATCCTTTGGTGACTGCACGCACAAATAAATAAATAAAATATTTTGGTTCACAGATGTCCATTTTTATTTACTAATGTAGAAATATTTCATTACAACTCACAACTGAATGTGTAAAGAAATAAAATTACACAGCAAGTATAAAGCAGACATGTAAAACAGTAAAAAGAACAATTTAGATAACAAATAAAAACTAAATAATCTACACTTAATACAAAGACCACAAGAATACTGTTTAAGATTTATAAACACATTACACAGGCTACATCAAGTACTGCACTTTATAAAGTCCAAAGTGTTTGTCTTTAGTCAGAATACTCAGTCATAATAAATAATTTGTCATCAACATTTTCTCTGAATTTCAGAATGAAGGCAAACTTTCTCTATAAATTGCTTCAACAGTGCAGAAAACCGAATACATCAGTAGCCTCTTCCTCAACATCAGTAGATTACTCCTCATCATCCTCAAGTGGAGTTGTAATTTGTTGTAACACAATATGTGTTTAGGCTTTTGATAAACATGACATGTAAAGCACTCATATCTGGAAAATGTTCTTTGATAGTCATTAGGAGCACAAATTATTTAAAAATTTGCTTTATGCATGAATGATAGCAGTGTGCTGGATTAACTTGATGATTGTGATTATCCCCAGAGCATGTAGAGAAACAAAAAACAAGGTTGATCACTCTGGTAACTGGAGTAGATCGAGGCTTGTCACTGTCCACCGTTCATTCAAAACATTCCACTGCAGAAACATCAAGGTGTTCTTCTAATAAGATGGATATGTCAAAAATGTATATTCGTCCACATCATTAGCCCGGCCAATCGAAATTCCATCAACTCTGAAAACTGCCGTGACTCGTCTTGTTAACACAGTTGTCCAGTCGGTGGCCTCCTCCTGTACTTGAACTGTTGGATGTGGTGAAGATGATTCACTGTAAATGACAAAGCAATAATTACATTAATATCAGTCACTCTATCACTGATGAAGAGAAAATCAACATGCATAGAAAGTGAAATAATTAATATTCACTGATTAAAAAAAAAAAGTATCACAGATTAAAAGACTAATATAAATTTCATTCATTCATTCAATTTCTTTTCGGCTTAGTCCCTTTATTAATCTGGGGTTGCACACAGTGGAATGAACCACCAACTTATCCAGCATGTTTTATGCAGCAGATGCCCTTCCGGCTGCAACCCAGTATTACGAAACATCCAGACACATTTATTCACACACACATTTATACACTACAGACAAATAAGCTTACCAAATTCAGCTATAGCGCATGTCTTTATACTTGTGGGGAAACCGGAGCACTTGGAGGAAACCCTCACGAACACTGGAAGAATATGCAAACTCCTCACACAAATGCCAACTGACCCAGCCGAGGCTCGAACCAGCGACCTTCTTGCTGTAAGGTGACAGCACTACCCACTGCGTCATCCTAATATAAAGAATATCAAGCATTATAAAATGCATTTATTACAGCATATACTAAACAAAAAACAACATACGCACCCGAGCACAACGAAATGTTGAAGTGTCTCGCTTAACAAGGCTGGCAACATGAGAAGTGCTGCTGTAAAATCAATTCCTGGAACATAAGATGTGGCATACAAACAAATATGAAGGAGTCCATCCAAAGCTAGAATTTAATAATATTATTCAAGTGGAGAAAGTTTAGAAAGAGTACCTTAGAGTCAGGTCCATAGCATTCTTCAGTTGATCTCTCATCTTTCGATGAAAACCTAGAAAATAATTTTAAACATGTGGGTGTACATTTATTGTTGTTTGTAAGTAAAAACCTACAAATTTTAAACAGTATGTAAGCCATTAAAACCATGGTATAGATAATGAGACATACTTACATCTTGTAACTGAGCCATGCTTTCATATGACATGCCTTCATTGCTCTGATGCTGTTAGCCTGCATTATGTTGTTCAATCTTGTCCTGAAAGACAATTGGAAACTTCAAAAACTTCTGAAAAGCAATAAGATAAAGCAATAACTATTTATTTATTTTGAGATGTTAATAAAATAGGTAAAATAGCTCAAGGTACCAGTTTCAGAACAGATGAGACAAATTATTACACTAAAGAACAAAGTATAACTTAAAACGTCGATTTATACAACGTGGTATGTTAATAATTCTACATTAACATAAGTATAACGTTAAACGATAGTAAAGCACCAACAATTCTGGATATGAGAGTTTGTGGACACTCCTCAACATTAATGTAACTTAGACACTGAAACAAAGATATGTAGCATACACACGCCACGTTTGTAACGTGTTTGTAACTTATATAACCGTCTAAAATTACATTTCAGCGGTCAACCGTGGCTAGAAAATTGCCTCAAAATATAAAACATTATCGATAATTACAAATTTCCAGTATTAATAACAAAAGGTTTTATATCAAGGTATATGAAGACTTTAGTCGCGCGAGCTCCGGGCCACACCGCACATTACTCACGGCCTGATTCCGATGCACGGATACGGCAGCGTCGGCTCGCTTCTGCCGCCGCAACTGGCCCGAGTGTATTTTGTTAATTGGGTTGCGATTATATTCCGCCGTGGCAACACTTATTAATAAAGCAGTAACGTAACGTAAGATATAAGGCGGGAATACGTAACGTAGGCAATAAAGGGAACTTTTACACCGAGAAAACTAAAAGCAAATAGTACTCACCGTCTATAACGTTATATCCCTCGGTGACTTCGATATCACATTGTAGTAACTTCTTTAATAAGCTGCAGAAATCTTAGCAAACTCCATCCTACAGGCCAACATACACCAGGCAGTCCGGAGCACTTAAAGAGCCCATATTATACATGAAATAGGGTCATATCTTGGTTGTAAGGGTCTCCAACAACAGTCTAATATGCATGCAAGGTCAAAAAACACTTTCATGGTCTTATAATCTGCATTTATTTTTACCTAATTATCCCAGCGACTCCTGTATGAATCGTTCAGTGATTCATTTGTTCCCAAACCCCTCCTTAGCGCGAAGCTAATCTGCGCTGATTGGACCGATGACTGTCTGTCGCGATTGGTCGACTGCCTTCAGTCAGAGAGTGAAATGGCCAATAGCTAATCAGCAATTTAAAAAGTAATCACAGTTCATACACGCTAGATAGTGTAGGCGTGGATTTTAGCTGCCACACACACACAAACACCTCCGGACGAGAACGCTCCCGCTTCCGCCCGCACCCGCCAGGTTTTAGCCTTAGAACCCGCCCCGTATTCTGCCCGCCGCGCCCGATCCCGCTAAAGAGCGGGGGAGAACAAAACCGAAAATCTGTATAAACACACACACAGCACCAAGCATAAAGCTCTCGCTCGCTCGCTCTCTCTCTCTCTCTCTCTCTCTCTCATACGCGCGCGTGCGCACTAACACACAAGCACCAAGCAGACACATCTTTCTCTTTCTCAGGCAGCCCGCTCCCGTCCCAAATCAAACCCGTTACCGACCGCTCCGGCGATTTATTCGGAAATGTATTCCCGCGCCGCAGAAATCTAGCGCGGGGACAGCCGCGGGTATGCACACCTCTAACGTTACCACGGAGCTCCATAAACAAAGCAGCACGCGTCGCGTTTTTAACGTGACTTTGCACGCGATAAGAGAATATAGCCAGTTAACCTGATACAGTACACTCGGTTACAAGTAACAAATCACAACTAAATACATTTGCAAGCTAGAGTCAACGAGGCAACAACTTTAACCGCACGTACTTACACTTGAGAAATGGAAGAAACCCATCCTGACGTCCATCAGTTACTCTTTACTGATCCTTCCTTTAACAAACTCAGATGAAGTATTCTTTGTAGCATGTAGCTTCCAGAAGTTTCCAGTAGTTTCCAACTGCTTGGCTATAATGCTGAGGTTTCATCTTTGGGTAGAGACTCAATATATCCATCTGCAATGTGACTTCAATCGACCGGCATGTTTGTGTGCGTGTGTTTGTGGGTGTGTGTGTGTGTGTGTGTCTGGGTTACTGCGTCAGAGGGCGGGGCCTCAGGTTTGAAATCTCCCGGGTTTGCGCGTGCACGTGAAAAACTTTGTTTCGTTCGTACGTCATGGCGAAACACCTAATGAGTCGGTATCAAGGCGACTCGTTTGAAGCACTATGAATCGACTCTTTTATAGATGAATCAACAGTTTTAAACACTGTATTCTTACAGATTTAAGCCTTAGCTGGATACTTCACTTCACTTAGAGCTGTGTTACACACTACATGGAGGGGAATTTTCAAAAACCCATAATATGGGCTCTTTAAAGCGGGGGAAAGCCGAGACCCGAGAGTCAGACAAAATCAACAGAACACAGCTTCACATGTAAAAATGACACTGAAAATATATCTTTAATACATTCTTACCTGAAAAGTGTGGACTCCAAAATAGACTTTTCTTTGAAAAGCGTGCGAAGTTCTGTGTAAACAGCCAGCATACTCTACCGACCGCCTCAGTAACAAACACTACTATAACGTCTCAACAAGCCAAATTCTTAAAGAGACAGCAACATCACCACCTGTATGAAGATGCTGTCACTGCATGGTTCTTACTTCTTATTCTACATCACATATACTATAGGGTCTTAAACAGTAAGCAAAGACCAGTATTTACGTTTTTAATGATTAAAATTACATTCAATTATAAATTTAATTATTAACATTTTTGAGAAAAAATGTAATTTAAATACATGAAAAAAAATTTAATTATTAAAATATTTAATTCAATTTATTTATTTATATTTTTTAATGATGTATTTTAGTATTAATGTTTAGTATTAATACATTTAAATTAGTGTTATATAGTGTCTTGATCTTATCATGAGCTGAGGGTACAATTTTGTTCCTATAGGGAAACAAAATATATAATTGTACCTTTAAAGGTGCCAAATTGGTCCTTTACGGTACAATTTTGTATCCAAATGTGCTATAAAAGGTACAAAAATGTACCTTTCAAACCTAAATCTGGACATTTGTACCTTTATAGCCCATTTGGGTACAAAATTGTACCCTAAAGACCAATTTGGGACCTTTAAAGGTACAATTTTATATTTTGTTCCCTCTAGGAACAAAATTGTACCCTCATTGTACCTTGTTTTCTGAGAGTGTATATATATATATATATATATATATATATATATATATATATATATATATATGTATATTGATTTGTTTTACTGAGATTGTGACTGTTGTTTTTATTTACGTCCCCCATATTACATAGTATCACAATAATGACAATCACAATAATGACAATAATGTTTTATATTTAAAATTTACTAGTTATACTTCTATTATTATTTATCAGTTGAATTATTAGCCCTCTCTTTCCCTCCCAAATATTTTCCCATATAATTTTTAACAGAGTAAGGAATCTTTCACAGTATGTCTGATAATATTTTTTCTTCTGGAGAAAGTCTTTATCTGTTTTATTTCGGTTGGAATAAAAGCAGTTTTAAATTTTTTTATGGTCAATATTATTATCCCCCTTAAAATTGTTGCTAGAAACCTTTAGTATACGTATGGTAATCAGAAAGCTTCTCCACAAACAAGTAGAGGGAGAAAATCACAAGACATTGTCTCAGAAAATTAATTTCAGAAACTTCATTTTGCATGATATTGCCATCAAATTCAAAGCAAATACTCAGGAGATGTGTAGCTTTTGACCTTTTACTTTTCTGTATTGCTTCAGGACTAATTTCAAATATTTGTTCATGAAATAATAAAATGTCTAGTGCAGTAAGTTAAACTCTTGAAACATTCGGCATTCAAGTCATATTTTTTTCTAGGATATTACATTAATGTTTTTCTGTGTAGCTTGCTGAAGTCAGGAACTGTTTACTATTTAAAATTAGCTAGGTTTAAATCCCAAAAAGCTTTGTTTTTCAATTGTCTACAGAACAAACCACTGTTATACAATTATTTCCCTAATTACCGTAACCTCCCTAATTATAGTTGAGCCTTTAAATTACACTTTATTATAATTTGTTATTATATTATTAATTACCTCTAGAACTATCAAGAGTGTCTGTGCTCAGCGTGTCACATCTTCAAACGCCATCTCGCATTCATTGCATGTCGGCAATCAAGTCATTTATTAAATAAGCAAAACATTGACGCAGCTTCTTCTACAACAGCAAATTCTGTTTTTACTGTTGATATTTGGTGTCAGTTAATCAGGAAGTGACGATTTTGTTCTCTTTGACTCGATAGATGGAAACGCTGCTTCATTCGCATGTCTTTTATGTGATATATCAGTTTTGGGCATAAAGTTTATTCACATTTTTGGATGGAAACATAGCTAATGACTCCAAATGCAGCTAAGGCTCTAAAGCAGTAGAGCTTTTATTATGCCACAGTTCACCATTTCCTGTTTTTCCACGTATGAGCAGGGCTGTTTTATCATACTAAATACATTTAAGGCAAGGCAAGGCAAGTTTATTTATATAGCACATTTCATACACAGTGGCAATTCAAAGTGCTTTACATAAACAAGAATAAAAAAGACAAGTGTAAGAAAATGAAAATTATAATGAAAAAAGTTAAATGAAATTATAAAAAATAGATAAAACAGATAAAAATGTGTTAAAATGTTATAAGATAATGAAAAAGAAAAGAAAAACATAATAGTGCAATCTGTCAGACATAGCACAGTGCTCATTCAGTAAAGGCACAGCTAAACAGATGTGTTTTCAGTCTTGATTTGAAAATGCCTAATGTTGGAGCACATCTGATCATTTCTGGATGCTGATTCCAGCAGCAAGGGGCATAGTGGCTGATAGCTGATTCACCCTGCTTTGACTGAACTCTTGGTACTTCTAGTTTATATGATCCTAATGATCTGAGTGATCTGTTACAGTAGGTTTGTATTCAATCAGCATATCTGTTATGTATTGAGGTCCTAGGCCATTTAGTGATTTATAGACCAGTAATAATACTTTAAACTTTATTCTGAATGTAACTGGGAGCCAGTGTAGAGACCTGAGGACAGGTGTGATGTGCTCTGATTTCCTGGTTCTAGTCAGAACCCTAGCCACAGCGTTCTGTCTATTTATGTCTGACTGTCTTTTTGGGAAGACCAGTGAGGAGGCCATTACAGTAATCCACCCTGCTGCTGATAAAAGCATGAGCAAGTTTCTCTCAGTCTTCACTGGAAACAAAGCATCTAATTCTTGCAATGTTTCTGAGATGATAGTATGCTGATTTACTTACTGCTTTGACATGACTATTGAAACTCAGATCTGACTCCAGAGTCACACCAGAGCTCTGTGCATAAATCATACAACATATTAAAACGTCATTGTTGTTTTACTGTTTTATATCAAATCTAACCGGACATAGAGGGTCAGGATGTCATTGACATGGAGACATGAACGTGTCACTAGTTAAAATTAGTATTTTTATGGATTTGAACATTTTCTGAAATATTTAAAAAATGGGTAAATTAGCAAAATATTCAAAAAATATTTTTCATATTGTCCCTTTAACCTGCTCAGGACATAACTTTAAATAATGATCTTATTAGCTAAGTAGTAATACAAATACAAAGTGCAATACAAAGTGCAGCATAAACTTCAATGTAACAATGACAACAAATGGCAATGCGGAGAATGCAACGCACACAGGTAAAATGTCCTACTAATAAATAAAAATTTATTTATAATATATTTATTATAATTTATTTATAAAATTTATAATAAATAAAAATACATTTTATAGCCTACCATTTTGTTTACAGCACGTTAAGCTAGAAACGTTTCTAATGCTGGGGGTCTGTGTGTTGTCGAGACAAATCACTGCTTTTGCCCAGAAAACACTGCAAACATTGCACAATTGCTTTACAAAGTTTCGAGATTCACTAAGCTCCCAGTTTAGTGGGAGGAGGGATTTGGGGATATGTCGATATTTTAGCTGTTTGTTTTCTAGTTATTCTGACATATTGAGTGGCGGTTACTTCAGCAGGACGATGCTTCTTCAGCTACTGTTATGGGCGACCCTGCTCTGTCAAATCTGCGATGGAAAGGCCTTCCCTCAACGACAGTGCGTTTAACTCTGCATTAATAACTTTTAATGTGTAAAAATATATTCTTATCTTGTCGACGTTGATTTTTATAATGTGTTTATCTTGTCAAATGAGCAGCAAGAGGACGGTTTGGGGGCCTAATATGCAGCAAATGTAAGTAGCCTACCCTGTTTATTTTCGTGTCCCGAAAATGAACGATTACATTAAACAATATTAACCACAAATTCAGCATCAATATGTTTAACAATGTTGTTTGTTGTAAAATGTGCTTATACTAATGAAGTCATTGCTATTTTTTCGTACTATTATTTCTTTGGTACATATGAGAGAAGTGTGTAGAAAAATGTTTATAGATATACAGTCGAAGTCAGAAATATTAGCCCTCCTTTGATTTTTTTTTCCTTTTTTAAATATTTCCCAAATGCTGTTTAATAGAGTAAGGAAATGTTCACAGTATGTCTAATAATATTTTTTCTTCTGGAGAAAGTCTTATTTATTTTATTTCAGTTAGAATAAAAGCAGTTATTAATAAAAGAATTGCATTTTAAGGTCAATATTATTAGCCCTAAGCTATATATTTTTTCTCGATAGTCTACAGAACATACCGTCGTTATACAATAACCTGCCTAATTACCCTAACCTGCCTAGTTAATCTAATAAACCTAGTTAAGCCTTTAAATGTAACTTTAAGCTGTATGGAAGTGTCTTGTAAAATATCTAGTAAACTATTATTAACTGTCATCATGGCAAAGATAAAATAAATCCGTTATTAGAAATTAGTTATTAAAACTATTATGTTTAGAAATGTATTGAAAAAAATCTAATCTGTTAAACAGAATTTGGGGAAAAAATAAAGAGGGGGGCTAATAATTCTGACTTCAACTATATCTGCATATCAAATTCTATAATGTAAAAACTGGTTGAACTGGAGTTCATCTGTAACTGGAGTGTGTTTTTCTGTTTACAGTGAGCCGGTCAAAGACCCTTCTCCGTCGTGAGTAACTGTCCTCTGCCCTCAGTAAACACACACATGCACAGATAATCATGGGTAATTTCACAGAGTCGTAATTTATTTACTTAACAAATTAGTGTGCCTTGTTGGATATATTTCAATAAAACTAGATGCATCTTAAATATTATAACATTTTTATTTCTTTTTAGGTTAGGCAAACTTGGCAGTTTGTTTTCGATTGCAGATCATTTACATTGAAACAACATAAAATATTCTACAGTACCATACAAACACATAATAAACTACATAATAACGATTTTACAGTTCACATTAGGGCAGCACAAAGTACAATTTCAGCATCAATATGGCAATGTGATCATTCGCATGTATGCAGTGTTGATAGTGGTTTATATTTTATTATTTTGCAACAGTTTTTTGTAACTTTTGTAACTTTGATAAATTAATAACAATACATTTTATTGAATCGTTGGTAACACTTTACAATTACAGTACATGAATAATGAAGTATTAGTAAGTAAACTGAACGTTACTTTATTATGAACTAAGGATGAGTTAAGGTGCGCACTAATCTTTACAACCTGTCGCATGAGTTCATGTGTGGATAATGGTAAAGTCACAATATCATTATACATTAACTTGTCAAAAGTTCATAATGGTTAAATTTAGCATAAGTTAATGTGGTAATTTATACTACATGATAATTCTTAATTTAAAACACTCATAAACTTGTTTTGGTCACAATTCATGCTATTAACTGCTGGCTTACTACATGCCTATAATTAAGATATTAGCTGTGTAATAGTAGTTATAAAGCCCCTGTGGCCACCCCAATATGATTTAGTTGTTGATATTATTCATTTAAATGTACTTGCTTAAATTCACAGTATTTCCATAAATAAATAAATAAATTTATAATTAAACTGCAGGCACTATAATATTGATCAGCACCACCGACGTAGCTGATTCACTGAGATTGCACACTTTTTATTAAGAAATTATTATTTTTTAAATGAAAAAGTTGTGTTTTATCTGATTGAAAATCACAAATCCAAATAAATTAATAGATGCATTTTGAAATCGGCTTTTCAGAATCTAGTTTATTTAGCAACTCCTTTATTTTGCTGGTTTACTTTAGAGCCAAAACTCTCAATGATTTTGTGGATGTATTTTGCAAAAAGGTACATCATAGAAGTATATTTAATAATAATATTGTGGCTCAAAAAGGAACATGGATAAATGATATTATTGGAGTCTGTATAGTAAGTGTGTGTGTATGTAGTAATGTCTTTTGTTCGTTTGTTTGTTTTATTATTTCATTCATTAATCTTCATTCATTTTAGACATGGCATATACTGTATGTTTCACAATAAAAGTATGTGAAAAATAACTTACCTGAAAGGTGTTTTTAAACTAAATATTGTTTTTTATTTGGTTTGCATGTGTACCTGCTGTATTATTTAAGGAAATAAATTACAATATTAATGAGAAATTAATGGAAGAGTAATTAATGGAATTATTTAAAACGTCATTATTTCCTTTACCAGAAACAAAAACATAACATTACTCATTGTTCACAATATATACACAATTCATTATTGTTTTGTGTGCCACCCCAAGATTTGGTGTGGCCTTACTTGGCCACCCCTAAGAAAATTTTCTGGGGGCGCCACTAATCCCTAAAACCACCCAAATGCCCAAATGTCTACCTTACTAACTATTAATAAACAGCTAATTAGTAGTTTATTAAGCTTTTAGTGGTTTGTTAATATTGTGAATTGTGACCTAAACTAAGGTGTTACCGAAAAGTGTTGTCAACATCAACAGTTTAAATACAGGAGTTCATGAGTAGTTAGGGATGAGTTAATGGTGACGTGCCCCTTCAAGTAAAGTCATGATATAATTATACATCAACAGCTCATTCATGTCAGCAGGGGTGGACTGGCCATAGGGAGCACTGGGATATTTCCCCGTGACCTGACGGGCAATCTGTCCTGCCACCATGACTCTGGCCTGCCTGTTGAATCTGGAGGTCTCTTCACTTACCGATCGCACTACTCCCACCCTGCTCTTCACTTTCTTGATTGCATTATTTATATGTGGCCTGAATAACAGTTACTTTTTCCTGGGGAAAAATGCTGTTCCAGTTTGCCTCTGTATGTTGGTTTACTTAAATGTTAATTAATAAATTTATCAACAAACAATCATACACTAACAAGTAAGCTAGCCATTATTCACACATGAACTCATGTGACTCATGTTAAAGTTAGTTAGTTCATGATTAGCGCCTACATAAACTCATCATTAGTTCATAATAAAGTAATGTTTAGTTTACAAAATCTATATTTATGTACTGTTATTGTGTTACTGAATTGTTTATAAAAACAGACTGTGTGTTATTATTTTACATTTGATTATTGAATTACTGTATACCTACAGTTTGACTCCTCAGAAAACCATAAAATGATGTTTATTTAAATAGTTTTTATTTATTATTGAACTATTTGACGCTTGTAGATTGTTTATTATATTTATGCACTCCTATACAGAATCATCCCAATCAATCTAAAATTTAAAATTATTTCCAAATGGTTATTTAACTCATTTAGTGCAGTTGTATTCATGTCACAATATATATTGCAGAATACAAAAATATCCCAATGTTTGATTTTTTTCAGTATCGTGCAGCCCTAATTCACATGTTCATTAATAAATGTGAAAAGAAAAAGGAAATCGCATGAACCATTTTTTTTAAATATTTAAAAAATATGACACCAAATATATAAATAAATGAGAAATATACGTCAATGAATTATGCATCAATAATATATATTAACTATACTTCCAATCCTAATGAAAGTTATAAAAGTTGACCATGCATGACCATATGTTCTAAAACCCAAATTCAACCAATTGTCAATAATTAATAGATATTTATTTTTCTGATGTTCAATGGTTTTATTTTAGCTAAAATTATTATAAAAGTTAAAACTTGCACAAAAGCAAAATTATTTAAATAGAAATTTCCATCTCATGCTTTTTCAAATTGTTATGCAGCATAAACATACAGAATGCTAATGGTCACATTATTTTCCTGTTTCCTTTTTCCACTGTGCTGTTTTTTATTCTCAGTCTCAATGATATGTAGCTAAACAAGTTGTCGTAAATAGTTTAATCCTCTTTTTATGATGTTGTAAATGCTACCAGGAAAACAGTATGTGGGGCTATTTGTTCTCAAGAAACAGGCCTTTGTTATCTACACTAGTCAACATTTGGAATTGGACTAAAACCTTTTCAAAAATCCAAATGTGTTCTTGCCTCAGGACAACTTTGATTAACTTTTTTGATCCCTTTCAAATGTTGAATACTGTTGTTCCTATGACTTGAGCTTCTGTAACTACTCGGTGCAAATGCCTCTTTTGTTTTTCTTGAGGTTTTCTCTTCTAGCTCCAGCAAAAATAAGGCCTGGAACAAAACAGAACATCCTGGTGGAGGGACACAACCTGGCAAAGGTGGTAAAAGTCACTGTCGTGGTTTACGACTATCCAAACTCCCAAACTGCCTTGTCGCGGGGCTCGGTTTTCCTCAATTCAGACAACAATTACAGCGCCCTGCAAACCCTAGAGGTGAATTTATGTATGAATGCATGAATCTTTTCTGAATGCATCAGAATGACTTAAAGGGATAGTTCACTCAAAAACAGAAATTACTCACCCTCCAGTAGAAACAAACCCATCTTTCTTTCCCCAGTTAAACACAAAAGCAGATATTAGAAGATAACTATCAACTTCCACAGTAGCAAACAAATACTTTGGAAGTCAATGGTTACGGCCTGTAACGATTCTCAAATGATATGCTTTTGAGTTCAACTGAAGAAAGTAACTCAGTTCTGTGTAAGTTATCCCTTTAAGACAAACCTCTTTGGGCTTGTTAAATAATACCACAAATACATGTTAACCCATTTGCTCTATAACATGAAAAAACTTGGTAATTTTCTTTTTAATCTCGTTTTTTTTCTCTTTTTTTTCTGATTCAGATTTTTATATATATATATATATATATATATATATATATATATATATATATATATATATATATATATATATATATATATATATATATTTTTTTTTTTTTTACAGTTTTTTTTCTCCTAATTTGTCTGAAATCAACATTTATTATTATTTTTTTCATTTATTGCTATTATTTTTTAATTCCATGGTAGAAATATGGTAAGCTTCTGAACTTATTATTAGGGTATATGCACAGCTAGTGTTTTTTCCTGGTTTCTTCCTATACGGTTACACTTCCGGTGAATGGTTAATGTGACTTTTCTCATTTTTCTAAGGTTCCTTTTTGTTACGCGGGTCTGTGTTTTATTTAATTCTTTATTTTATTTTGTGCTTGTTGCGCTTGAGTTATAGGAGGAGTTTTTCTACCTAGCATGTCCAGGATTGGATGACGTCCGTGACGTCACTGGGGATTCCCAGTATAAAAGGCTGACAGCAATGGTCTTTTCGTAAATTCTGAAATTATTTTAGTGTTCATACAAGCTGTTAGTAAATAAGGCCCTTTGCTGAGGTTCTTTGTGGTTTATGATCACGTCACTTGTTGCATGTTAGTATAATCAAATATGTTCTTTTATCAGATCAACCCAAATTTGCTACTTCCAGATGGAAAAAAGAAATATGTGAAGCTCGTTGCTCAGTTCAGCAATATCTATCGTGCAGAAAAAGTAATGGCGGTGTCGTTCCGTTCCGGACACATCTTCATTCAGACCGACAAACCTATTTACAACCCTGGAGACAAAGGTCAGCTCTCACATGCTGCTGTTGAGCTGTTTTCATAGTACTTGTTTACATGTACAACTATTCCCCTTTTCCCAGTGCGTTTTAGGGCTTTTGTGTCTGATTTGGAATTTCGTTCTTCTGAGAGAACCATATCTCTGGAGATTCAGGTGATTTGTCACATTAACCTAAGTGTTGTAATCATGTTTGCTGGACAATTGTTTGTTTGTTTGTTTGTTTGTTTTGTGGAATATTAATGCTTACAGCACAATTTGCTCATGTTTCAGAATCCAGATGGAATTGCGGTGCATGGTATTGGGAGAGTTAAAGCAATCGATGGGGTCTTTTCTGACATCTTCTCACTGTCTACTGTAGTCAAGTATGCACTCAGAATAGTTCAGTTGTGTTGTGTAGAATATAAAACAGAGTATTATGCACCAAAAGATAAAAAGAGTGTTGAGACTGTTTAAAGGACATGAAGATGTAGTTTAGGGTGCTTGTCCACTGTTGTGTTTTCTCCCCCTAGCTAAATACACTACCTGACAAACGTCTTGTCGCCTAAGTTTTAAAAACAAGAAATAAAACCTTGACTTCTATGGAATCAGAAGTGACTTATATGAAAGGCAAAGGCCTCTAGATTATAATAATGTAATAATGTTCATCTCTGGTGGCTGGGCTGGCCAATCCTGGAGCACCTTGACCTTCTTTGCTTTCAGGAACTTTGATGTGGAGGTATGAGAAGGAGCACAGTCCTGTTTACGGTGGTTTGTAATGTAATGGACAGCACAAATGTCTTGATACCTCAGGCTGTTGATGTTGCCATCCATTCTGCAGATTTCTTGTACACCCCATGTAACCCCAAACCATGATTTTTCCTTCACCAAACTTGACTGATTTCTGTCAGAATCCTGGGTTCATGTGGGTTCCAATTTGCTCTTCAGTAGTATTTGTGATGATTGGGATGCAATTTTACTACTTTTCTAAATGGTCAACTAGAAGTCAAGTTTTTAATATAAATATATATATATATATATAATCAGAAGTGCCATATTTTTCTGAACACATTTTTGAAATAACTTCAGCTGCGCAAAAACATTCTTCGGTGGATTTGTGTCCTTTAGGTCCACTCACACCAAAAGCCTTTAACAATATTATAATAAATTAAATTCTTTAATAAATCTGAAGAAATATTATCAGAACTTTATAGAATAAAATAAATCATCACCTTGGAATTATATGGTTCTATCTGTGCTCTGAATGATTTTGAAATTTTGAGCTTCAAAGTTTTTGCATTCCATAGCAAACATTATGTGTGTAACATTTGTTTTGTAAATAAAAAGTCTTAATATAAACAACTTATACAAAAATCCCCTAATGTAAATAAGTTGTCATTTAATAAGAATGTCAATAAATTAATTTTGACAAAAATGTCAGATTAAACCTTATAATTCCAAGGTGACGTATTGTTAACACTTTACTTTAACACATACTTAACAAATTCAGTAAATCCAGAAAAACCAAAACCTTATGTACATACGGTGGGGAAAATAAGTATTGAACATGTCATTTTTTGGAATAATATTTCTAAAGGAGATGTTGACATGGAATTCAACCAGATTTTGCTAAAAAAAAAAAAAAAAAAAAATATATATATATATATATATATATATATACACAAACAAACTTACAAATAAAACAGAACAAAAAACAATCTGAGTAAGTTAGTTGTGTAATAAAAATGGAATGACATGAGAATGTACTGAACTACTTAAACGTATTTAATACTTTATATAAAAGGCTTTTTTGGAGATGGCAGCTTAAAGACGCCTCTCATATAGAGAATGAAGTCACATGAATTGTTCAGGTGTGATTTTTTTTCACAGACTTCAACAGAGGGTAAAAATCTTGATGATGCTGTGGGTTTTGTCTATCAAATCAGTTCTTTATTTTGTATTCGATTTGTCTTTGGATTTAATTCAGGTGATTGACTGGGCTATTCTACAGCTTGATTTTCTCTCTCTGAAAGCATTTGGCCTTGTTTTGCATCATTGTCTTGCTGAAATAGTTTCATCTTCATCATCCTGTAGATGTTGGTCTGAAGCAGCAAATAGTACATTACAATGAGGAAGGGCAGAGGGTTGCTGAATAACTACTAAAAGATTTCAGCTGCTGTCTGGGCTTTCACTGTCTTTCTACACCTTCCTTTCTTCATGTGTTCAATACTTTTTCCCTTCGTCATTTCATTTTATTACAGATAACTTAATTTGTAAAATAATTAGATTTGTTTTCTTTGCGTATATGGATTCGTTAGGTTGTTACCAACATCCAGGGAACATTTCAAATCAACAACACCTTTAAAAATATGTTTTCTGAGAAAAATGGTGACGTGTTCAATACTTATTTTCCCTGCTTTACTTGTGTCAGCATGTGTGTGTGAAGTTTTTTTTGTATGAATTGACCATAAGTATATTTTGGATTTCCTAGAGAGGGCAGATGGAAAGTTGTAGCAAAGTTTGATCAGGGAAAAGAGAATGTTTTCAGCAGAGAGTTTGAAGTGAAGAAATATGGTAATTATATTACCTTCAGATTTGTTTCTTCTACATATTTTTTTCTCTGTTTCTGTGTTAACACCATTTCTTCTTGGTCTTCAGTGCTTCCAGCATTCAACGTCACACTTACTCCTAAAACATCCCACCTCAGTCTGGATGCAGAAAAGTTGGAAGTTGAAATAACAGCCAGGTGTGTCAAAAATCAAACTACTGTGAATTATCTAAAACCAATGATGCTTTAATTGAAATATTTACTCACCAGTGGCCGGTTGTACCAGCAGTGTGTAAGTTAAAATGTAGCCTAGTTGTGACTTAAAGGGATACTAAGTTTCAACTTACACACAACTAAATATTTTTGTGTTCCGGAATTTAGTTTAAATGTAAAGCTACGTTCTTACTAAATATTTACAGCAGAAAAGAAATGACAGTGAGATTAGTTTACATTAAGGAGCTCATGATGATAATGGAGAATGATCTCCCTCTACTCAAAGTCTTATTTTCCTCCCAAATCTCGCATTTGTTTCGAGCTGTGAAAGAAGAGTTTAATTTTCTTTCAAGGAGTGTTTTTTGTTTGTTGTGTCCAATAATTAAAACGAGAATTTGTTTATGACTGAGTTTTTCACCCTGCTCTTTTCTCTGTCATATATAGGATGTATATATATATATATATATATATATATATATATAAAAATCAAGAGTAATGTCTGGTAACTTCATGTGTATTTGGCGTGCGTAAAGTAGTTTAACGTAGTTTTAAAGTAATTTAAATGCTTTTTATTGGAAATTACATAATTCAGGGCAAGACTTAACGGAGCGCTTATGACCTATTAACTACAGTTTGCCTTAAGAACATGTGGTGCAACCGAAGTAAGAACAAATTTAGTTACAAACTAGCAAGTAGTTATTAAGCCCCTCCTTATATTCCAGTTTAAGAACGAACATACAAACAGCTGGTGCAACCCTACCCTGGCACTTTATTAAATAGGATGTGACTTTTTCTACCAGTCTGATGATTTTCCTCTGAATTCTACTATCAATAAGACATTTTTACCACTAAACAAACACTCACAGGATATTTCCTCTTTTCACTCCATGTTCTGTAAACACTAAATATGGTTGTGCATGAAAAATCCAGTAGATCAGCAATTTCTGAAATACTCAAATCTGCCCATATGCAATCAACAACTATTCCACATGCAAAGTTAATCACTTGTCTTCCTCATTGTGATGCTGATTTTTACTTCAGCACATTGTCTTGACCATGTTAATGTGCATTTTGTTTATGCTGTGTAATTAGTATTTTGCATAACAAAATTACGTTTATATTTAACAATGTGTAAGAATATACCCAGCAAACAATTTTGTGTTTAATAGACGTCTAATAGACATCTAAATGTAGACAGCTTGGTTAAAACAAAGCTAAACTTGGGCTGTCAGTGAAAATCTAATAAACATCTAAGAATAGCCCAAATCTAGACTAGTGGTCAAATAGACAGATAAGACTTTATTTGTGTAGTCAATCAATTCTGTTTATTTGATGACTACTCGATTTTCTCTGACAGCCCAAAATTAGCCTTGTTTTAGCCAAGATGACTATCTTTAGACGTCTATTGGACATCTATTAGGCATCTTTTAAAAACAAAAAAATGCTTACTGGCTATGATACTATTGGAAAGTTTGGTGAATCCTTTTATTGTGTTGATTCCGTACATGTGGTCACTGTATATATTTCATCCAGGTATCTTTATGGCGCGCAAGTGAAGGGTGTTGCGTATGTGCTGTTTGGTATTGAAATTAATGGTGAAAAGAAGAGACTCACATCTATGAAGCAAATTGATGATGTAAGTGTTAAGTTTAAACATGTTAACCGTTTAATTATCTTTGTAGAAATTTACTATTGCGACTCTGTGTCTATTACAGCTAAATGGAGGAAGTGTTAGTTTGACTATGGAGGAGATAAAGAGAGCTTATCCTGACATAAACAGCCTCCTGGGGTCTACGGTGTACGTCAAAGCATCAGTATTGACTAGTTCAGGTAAGTAAGTTCTACACCCTAGCTTAACAACACGCAAGCAATGCTCTAAAAATCTCCTAACCCATGGAACATCAACAAGGTATCACTTGATTTGTAACTGCATAGCTAAAGCTTGGCAACCACTCACAACTTTTATCCTCTTCACAGGTAGCGATCTTGTGGAAGCAGAGAAATCCGGCATTAAAATCGTAAATTCACCCTACATGCTTACCATCAAGGACACACCAAAGTATTATAAACCTGGTCTGCCGTTAGCCATGACGGTAATCTAATATTCGTTGCAATGCTTACGGTTTTAAAACATACCTTTTGAATATAATAATTCAATAATTTTATCACCAATTTTAATCAACATCATTTAAAAAAATAAAAAATAAAATTGAAAATAAAAGTCGTCCAAATATCTTTATTCCTTTATATTAAATTAGTTGATATTACATCATGATGTTAGCATTTTCCAATTAGCAAACATGTGTTTTTTTTTTAGGTTATCGTGAGTAACCATGATGGATCTCCAACTCCTAATATTCCTGTAAAAGTCACCTTTCTTAAAAGGCCAATCAGTGTCCACAGTGGCACCATCAACATTCACATCAACATGCCGAAAAAGCGCATCCCATACGGCAATTCCCAGATGTTGAAAGTAAGTCATTCGCATAAACACACACAAAAACAGCAAGCCCCATTTGTGCTGAAAGTTACTTTACTTTGTACCTATAGACCAGGGGTCACCAATCTCGTTCCTGGAGGTCCGGTGCCCTGCAGGGTTTAGCTCCAACTTGCCTCAACACACCTGCCCTGGGTGTTTCAAGTATACCTAGTAAGACCTTGATTAGCTTGTTCAGGTGTGTTTGATTAGGGTTGGAGCTAAAATCTGCAGGACACCGGACCTCCAGGAACAAGTTTGGTGACCCCTGCTATAAACCATATTGTACGACAATTTCAATGTGGTCATGTCATCGGCCCATGAACATTTCCTACTTGTTATCAAACTAGTTTATAACTGTAACAAGAGGCAATTCAATCATATTGCAATGGTAAACAGCTACCATAACAGTATTTAACAATATGGGGCTCTTTTTAGATTCTCAGAAGCCATAGAAATTAAAAAAGTAAAACAGGAAATACATTGGGATCATTTTTTTTTCTTTACATTCTTCAAAATGGTCTATAATATACTCAGCTGGACCACTCAGAGGAAATGAGCCATAATAGGAGCAATTTAGGTGTCTGCTGAATACTGTATATTTAACATTATATAGGTGGAGACAGTGGATCCGTCACTGAAACCAGAACAGCAGGCCATTCAAGAGGTATACGTCAAGCCGTATTCTACTTTTAGAAGTCACGGTAACTACTTGCACGTCTCAGTGGGAGCAAGTCGAGTGGTGGTCGGTGGCAGTATCAGCGTTCAAGCGTACATCAAATCCTCTTTACCAAACCACAGAGCGCTCGTGGAGCATCTCACATACATTGTGAGTGACCCTGGAGACATTTCAGTTTTAAAGCAGACTGTATTGTCAGTGTTATTCATACTAATAATTATTTTCCAGGTGTTAAATAAGGGGAAAATAATTCAGGCTGGTAGAGTGAATGTCAAAGGCCAGGACGTAACAAGCGTTCATCTGCTCATTACCTCAGAAATGCTACCTGCATTTCGGTTTGTGGCGTATTACGTTTTGCCATGGCAGCATAGTGCTGAAGTGGTGGCAGACTCAGTGTTTGTTGATGTGGAGGACCGGTGTGTAGGTTCGGTGAGTTCTTGTGGTATTCATAAGCAGTTATTATTAACATTAAAGTCTTAAAATGCCTGGAACTGCTTATGATAAAAATTTGGCACCAGTTAATTCATTAATTTACTAATGAATGCAACATTTAATAGTCTATTTGTGATTTTACTAGCTTAATGTTGGACCAGTGGATGGAGAAATAGTCAGTTCTTACTCACCAGGCAGCAGCTTTAAATTTCAAGTGAAAGGTGATGTTGGAGCAAAGGTCAGCCTGGTAGCTGTGGATAATGCCATCTTCTTGTTGAGTAAAAACCGCCTGACGCAGAAAAAGGTGAGTGGTTGTCATTTGCATTCAGGGTTTATACGGTCATGGAAAACCTGGAAAAGTCATAGAATTTTTACATGGCATTTTCCAGGCTTGGAGAAGTTTTGGAAAAACAGAAAAACCCACAAGGTTTTGGAAAAGTCATGGAAATTACATTTACATTTAATCATTTAGCAGACATTTTTGTCCAAAACGACTTAAGCTGCGGTCACACTAGAGCTTGTGCTTGCAAAATTCTGTTGTTCATTAATAAAAGTGAGCGTTTGCTCCATATTTAATTTTTTTTCATTTTAAATGATCTTCTATTGGTGTCACGCAATCACTTGATGTGATTTCACAGGTAAGAATTCACCAAGCCTGAACTTTCATATGCAGTGAAATGCAAAACACGTGCTTGTGTTTCTGGTCTGCAGCATTCGCATGTCTATGAATGGAAGTCTATAGAGCGAAAAGTGCAGTATGATAGTGGCTTTATAATACAAGTAGTTTTACCTGCTAGTACTAGTTTAACAAACTATTAAGATTATCCAAAATTATAGTTTGACAATATCTGTATATTGGAATGGAGCTTAGTTGTTTTTACTTCTTTCTTTTTCTTATCAAAAACATGCTCTCACATTATTAGTGCTGTGTAAGCATCATCTATTTTACATAGATATAAAAATTAATTTTAATGCATGTTTTATGATATGCTGTAATAAATATAAACATTTCTTATGATTTACCATGTATATGTTGACATTACATGAAACAGGTTATAAAAATTGACTTAAAAGTCCTGGAAAAGTCATGGAATTTGTGTAGTAAATATGTGTATGAACCCTGTGCACTGTTCTTTTCAGAACTTTCTCCTCAATGAAAAAAGTAAAAAAATATAAATAAATAAAACTTTTTGATTCAGGTCTGGGAAGTGGTGGATCAGGCTGATATGGGCTGCACCGCAGGAGGAGGCAAGGATAATATGGGTGTTTTCAGTGATGCAGGACTGATGTTTCACTCCAGCACAGGAGGTTCAACTGACTCCAAAGAAGGTCGTGAAAGATACACAGCAGAAACATTTTACATTTACATTTAACATTTATTTTTATTTTGAGTTTACAAAAGAAAATACATATATAACTTACATAAACTCTCACACAAAAAAAGTCAGATCTTGCATATGCTTTATGTTATCTTCCCTTTAACAACAACAACAACAACAACAACAACAACAACAACAACAACAACAACAACTATAAACAGTAAAAGATAGGGCAGCTACAAATTCTTTAGAAGATTGCCTTTTAAAGAAGGAAAGGTATACACACGCACGCACACACACACACACACACACGCACACACACACACACACACACATACATACATACACACAATTGTTGTTTTTTTCCCCCCAATTTCTGTTTAATGGAGAGAAGATTTTTTCAACACATTTCTCAACATAATAGTTTTAATAACTCATTTATAATAATTCTTTTTTTTTATCTTTGCCATGATGACAGTAATAATATTTTACTAGATATTTTTCAAGATACTTCTATGCAGCTTAAAGTGACATTTAAAGGCTTAACTAGGTTAATTAGGTTAATCAGTCAGGTAATTAGGCAAGTTATTGTATAGCAATGGTTTGTTCTGTAGACTATCAAAAAATATATAGTTTAAAGGGGCTAATAATTTTGTCCCTAAAATGGTGTGTAAAAAAATTACAACCGCTTTTATTCTAGCCCAAAGGAAACATATAAGACTTTCTTCGGGAGAAAAAATATTATCAGACATACTGTAAAAATTTCCTTGCTCATGTTGAACATAATTTGGGAAATATTTAAAAAAGAAAAAAAAATTCAAAGGGGGGGCCATTTTGTTTTGTAATTAATTTTTAACTAGCTGTTTCTTGTTTCTAATTTCTTGTCTTTATTAATACATCCGTCTAAATTTATATTAGCAATTTCTACTTCAAAAATGGCATCTAAATGTATTTTAATCTTTTTTAAGCATGAGGTTAATTACTGACAATTCCAAAAAACATGATAGTGACTAGCTTTCCCCCCCCCCCCCCCCCCCCCCCCCCCCAAACATTCTCCAGCAGCTAGTGCCCTTGCCTTTGTGTATTATCTCTAATAAAAAACCTTAGAACATTTTCCCAACAGAATTCTCTCTACATGGCCGAGCTGGTATTTTCCAATGAGTTCCAAATAATCCCCCAATCCTCATCTGAGATATTCAGATTTTCTTCCATTTTCCATTCAAAGCAGTCACATTTAATACAGTTCTACTAGAATATGTGCGGTCACTTTGTTGAGCAAAGGTTTGAGGTATTTTTAATGCTTTTAATTACCAATGCTGCAAATATCTGGTTAAAATACAGCTAAAGATGTAATATTGCTGGAAATTATTACACTGGATTATTAGTATTTTAATACATTTTAAAATGTAATTCATTCCAGTGAAATTCAAAACCTGAATTATTAGCATCATTACTGCAGTCTTCAGTATCAGATGATCCTTCTGTAATCCATCTAAAATGCTGTTGACGATAATAAGAAATGTTTCATCATGTAACATTAAGTCTTTACTCAATTTCTTTTAATAATATAATGAATTTAAAATGTAATCATTTAAAAGTGTAAATAAAACTAGTTAAAAGTTTCATAATTGGGCAAAATTTATAGTACAAAATGGAGGTTGTCAAAAAGGATTACAAAATGCTGGAAAAATATTCTTTTGTTGGTCACCTTGATCAATTGCTTGAATTTTTAGGTAAGGTTTTTAGGTAAGGTTATAAGTCAGAGACAATGTGAATGCTCTGGTTACTAAAGTAACCCTCGTTCCCCGAGGAGGGGAATGGAAATGCTATAAGTGGATTTAATCCAGGAATGGGGATTTCCTTTCAGAAAGCCAATCGTCTGAAAGAGTATACAACGGGCCAATGAAATGCCATTTGAGTTGGCAACGTATCTTGCGCACGTGTGCCTTATTGCAATTAGCTCTGCATACAAGCACAGGAAAAGCAAGGAAACACCATCCTTTTAAGCTGAAGAGACTGACACTTACAGCTAAGTAACAATCATTATGGCAATGTTAAATAGCATTTCTGTTCCCCTCCTCGGGGAACGAGGGTTACTTTAGTAACCAGAGTGTTCCCCTTCGGATGGGGAACTTCAATGCTATCAGTGGATTTATTTAATCCACAAATGGGGAAATGTCTGAAAAACGCCATAATGACCGCACCTTACCTTCGCCTGCAATGAGAGGATAGCCAGGCATATCGTGAGCGCTCCTGCATCAAAGAGACGCGCGGTCTTCCAGCGAGATCCCTGGCTCTTACTTATCCCACTTCAAAGAAGTTTTATGGATTTAGATATATTTTTTGGGAGTCGCAAACGTCTAGATAATTCTAGGAAAATACGACAGTATGTTGGGAAAGCGTGCAGTCCTGATAGGGAGGACGCTGCGGAGGCCACCTGCTACCCAATGTGGAGATATGATGGCAAATATATGGACTAGCCCTGAGAAGGGGGAGTATGCATATATTAAGATGGTTAGCGGAGAGGGAAGACACTGGTCCGCTCATGAGGAGGGACTGCACCGTGGCACCGTGGGATCGCCTAGTGGGGAACACGCATAGTGGGCACCTATACCCAAAACACGGGTTTACCAGCAAGCAGACCTACATTTTAATGGGCCAACAAGTGACTCTTCCGCTGAGTCAGTGCTGGGGGCCTTGGAGGAATCTGCAGGGCTCACCTAACAAGGAAATTTACTGGCAGATGAAAAAGCGCACGTGTTAGGGAGAATGGCGCAGCAAGCGTGTTCAACACCTTAACCGAGTTGTTTCCTCAATCACCAAGGGTTACCTAATACCCTTGAGGAAACCGGCTCCACTCGCAGATCGTAAAACCTTGCAAATGTATTAGGTGTCGCCCAGCCCACAGCTCTACAGATGTCTGGTAGATGGGCGCCATGTGCATGCCCAAGAGGATGCGATGCTCCGAGTGGAGTGCGCACGCACTCTCAAGGGACACGGCTCGCCCTGGCTCTGATAAGCGAGGGAGATGGCATCCACTATCCAGTGGGCCAACCTCTGTTTCAATATGGCACTTCCCTGCTGCCGACCGCCATAACAGACGAAGAGCTGCTCAGATGATCTAAAGCTCTGAGTGCGGTCCAGATAAATACGCAAAGCACAAACTGGAGAAAGTAAGAAAAGGGCTGGGTCTGCCTCCTCCGGGGGCAGCGCTTGCAGGCTCACTACCTGGTCTTTAAACAGTGTGGTAGGAACCTTGGGCACATATCCCGGGCGGGGTCTCAGGATAACATGAGAATAATCCGGCCCGAATTCCAGGCACAAGTCACTGGCGAAAATGCCTTTAGGTCCCCGACCCTCTTAATAGATGCCAACGCGACCAGCAGAGCTGTATTCAGGTACAGAAATCTTAAAGATACTGAGTCAAGTGGCTCAAAGGGATCTGTACGCAGGCTTGTGAGAATGAGAGCAAGATCCCAAGAGGGCATGAGAGGGGGGTGAGGTGGATTAATTCGCCTAGCGCCTCTGAGGAACTGGATGATGAGGTTATGCCTTCCCACGGTGCTGCCTGCCACCGCGTCATGATGAGCGGAGATGGCAGCCACGTAAACCTTGAGTGTGGAGGGCGACAGCCTGCTCTCCAGCTTCTCCTGAAGGAAAGAAAGCACAACACTGATCTGGCAATTTCGGGGATCTTCTCTGCGTGAGACGCACCATTCAGTGAATAGCCTCCACTTCAGGGCATAGGCGCGCCTCATGGAGGGGGCTCTAGCCTGAGTGATGGTATCAACAACCGCGACTAGTAGGTTACCTAAGTCTTCCTCGCGTCTAAGGACCACACGTGGAGGTTCCAAAGATTGGGGCGAGTGTGCCAGATGGTGCCCTGTCCCTGAGAGAGTAGGTCCTCTCTCAAAGGGATCTGCCAGGGGAGGGCCGTAACTTGGAGGGAGAGCTCTGACATCCAGGTCCGGTTGGGCCAGAGGGGCGTAACCAGCAAAACGTGTTCCTCATCCTCCCTGACCTTGCACAGTAACTGCGCGAGCAGGCTCACTGGGGGAAACCCATATTTGCGCATGCCCAGAGGCCAGCTGTGGGCCAGTGCATCCGTGCCGAGAGAGCCCTTGGTCAGGGAAAAAAAACAACTGGCAATGAGCGTTCTCGGAGGAAGCAAACAGAACTATCTGGGCTTCCCCGAATCGCGCCCATATCAGCTGAACAGACTCTGGGTGGAGTCTCCATTCTCCGGGACGTAAAGGCTGCCGTGAGAGCACATCGGCTGCACGGTTGAGCTTGCCTGGAATGTGAATGGCGTGCAGCGATTTCAGCCGCGGATGACTCCAGAGGTTGATATATGCTACCGCCGCCCTGCTGTCCGTCCTGACCAGCACGTGTTGCTGCTCCAGCACCGGAAAAAAAATGGTGGAGAGCAAGGAACACTGCCAACAGCTCCAGGCAATTGATATGCCAATGCAACTAAGTTTCTTTCCACAGGCCCGCAGCTGCATGCCCGCAACACACAGCCCCCCAGCCCATGCTGGAAGCATCTGTTGAGACAACATGACTGGACGCCTGTCCTAGAGGCACTCAGGTCTGTAGGAATGAGGGGTCGTTTGCCCGCTTACCATGCGCGTCTGGGGACTCGATCGTGAAGCCAGTGCTTGAGTGATCTCATATGGAATAATCCGAGCGGCATGACAGCGGCTGCCATATGCCCAAGGAGCCTTTGAAAAAAATTCAGTGGGACCACTATTTTGCTGTCGAGCTCTCTCAGACAGTTCACCATCAGCTCAGGGCGCTCTCCGGAAAGGCGCGCTGTCCGAGAAAAGAGATCCTCTGCATGGGGGCTAGTTTGCTCTTTTCTCGATTGACCTGAAGCCCCAACAGGTGGAGGTGCCGGAACACCTTGTCTCTGTGCATAATCAATTGCTCCTGAGAGTGGGCTAAAATCCGCCAGTAGTTGAGATAATTGAGTATGTGGATCCCCGCGAGCCTAAGGGCTTGGTGAAGACCCGCGGAGACAGAGAGAGCCCGAAGGGGAGGACTTTGTATTGCCAAGCTCGACCTTCGAACGCAAACCGCAGAAACTGACAGTGACGAGGAAAAATGGAGACATGGAACGTCCTTCAGGTCTATTGCTGCAAACCAATCCCGAGGACAAACGCACCGGAGGATGTGCCTCGGAGTGAGCATTCTGAACGGCAGCTTGTGCAGACAGCGGTTCAAAACGCGCAGATCTAAGATTGGCCGTGACCTACCGATCTTTTTGGGAACGATGAAGTTTGGGCTGTAAAACCCGCATCTCAGCTGGAGGGACCTGCTCGATTGCATCTATCGCCAGGAGGACAGTAATCTCCTCTCACAAGAAGGGGGCGGACAGGGGGCTGACCCTTGTGAAAATACACGCCCGTGATCTTGGGGGGCCGTTTCGCGAACTGAATCGCATAGCCGAGTCTGATTGTGCGTATGAGCCACCGTGAAGGCCTGGCCCACGCTAACCAGGCAGGCAGAGCTCTCGCTAATGGACTCATCGCTACAATCGCTGACGTACCAGCAGTGGGGCAGCGCGGAGTGGGTGTGCTGATCTGGGAAGTGCGAGGGTCCCGCGGAAGAGCTGGAGTCGAGAGATTCGCTCTCACTCTGCACCCAAACTCCGGAGAGGGGGCTCGAGGGGTGGGAGAAAGGAGACCGTCCTCCCAGCACTCGTGAGACACTGGGGAAGCGCATAGAACCTGCGAGCTGGGAAGCAAAGCATCCCGTACTGGCAGGGTTTGTGCTGATACATCCGGGAAAGTGGAAAAGTGCTCTTTCATTGATGTTTTTGTGGCAATGAAAAGTACAGTTGGAAATGGGGCCCCGCCCTCCAGCAGGGAAAGAGCAAATTCCCTCTTCTCCGGATGACCTGTCTCAGGGACGCTTTACGGTCCGTGTACCAGACTTAACGGCGACCTGGGCAGGGGGGCTGCCTGCTTCCGAGGTGCTTGACGCGCCCGCTTCGCTGGAGGCGCAGGTAGGGGCGGGGCAGCACTCATAGGCAGACGCCCTTGGCGAGGAGCAGCAGCGGAGCGGGCTTACGGTCCCGTGATAGATGACATTGCCCATCGCAATTGACTGCTCACTAACCGCCTTGAACTCCTGGCTGAATTCACAGACGGTGTCGCCGAACAGGCCAGCCTGGGATATGGAAAGAAAAGCAAACTTTGTCAACTTTGCGCATATCAGCCAGGTTTAGCCAGAGGTGGAGGTCCTGGACCACTAATGTGGACATCGTCCTTCCCAATGCACACGCAGCGGATTTAGTGGTCTGAAGAGCATAGTTGGTTGCGGTGCAAAGCTTGTGTAACAAGCGAACGCTTGGAGGAGCGGGAGGTCTGTGGGCTCGGGGGCAATGGATTATCTCTAGCTGAAACCCTCAGATCTCGGACCTCAGACCCTCAGTTCGCCCCCTCACAAGGGCTAGCCGCGATCTTAATTGGGCAACAGACATGGCATCGCAATGACGACATGAACTTCCCGCGAACAGTGCTTATATGCGGAGCTAATTGCAATAAGGCACACGTGCGCAAGCTTATGCTGTCAACTCATTTGGCATTTCATTGGCCCATTGTATACTCTTTCAGACGATTGGCTTTCTAAAAACTAAATCCCTATTCGTGGATTAAATCCACTTATAGCATTGAAGTTCCCCATCCGAAGGGGAACCAGAAGTTTCAATGTTTAAACTATTATTTTTTAGAGTTTATTAGATGAAGAAGCATTGTAAGCTAATAAAGTAATTTCATTTCAATTTCATGACATCTAAGGGGCCGTTTACATGACAATGTTTTCAGCTAAAAAATTAAAAAAAAATTTTTTATCAGGTTTGCCTGTTTGTTCACACAACAACAGTGTTTTTGTGACTGGATACTCACAAATCAAACAGAATTCCAAGTTGGAGGTTTTGAAAAGGCCTTTGTTGGCATGTCCATGTAAACACATGAAAATGAAAATTACACTGGCAGTTAAATGTGACCCAATTTAGATTTTTTGCTCCTATGTGACATATCGGATCTGCTCTATGACCGTGTAAACAAGAAAAAAAAGCATGCATTCGGATATTCAGAGATCGGTTTCAGGCCTCTTTTATATGTGGAAATAAATCTGATATAAATTGGATATGTGACAATGCGACTATCATGTGAACAGGCAGATCAGATTTATTGAGACATTTAGCTTTGTACATCATTAAACTTGGGACAATGTGTGCCTCAAAATCATTTTAAAGTTGGGGGAACTTTGCATATTTCGCAGAGCTAAAAGCAAGACAATTTCTTCCGTCATGACTAGTGTGGGGCAGATGAAACGCATGAATCGGTTATGGGTCACAATTAAAATAATGTGTAAACGGACAGGCAAAAAAAAAAAAAAAAAGAAATCTGTTATAGGCAACAAATCAGAATTGGACATCAAGATCTGAGAATGTAAACATGGAACATTAAAAAAACAACAACAACAACAACAAAAATTACCCCAAGATATGGGTTGTCCATGTAAAGATGACTTTATGTACTTTTATTGGTTTGTTTCTCACAGACTGCTCCAGTAAAACTAAACGACGAAGACGTTCTGCAGCCAAACTGCAGCTCAGAGATCAGCTCGGTGAGTCGGAATTATCAGTGTATCAAATGTTCTTTAAGCAGTCATTACATGGATTTTGCAGCAGGCCGTATGATATTACACAGTCTAACTGGTGGGACTTTTTTCAGGCATTACATATTATTATTGCATCTGCTGCAGCAGCCATGTTCCTTGATTATTATGCTGGAATGAGAGTATAGTTGCTAGCCATAGAAAATACTGTAGCAGCTTTTCATTTTTAGTTAGTGTATAATGTATCTACAGAAGAGTCAAGCTTTAAATAAGTCAATTATCGAAACATGTTGCTCTTTTTTTTTTGAGGGAGATGCTAATGGTCTAATCTGTTTCGATAATCTATGCTAAGCTAAAAGTTTTCCCACCAGACCCAAAGATTAAGTAAATGCATTTAAAAATGGTAAAACTCAACTCCTAGAGTGTTTGTCTAAAGCAGGATTGAATAAATGCATTGTTAGAACATTTAAGTGTTGAATCTGTGTTAAAGTCAGTGCAGTTTTTAAGTTTCCTTGTCATGTCTCTTTGAAGAAGATACAGAAGCACAGATATTCAGAAGCTAACCTAACCGTCTAATCATGTTTGTTTCTCTCACTCAGAGAAGGCCTATTCAGATGAGCTCCTGCAGAGGTGTTGTGTGGATGGCATGAAGGAGATTCCCATGCCGTATTCATGCTACCGTCGCTCGCTCTACATCACCGAGGACTGGAGCTGTGTGTTGGCTTTCCTGCGCTGCTGTGCTGAATACAGAGGAGAGGAGCTCGGCGTCATTACCAGACCTCCAACAACCACTGCTCCACCAACCACTGCTCCGCCAACCACTTCTACACCCGTCTTCTTTGGCGTACCATATCTAGAATATGAATATTATGAGGTTTTGTATGCTAGACAGCCAGAACCTATGCCAACGCTTCTTGCAGAAGCTAATGTAGTCGTTGTAGAAGAAGAGGAAGAAGAGGGGGCTTCAGTGTTTGAGGAAGATGATTTGGCTGATCTTGAGGATATTTATGTGCGCAGCAAGTTTTTTGAGTCGTGGTTGTGGACCGATATCAGACTGCCTAGCACTGCCAAGTCTGATGGGTAAGAGTTTAGCATTTGACTCGATGTAGATGTCGCACTGTTGTTGTATTAATTGTTTTGTTTTTTCTTCAGGTTGGCTGTGTTTCCAGTGGACACCGTTCTTCCAGACAGTATCACACAGTGGGGGTTTCTAGCTGTCAGTGCCTCACCTGAGAAAGGTGAAAAGAACTTTCATCTTGTCACAACACAAATTTCAGTAGATAAAACAAAAATAGTTAAGGTATCGTTTACACTAATATGTTTTAGCTTTAAAATGGCCTTGTAGAACGAAAATGATCCACATTGGCGTTGCACCTAGCATTCCAGAAAGATATATGTCCACACTACACTGCTGAAAACGCACATTACGTGATCACACAAAAACGCACTCTGGCATGTGCTGCATCATATACGGAAGTCTGAGCTCCAGGCAATCAGCAGGTACTTTGAACACACCTCCCCAGGTGAGAGCAGCACACATCGAACAGTTCATCTAGGATCTACCACTGGATGTCATCTAACTAAAGGTGTTAAGCATGATATTTTATTCATCTTGTCTCTATCTAATGACTCTTTGGTCTTTTGAATCTTACTTGTTCTCTACTTGTTTTGGCTGAGCACAAATATAATTTAATATATGAATTAATGTAACCGCGTACACTGATTCTGCACATTTGACTGATTGCTTGCCTTTATTTCCTATATTGTTTAAACTTATTGTACCTTATGCTTTTATAATGGCCATTATTGATTGTTAAGATTGATATTCAGCAAAGCAGACAGGGTATGTTTTGTATTTTACAATGAAAATTAAAGGAGGCAGTTTTGTTATAGGATCAGTTTTGTTATAAATGTGCACACAGTGAAGAGGCCGGTCATATAAATATGCAGTTACACGATGCCTCAAAATTTGTGGTGTCTGTTAAGTTGTTAATATCAAAATGAGAAACAGGCAGTTCCTGACATCATGTTAAGGAGTCCAGCATTGGATAATGATTATAATAATAATAATAATAATAATAATAATAATAATTATCATTATTATTATTATTGTTAATATCAAAATGAGAAACAGGCAGTTCCTTGTATCATGTTAAGGAGTCCAACATTGGATGATGATGATAATAATAATAATAATAATAATAATAATAATAATAATAATAATAATAATTATTATTATTATTATCATTATTATAATTATTAAGCTATGTGTTGATCATTACTACATATGAATATATAATTATTTAATCTAATATTTAAAAGGATCATTTAAAACATTTTTATTTACAGGGTGTCCACTGAATCTTATAAAGTCTTAATGTCATTTTATTGTTAAAATAGTGAAACAACATAGCCAGGGTAATACGAATGATGTTAAAGTACACTGTTCCCTTTTAAGTTTTACCCAACATATCCTGGGGACTTATAATGAAACAATGCAAGACTAACCTTGTGTACTTAATATTAAAAAAAAACAATTCGGGATATCTGCAGCCCCTCCTCTATTTTCAGATGTCTTCATTTTCCCCCATCCATGCTGACAGGGAGCAGCGTTTTAAAACAAAAATGGCCTCTTAAGTGTTTCCAAAATGCTCTATTTCGGGGCTTGGAAACTCTGGGGTAGTGTCGACGGAAGGTGTAACCGCAGTAAAACTTATTCATTTTTAAACTAAAACATATTAGCGTAAAAAATAAATAAATAAATAAACTAAGAATTGTGTTGTTTCAACTTATATTAAATAATTAGTTTGAACGAGCCGCAAAAGTCATTTCTGATTGTAACATCTTCTTCTTTAAACCTGCAGATGGCAGCATCATAATAGCAGCGGAGCTAAAATAATAACTTGCAATTGCTTTTATGCAACTAAATGTGCCCATATGGTTTTTTTTTTAACAAGTAATACTGAATTTTTTTATGTTTAATCATAGATGAGTCCTAATTTGATCTGATATTTATGATAATAATAATAAGTAGTAATATTTAACAAAATCATTTAAACCATTTTTTAATGGTTCTTAAATTCAACTAAATTTTGTCTTGAAGGTAATAAATAAATTTGTCGTGGGGTGTGCACTACCTACTATAGAAGAGATTGCACATAATCGAATGCTGGAAAAATTTGTCAATATAATGAACCATGATAGTCATCCCTTTTTTAGACGAATTGTGCTGAACTGTATTAGTTATTAAATATGAACAAGTGTTTACTCGTTGTTTTTGGGACTAAGGTGTGTAGTATAAATGTAGTTTTATTATTATTTTTTATATATATGTACATTATTTATCTATTTTTAGTATGTAGAGCTCTGCTGTGACATGGGAATTTCCTTTTGGGGATTAATAAAGTCAAACAAACAAAACAATTGTAAAAAGGTCTTAATTTTCCTATGTCTGTGTAAAACTACCCAACACGAATACAATCACCAACAATTCAACTCTATATAACTTTTAACCAAACTCGATTTATAACTTTATTTACAATGTGGTTTAATTATCATATAAGCCTTATATATGGCTCAGAATTAACAAATTATAATATATTATATAAAAAGTCTTAATTTTGACTTTGTGAAACCTGCAGAAACCTTATTTAGCTTTTATTACCACCCTCAAATAAACAGAACTTATTATTTAGCTTGTATTGCTTCCTTTTTCTGCACATTATTATTATTATTATTATATTTCTTTAATAAAGATGGGTTTTTAATACAAATATTACACGTTTACATAAGATTAATACATATTCGTAATTAAATCATTTCCAATGCTACTTCAAGCATTTCTATATGTGAATTACAAATGCATTAACCATATTTAGATTTAAGGAAACATGTTAAGGAATTCTGCATATAAATTATTTGAAATATTTTTTTACTAATAATGTGATGCCAAGCATTTCTGTAGTTGAATTTTGAGTGTTTAAAAAACAAAATTGAGTAATTTAGTAAGAAAAAAGTGGAATCATTTGTTTTATGGACATTAAAATACTGAATTATTGTTTTTTATGATAGTTGTTGTTTTTTATTGCACGTACAGTTCATTTAAACATTTTTTTAGTTTGTTTTGTTGTTCTAGTAGATATTTTAAGAATATTAGTATTAGAAAATGCTATTTACAGTTGTCCAGGGACTGAGCAGTACTGTGTCTGTCTGAATAATTTTGGCAGGTGTCTGCGTAGCTGAACCATATAACGTCCGCGTGTGGAAACCGTTCTTCATCGACCTGCGTTTGCCTCACTCGGTGTCCAGAAATGAACAAGTGGAAATCAAAGCTGTGATCCACAACTACAAGAACTCAACACTGGAGGTTCGTTCCACACCATCAGTAAATGTTGTGACTTATTATTTGTGTTTTAAAGAGGTATTTTTCTCAGATATTACATTTTGTTACAACCCTTGGGCAATCTAGGGCAATGGGGTCAAACACTTGACCAAGGATCTAGTTCAAACAAACACTCAGAGAAAATTGTCATACATTCATTTTCTTTTTAGCTTAGTCTCTTTATTAATCTGGGGTCGCCACAGCGGAATGAACCGCCAACTCATCCAGCTTATGTTTTACGCAGCAGATGCCCTTCCAGCTGCAACCCATCTCAGGAAAATCAGAGAAAATTGTACTCAAATTAAAAACCACAAGCCAGAATTGCTGTACAAATAATGTGATTTATTACAGATGGTGGTTCCCTCTAATCTAGTCTAATAAACGAAAATGTGAAAAATAAATCTTCAATGTCCAAAGACGTCTTACCTAAACTACACTAATTATCCATTTATTTAAAAATACACAAGTTGGCGCTTACCCCCTTCCCTAGTGTATCTCTAGACAGTCAAACTTCTATGTGTTGAAATGTATGTCACGTGACCTACTTACCTACCAGTCTTTCTATCAAACCTCTTTACTGAAACACGAGGAAAGGGAATGAATTACACACAGGTAAGAACAGACAGTGACTAAAGCAAAAGGACACACAGTGTAAATAAAAGTGAGGACATACAATAATGTACATTACAATAAAACTGAAAAAATGTGGATATAAACACAGATTTAATCAAGCAAGTTAGCAAGCAAGCACTGAGCACAGAAACCAATAACAAATCAAGCCAACAAAGGCTGTTTCTCAATTCTAAGAATGCAGAGAACTTGTGTTCTTCTGGAGACAAGTCTTGCCAGGTGTCCTCGGAAGAACGAACTCAGTAGACTACGAGGACAGAGAACGCGTCCTTTGAGAAATAAGATGCTGCGTTCTTCCTGATGGTCACGTGACCTTTACACAATTTAAATGGTAAATAATTTAAATATTACAGCGTTCATACAACAGTATATTGTTTTTCCCGTTTTCAATATATATACTATGCATAAAGACTTTACAAATATACGCTGCACAATATAAATAGAACTGATTTTAATAAGAATTTTAGCAAACTAACAACCTTAATGTGTTTATTCCTTTAATAAGATGTCCATGGGAATGTTTATATTCACCATCTCATTTAGGGTAACTCCTGAGATAAATAAGTTATATCTCTGAACTCTATATCTCTTTAATTATAAATAGATATAAAATGTTGCGCTTCCCATCTCCAGTCGCAATGATTTTTGGGATGTCTAGAGAGATATACAAGCACATGCAAGTTTCACGCATCCTCCGAACTTTTGGTCTTAAGTATTGGAACAGAACTTTGGCAGCTGATGATGACATTACATGAGAACACGATGACGCAAAACCACTGAAGAATGCATATTGAAAAACAGCCAAAGACTGCCAAACTGCTGGCATACAAAAAAAAAAAATACAGCGAGCTGGAGTTATCTGATTGGCTGAAACCGGAGCCAAGTTGTTACTCTAGAACCAATCAGCATAATCCAGTGTCAGGATTGGTTGTACCAAGCGGAGGTGAACCAGCCAATCAGGAACAGCAGTAGGCAAAAACAAAGAAGTAAACTCTGGTGATAGAAAGAAAAACAGATAATACAAACATAAATAACCAATACCTGCTGGCACGTAACACATCTACACATATTTTACACAATAAAAAATAGGTATAAAGGTTTAAGTATATGTTTATGAAATTACACATTGCAATGTTTATTTTGCTAGCTTACATTGTTAGTTATAAATTAATCCACAAAAAAAGTGGTTTGTTTTGGTAATCTTTTATCAAAATCAAACAATTGACTTCCTCTCTGGAACGGCAGTGCGTTTATGATGACATCATTTTGACTGCTTCGGTGAAATATGCCTAGCCACACCCCTCCAACTATTAAGGCAAACTGGGACGCTTTTTGCTTGTGTTTTCTGTTGACGTTTAACGCCTCCTGACTAAATAAAGGTCGCCAATGTGATCGTGCACACCAATGCGCAAAACGACAGGCGCATTTTTAAAGAAATGCCTCATGCTCGGTTTTTACTGCTGAAGTTACAGTAAACAGCACTTTTAGGGCCCTCAACTAGAAAACTGTCAATGTGAGCGCACATTGAAGAAGATGCCCAGAGGCGATATGAACATGGAGCTGATTATTGCACTGATGAACAATAATCATTTCTTCATTGCTAGAGCTGGAGCTGCTGCTTGAACCATCCATACTTGTTCGAGTCACCAGTAACTTTAACAACAAGCGTGTTAACTTTCTCTCTTCTTCTTCTGTGTTACAAGCGGGTGTCAGAAGCTTAAAGTTGTGTAGCGTCATCTAACGTCAAGTAGTGATTTTGCATACTCTTCTGCTCGATGCCAGTGAAAATCACTTAGGAACTCTGACCTGCGAAATCACATCATCAAATCACAATATAAATACATGACCTCTCTGTACAGAAATGTAAAATATGGACCAACCGCTCGTTTTTTATGTCTAATCATCTTCTTTAACTCCGCCCCTTTTCGTAGCACCGTACGGCAGAATTTTGCATGCTTAAACTCAAGTGTGAATGAAAAATGAGGAGGAGGAGGAGTGCAAAAATAAAACCCCACCTCCTGCTTAATATTCAGTTTCAGTTGGCAATGCGTCATCATACTGGAATAAAAGTCTGCTAAAAATTCCGGTTTGCATGAACTTTAAAGTAGGCTTAGTTACTTTTTAATCAAACATTATTCTTGACAATATTTCAGACTGTGTTTATTATGCTACTTTCACAACAAACTGTTGCATAATCTCCTGTGTTTTTAACTCAAAAGCATTTCAAATGTGTGCAAATAATGAAAGTACATAACAAAAAGCAATTATACAGAGGGAGCAAAAAACATCACGGAATTCAAGTAGTGTTGTTTATTTTCCAAATAATTATGGCAGATCAAATATTCGTGCAGACTGCAAATTTTTTTTGGAACTCTGAGTTATATTTTTTGTGATTTGTATTTATTATAGATTCACTCCAATAAGGCAGACGAAGTGACACTCTGAAATTCTAATAACAGGGTATCTGCGGGGTCTTAAAAAGTCTTAAATTTTAAAAGCCAAATTTTAGGCCTTAAAAAGTCTTAAATCCACTCAAATATAAATCACTTTAAACTAGTCTTTATTTTCCTTATGTCCATGTAAAGCTATATTTTAATATTTTATTTTCATTACATTTTCTTGTCAGCTTAGTCCCTTTATTAATCCAGGGTCGCCACAGCGGAATGAACCGCCAACTTATTAAGCACATTATTACGCAGCGGATGCCCTTCCAGCTGCAACACATCTCTGGGAAATCGCTAAAAATATATTTAAATCAAAGTTTAAGAAACGTTTATTTATTAACTCTATTTACTTATTAATATGGTTTAATTCTCTTCCTTACAATAACATTTGTTTTAAATGTTTTTTAAAGGCTTTAACTTGGCTATTAAAAAATCTTTAGCGTTTATAGTGCCTTGTGTAAGTCTGACATTTCAATCAATATGGTCTTAAAATGGTCTTAAAATCTTATTTTGACTTGATGAAACCTGTAGAAACCCTGAATAAGATTTTTGATTTTGCGATTAATTCTTTCAGAGCAAATATTAAAATTTTTGACTATTCGTAAAGACCTTTTATTGGTTTCACAGCAAGTTGTATTTTGTTCACTTAGCGTTTATGATTGAATCACTCTATTTAAGGCCCACAAAGTGACACTTTGCAAAATTCAAATAAGTAATTACTATTAAATAATTCAAGTAATTACTTCAGCGCAAATATTAAATTTTTTGACAATTCATAAAGACCCTTTTTAGTTTTTACAGCAAGATTTATGTTGTGCACTTAATATTTATCATTGGATCACTCAGTTTAAGGCCCACAAAGTGACATTTCATGAAATTAGAATTATGCTTTTAAATGTTCATTTAATAATTGCAGAGCAAACATTTAAATATTCCCTTCATGCAAAGGCATAATAGTTATAGCTACTAGTTTTATATATTTATGTTTTTACTCCAACTTCTGCCAGCAAAGTGACGTTTTGTAAATTCAAATGGTGTTTTTGATTACTCAAACGACTGTAAATCAAATGTTTGAATATTTGCGTACACCTTGAAAAGTCATAACAGCAAGTTTTAGTTTGCGTGTTGAATATTTATCATAAATTTGCTCCATTTACGACCAGCAAATAGAATTTTGTGTGAAATTCAAATGATGTCTTTTAATTTGCGAATAATGAATTACTGATTGAATGTTCAATCATTCATCCACGTGCCTAGTTATAACCTGATTGATGTTTGTGTTCGCAGGTGATGGTGATCCTGGAGAAGACAGAGGACATGTGTAGTGTGGCCTATACGGGACAGCACAGACAGCAGGTTACAGTAGCAGCTGGTTCCTCTAAACTCATTACATACACCATCATCCCTCTGAAAACAGGAGAGCTTCCTCTACAGGTCACTGCTGTCGCTGCCTCATTCATGGGTCAAGATGCAGTGAAGAAGAATCTACGCGTAGTAGTGAGTGCCTATTAAAAATAGTGTGGTTTTGGGTCTTTGGCATAATATTCAGACAGTGTAACAGTGTAGTTTCTGATGGTTTTATGTGTGTGTTTTAGGTTGAAGGCATTCAGACACTTAAAGTGAGGAGCTTTGTGTTGAACCCATCAGAGAAAGGAGGCAGTGGTGAGACTGGAGTTTAATGAACGTTAATCATGTAATGACAAATATTTCAAACATCAGTGTGATTATTATATCACAATTAAAGGGACTTGAAACCCCCTCATTTGGTTCAAGTCTACCTTAGAATTTTTTCAAAACATGCTTCATAATGGAGCAGGGGAAAAAGAGGGGAGCAAACAACTGTTGTCACAAATGAGACGCACTGTGAGGAGACCCATGATTTTATAGTTTACAAAGTTAAAATGTAAAGAAATAAATTGTATGTAATGCCCTGCTACATATGTTATTCGTAATTTCATATACATACAACCACAATTTGTTATATCATTATAAAGATAATCATGTAAACACTACAAATGAGGAAGACTTCCCTCTTCCTCAATCCCAGGGTCTGAATGCAGACACAGTGGATTGCAGTACAGCAGGTCTGTTTCCGTGTCTGTTCAAACCATTAGTCCTACTGGTAATCAGGAGAATTTTAAATATAGGCGAACACAGCAGCACGGATATAAGCGATGTGTCTGAATGGTAACAAACTCAACTGATAAAGGACAAAGTTCGCCATTCTCCAATTCTCATACAGCTGTCCTTACAAAAATGCTTGCTGCAAACCAACAGGGAATAACATGCAACAAACACAGTGGATCATGAAAACAAACACATACGGCCCTTCATGAACGGCTAAATACTGGGTGCCATGCTCAACCAGTCATTGGGTCTCACCACCTGGCAGGAGTTGCCTTGCCTTCAGAATGCATGTGCTCTCATGATTAATTAAGAAGCAGGCTCTTCTCATTGGACAAGAAACTCAGCTATGAATAATAATGAGAAATCAACATGTCATCACTCCATTTGTAGTTCTGCGCTACGTCACCGATTTTGATCCTGCCTCATTAACTATTTTAAACCAGGAAGCATGAAATTAGCTGACAAAAGCTCAAAATGATCCAGTTTTCCCCACAATTAAGTATGACAGGTGCTAACGTCTTAAATAATGCTCAACACACATAAATCTGTTAAAATTAATCATTTCGGCTATAAAAAAGTTATACCTTGAAAATTCTCTGGATTTACCATTTATAGTTATGTGCTTGAGTAAAACATTTTGTTTTGCTGTATTTTGTGAACTACTGGTGTCATTTTTTCAAAACTTAAAGTTAAAAATGTTTTTGGTGACACTTTATTTTTAAGTCACACTTCATGCTATTACCAAACTATTATCTAAGACTTTCAACTCAAGAAACTATTAATTAGTTACTTATTTTTGTAAACTTATTTTTTAAATATACATTTTTACTATATCTGCACAGAATGTTGTACATGTTTATGGGAGTATCGTTACCAAAAACGTAATATTTGAATTAAAAAAAAACTTTAACGTTTAACTTTTATGTTTACAATGCAAATCCAATTCAATCCACTTATTTTGTAAACAGAGCAAATAGCTCGTATAATATATCCACTAAAAGACAGAAAATATTACTTTACAAACTGTATTGTAAATAAAAATCATTTTAACATTTTCATATTAGCCAATAATATTGCTGAAAAGAGTTTAAAAACTGAATACATATAAATGTACACACATTTACACAAGTAAATAAATAGATTTGATGATGGGCTAAAAATCAGCGAATTTCTGCATGCACAGATTTCAAGCAGGCCTTGTTATTGAGTATGATTAGAGCTAATAAATCCTTTTTTTTTATGAATAATTTCTATATTGATAATAGACAGGCAAATCACAGTGGCTCAGTGGTTAGCACTGTGGCCTCACAACAAGAAAGCCACTGGTTCGAGTCCCGGCTGGGTCAGTTGGCATTTCTTTGTTGAGTTTGCATGTTCTTCCCATGTTGGTGTGGGATTCCTCTATGTGCTACGGTTTCCCCACAGTCCAAAGACTTGCGCTATAGGTGAATTGGATGAACTAAATTGGTCGTAGTGTATGAGTGTGTGTGTGTGTGGGAATGAGTGTTTGGGTGTTTCACAGTGCTGGGTTGCAGCTGGAAGGGCATCCGCTGTGTAAAACAGATACAGGATGAGTTGGCGGTTCATTCCGCTGTGGCAACCACAGATAAATAAAGGGTCTAAGCCAGAGGAAAATTGATAAATGAATTGACAGGCAATGAGCCAGTAGTTATTAGCGTGAATTGTGACTTAAACTAATGTGTTGTCATTTTTTTATTATTATTTTTGATCATCAAAAACAACAAAAGTAAAAAAATGTTTAAGTCAGTACAAGACACTCAAAAAAAGCCTTTATTGATATAATTTGATTATTAATTGATATGATTCCTTAAAGCTTCCCCACAGACAAAAAGGGGAACAGGTAACACAGATACAGTTGGAGACAGTAATAAAAATGAATAAGATACGTGAGGTGTACAGCTAGAAAACAAATCCAAACAAAAAAAGTACACAAAAAGGTCACATATATGTTAATTTATTATTCAAATAAGATTGAACACCACATTTCTTCAGTGTAAGGTATCAGTGAATTAATTTAACCAGTTAATGAAATGCTTTCATTTAGTGATCTCTGACCTGTGTCTGTGATTTATTATTTGTTTGTATCTAAGCTGGGCAACAGTTGATTCAAGTCAAGAAGCTGCAGTTGGATGCTGTTGTGCCGAAATCTGTACCAGAAACATTTGTCAATGTCAGAGGTATGAAGTTTTATTAAAACATATTCATAATATGTTTTGAAAGCTAAATTTCTCCTCCCCTCATCAAGTCTTGATCTGTATGTCGATATAAAAAGATTGCAGAAATAAATAAAAGTTTTGTTTAACACCATTTAAGTACTGTCTATATTTATGATTCATATATCACTAAACACAAGCATACATATATTTGAGATAATATTTGTATTTAGATATAAAATGTACAATATATGATACAAATTATATATCCATGTACTAATTTTTTTTTATGTATGTGTGTCAATCACACATACTTAATAAATATATATACAATACATACATATATTGTGTCAAAACAAACTTTTATTTTGTATGCGATTAATCGCAAATAATCTTTTCCCAGCACTAAAAAAAAAACGATTTTCTCCAGGTGATTTGCTGGCAGACAGTATTGATAACTCCATTAAGGAGGACTCATTAGCAGCGTTGATTCGGATGCCCGGAGGCTGTGTGGAGCAGAACCTGGCCAGAATCACTCTGCCCCTCATCGCAGCTCATTACCTGGACCGCAGTGCAGACTGGGAGATTGTGGGAATCAGTCGCAGAGAAGAGGCCATCAAATACATACAGAAAGGTGCAATGACATGCAAACAGGGATGAACTTTGTTTCTTTTAGATACAAATGATGCCACTACTCAAAATTTATGTGTGTAAGCTTCTTAACAAGGGAAGTGCACCTATTACTCCGGTTTCAACCCAGCCAACATTTTTGTGAAGCGCAAAATACATGGGTCCAGGGATGTTTCGTTGAACAGTTCACATGATAAATCCACTAGAGGGAGCTGACTACATTTTTTGTAATTCAGAAATATATTACTCAGTGTACGTTTTATTGTACCATCCTTTTTTTGTCCACGGTCGTCATACAGCTCCCCTTGAACATAAGAGAAAAGTGGACTGTGACCACATAGTTTTACCTTGATTTTATATAGCTTTTATCTCTTTTGCTTTAACGTGCTTCACCAGACTTGAATTTGAGTGCACTGCATCACAAGTACAACAGCACATTGTCAAAAGTGCTGTACACTATAAGGTTATTATAGTTAACGAATACAAGCAAAAAAACGAAAACTAAAACTTTTAAATAATTTTCATTAACTAAAATAATAATAAAAACAAGAGTTTTTTTCTTTTTTTTTGTTAACTAGATCTAACTGAAACTGTATTGTGTACATACAAAATTAACTAAAAAGAAATGAAATTATAGCAAAAACTTCCTTTGTTTTAGTCTTTGTAAATATATTTATTACATACTGTAAGCCTTTTAGAAGTAAATCTATTTTGCACAGCCTGGTTTTTGACCCATACGGTACCTCCGAGTAATCCTGATGCCATTGGCCATATCAAGCCGGTTCTCCTCCAGTCATCCTCGCTGTTGCTCCCTCAACTAAAACAACAGCTGGACATGACAGCAGCACGGTGACGACATTAAATACGACCCAAGCAGACACTTAAAAGTTGTTATTTAACAAATTTGTGCCAAACAATTGGTTTTATTTCTGTATTAGGGATTGTGAACAACTCATTATTTTTAACCTGAACCGGTTTTAACCGGTTGAACTAGTTCATCAAATCGAACTGAATCATTTAAAACGATTTGCGTCTTCAGTAATGTTAAACATGTATTCTCAAACAAGTTACTTTTTACATTCCTGATACCCCTCTGACTGGAAATAAACCAAATTATACTGAGTTATTCAGTTATAAGAACAGTACACTGAGATCAGATTTGAGAAGCGGTGAACTGATAATACTGCGCATGCTTGATTTAGCAGATGGTGAACCGAACGCAAACATTACATGACAGCCTGCTGAACTCGTAATAGATTTTAAATAAGTGAATCATGCTTCAGTTGGGTTGCAAAACATAATTGTAAGAAAGTTTTAACTGACTGAAATTATGATTGCTGACTACATATTTTTAATATGTTCAGTAAAACCTAGGAAGATTGTCATAAAAAATCCTTTGCACACATATTGTACTTAAGGCTGCTATCTTGTGGGCTGTTGTATTTAAATTAGAGGATGGGTAGATGGTAGTGTTCTTGTATCAAAAAAATGTAGCCTATCTTTGGTTGAGTTTTTATTGTACAATATTTATTCTGATGATTTTGAGTCTTGCACCTAACAAATATCCTAATTTACCAAAAAATGAAGCTAAAACTAAAATAAAACTAAGCAATTTTTTAAATAAAAAAAATCAAAACTAGTAAATCTACCTCTTAAGCTAATTAAAACTAACTGAATTTGAAAACTAAAAGTCAAAACGAAAAAAAAAAAAAAAAAACATCTAAAAATAACAACAAACCCAAAACTATTGGTCTAACCTTGGTCCACAACTAAAGTAACAACATAAAATAAAATAAAAATCCAAAACATGAACATAATATAAAGACCTACAGTAAAAAAAGAGGATATATTGATGGCTCAGTATAGTTGCAGACTCAAAAGCCAGGGGTAAAATGTGAGCTATTGGGTAAACTGACCATGGTAGAAAACTTAAGATAGATAAATGAGCAAATATATTGGACTACAAATAACATTGTGTTTTGTATTTATTTGGTGTTGTGTGACTTTGTCAATAATATGTCCCTGTAAATATCAGTGTGAAAAGGAACAAAAGTTTTTGCAGTCATAGCATTCCTTTCAAATCTTTGTTTAGACTTTATTTAATCTCTTATTTGATTAATGGATATGGTTTAAAGCAGAGCAATAAAATAGCCTTAGTGTACTTTTTATATTGAAATAAAATTGTGTTTGTGAATGTTTTATTACAAAAAGTTTGGTCACATTTCATCGAAGGTACAATTCTTGCTGTTAATAAACTATTAACTATGAGTTTTAGCTCAACAAACTCCTGATTCGCTGCTTAGTTAATAAGGTAGTAGTTAGGTTTAGATAAATGATATGTATTAAGGATGTGAAATAAAATCATGCAGAATATGTACTTTATAAGTACAAACAAAACAGCCAATATTATAACAATAATAATAATAGATAGATAATAAGCAAATAGTTTATAGTGAGAAAAGGTACATGAACTAAAGTGTTACCTATATTTTATTGCATCTCTAATATTATTAATGTGCTCCTAAAAAAAAAATATTTTCTAGGTTATGAAAATCAACTTAACTACAAAAAATCAGACGACTCGTACCCTCCCTACGCCAATGAAGGCACCAGCACATGGTATTGATACTGACACAAGAATAATAACAGCTTTACATTGAAACGTTCTCAGAATTCATGTGTCTTTCTGCTCTGCCCTGTCAGGATCACTGCGTATGTGGTGAAGGTTTTCTCCATGGCGCATTCATTCATTAACGTCAATGAGAAGCATCTGTGTGGCCCTCTGCTCTATTTACTCAAGAATAAACAGGGTTATGATGGAACTTTTCAAGAGAACAATCCTGTTTATGACACCAGTATGACGGTAAGAACTAAAGGGACACTCCACTTTTTAGCCTCATTTTTCAAATATCCTAGAGGTAAACATTTGAGTTTTACAATTTTCCAATCCATTCAGCTGATCTACGGTTCTGACGGGAGCACTTTTAGCTTAGCTTAGCATAAATCATTGAATCAAATAAGACCAATAGCATCTCGCTCAAAAATAAACAAAGAATTTTGATAATTTTCTTGGCTTGACTCTTCTGTAGTTACATTGTGTACCAAGAAAATGAAAAGTTGTTATTTTCTTGGCCGATATGGCTACGTGCTAGATAATAACATTGCTCCTGCTGCAGCCATGGTACAGCAGTAAAGTTCCTTGATTATTATGCCAGAACGAGAGTATATTATTTCCTAGTCAAATTAGCCAAGAAAATAGCAGCTTTTCATTTTCTGTCGGCCTTACTATGTAACTACAGATGATTCAAGCTATAATTAGGAAATTATTGAAACTCTTTGGCCATTTTAAGTGAGATGCTAATGGTCTAATCTGATTCAATGATCTATGCTAAGGTAAGCTAGGATAAAAGTGTTCCCTTTAGACCCGGAGATCAGCTAAATTGATTCCAAAATGGTAAAATTCTGCTTTTTAAGTCAAGGTGAGTCTGTTTTAAAGTGTTCCTTTAATAACTGTGACATAATTATCAAAATGTATTGTCATCTTTGTTTCTATAGAGCTTTTTACAATGTAGACTGTGTCAAAGCAGCTTAACACTATCTGAATGTTTTCTCACAGTGTTGTGTTGTGTTGTAGGGAGCTATGCGGGGATCTGAATACAAAGCATCTTTGACTGCATTTGTACTCATTGCTTTAGCAGAGGCACAAGATAAAGTTACTTGCCAAGATCAAGAAGTCAACATACGGGTATCTGCACTATTCACTTGTTAAAATGGCTGAAAATATCAGCATTTAAACATGGCTAGTTGGCTACATTCAATAATTTGAACAAAATCTAAAGCATCAATAAAGTGGAAGCTAAATAAAATAAAGATAAATGAATTGAATAATTTGTATAGTAGCTAAATTGAACGGTTTAAGAACAGAAAAACAGAAGCTAAATTAAATGGAGTTGTAGCTAAATTAGACATTAAGCTATGTTAGATTGTTAAAGTAATTACTATTTGCAATAATTAGAATAATTAGCACACTAGCTAAATTAAACAAGTAATATCTACATTAAACAGCTCATTTAAATAATTAGAATAATTATTTTTTGTTAAATGTTTAATTATATAATTTAGACATTAGCTAAATACATAAATTGAATAATTGTTCATTAAAATAATTTGAACAATTCATTTTTTTTCATCATCTTAAGGTCCAGAAGTGTATAAAAATATATATTATTATTTTAATAGTCTAAATACGTAAACAAGTACAGCCCTGATCCATTCTACCAGGCCTATGAACTATGCATCTACAAGACCAAAACTATTTGTACTGGCTATAATAATACTTTTTTACATATTCAGTGTATTTTTTTCTCCACAGGATAAGTCTAGACAGGCAGCAGGGTATCTGACAGAGCATTTCTCCCGGCTGACCAGGCCATATACAGCAGCTATAGCATGCTACGCGCTAGCCGTATCGAACAACGCCTGCGTGAAGAGCATGTTGCTCAAATTTGCCTCACCTGGTACTTACATTTTAAACGCACAAATATGAACACAATATGTCATCTTCTCTTTCTCATTATACTTTATTGTCTGTCCACAGATCATTCCCACTGGCCTGATTCAAACAATTATTTTTTCACACTGGAAGCTACAGGCTACGCACTGCTAGCGCTGATCAAAAGTGGCCACATGGAAGAGGCAGAAGCTCCATTTCGATGGCTGAATGAGCACCGTGGCATTGGTGGAGGATACGGCTCTACTCAGGTGAAGTAAACCTGTATGAATGATCTAAACTAAATGTCAAACGTTTGGGGTTTTAAAAGAAGCTTGTCCTGCTCAATAAGGCTGCATTTATATGACCAAATAATACAGTTAAAAATTGTATTTCTGTAATGTAATGTGTGTATTTATATAGCACATTTATCGTGTATGGCCATACACCCAAAGCGATTCAAAATCGTGAGGGGCGGTGGGGTCTCTTCACACCAGCACCAGTGTGCAGCATTCACTTTGATGATGCGACGGCAGCCAGAGGATGATGCGATGGTGCCAGTGGGCTCACCACACACCAGCTATTAGTGGAGTGGAGAGACAGTGATACAGCCAATTCGGTGGATGGGGATGATTGGGAAGGCATGATCATAAGAGCCGATTAAGGGGAATTTGGCCAGGACACCAGGGTTATACCCCTACTCTTTACAAGAAATGCCATGGGATTTTTAATGACCACAGAGAGTCAGGACCTCGGTTTAACGTCTCATCCAAAAGACGGCGTCCACTGATAGTATAATGTCTTCTTCACTTTTACTGGGGCATTAGGACCACAGGTTGAGTACCCCCTACTGGCCTCTCTAACACCACTTCCAACAGCAACCTATTTTCTCATGTGGTCTCCCATCCAGGTACTGACCAGGCTTAGCCCTGCTTATCTTCAGTGAGTAACCGATCTTGGGCTGCAGGTTGATTTAAACAAGGTTGGTTTAAAAGGTTGGTTCAGAAATACTAAAATGATGATTTGAGAAACATTCATTACTATTGTCAGTGTTGGAAATGGTTAGGCTGTATAGGTTTTTTCAATCAAATGGTTCTGGTGTCGCATGAAATTCAGATGGAGGGCAGAAAGTAAAAAATCTGAATGGGAAACACAGAGGAAAGTTAACATTTTTGCGATTTATACCATATTTTACAAGAGATATAAATAGAAAAAAACACATAAGTTGGGCATGATCCTTGGTCACACTTTATTTTGATTGTCGGTTTGTTGAATTTAAGTTACATTGCATCTACATGCCAATTAAGTAGACTGTGAGGTTGAAGTTAGGGTTAGTGTAAGTTGACATGTACTGTACTTGCAAAGTTACTTATAGTCAGTTAAATGTCTGTTTAGCAGCAGTATCAAGGGATATTAAGCAGACAGTCTACTAATACTCAAATGGACCATTGAAATGAAGTGTTTCCTAATCCTTATATCATTAAGAGGACAGAGTTTTACTATACTAAATTATATTTGCCTGTCATTAATGCAGTACATACTGTATAATTACGTTACATCAAAAAAAAAAATACTATAGTGAATACTATAGTGTTTGTACGCATACTTAAATTAAACTGTCGTAGTAATTATATTATTGCTGTGGTGCAGCACAACTGTAGTAATAAACAAATTATTTAATAGGCTTCAGTTTTCTACGTTATAATAACAATGCACCACAGTTTACACTAACATTACAATATTTACCACAAAATATCAGTTTACTATGCTACAGTATTCTTAAGCATTCATTAACAAAGAGTTAAACACTTTACTAGTTTTTTCCACCTGCGAATATCTTCTAGACATCACGAAATAACAGATGAAAGCATACAAAAGCGTTGTTTTGTCGATGAACTTAGCATCAACAAACATTCACTGCTGCCATGGATCTTGATTTTGATGTTACGGTTGATTATTCTGCCAAAACGCTGGTAAAGACATGGATTATTGCACAACAAGTCAGAGATTCGAGTGCAGCGATAACATGGCAGGGTGGATTATTTATATCCTCCTGGATTTTGTATAAGTGTGGTTGTGTTTGTATCTGATTTCTATATAACACATTAGCATATTTCTATACATAGCTAGGCCTGTGTATAATCTTTATTGGTGCTGTCAAACGGATTGTGTTCTGAAAAAGTTTGTACATATGGATGTTTTCTTCCGTTTTTCAGCCAGTTTCTTAAACCTTCTCCTTTTTTATTAGCTAAAACGTTTCAAGTCGATAAAAGCTGTTCGGCTTTTCTATTTTTAACTAATTTAAACAATTATAAACAACATAAAACAGAAACATTCTGATGTTATAGCGATTCCTATGTAGAAGAATCACTTCCTGCCCTCCATCTGAATTTCGTGCGTCATCAATAATGTCATGGGAAAACAACCTATACAGTACCATTCATAACTAAAAATAAAATGTATTGTATTTTCTTTTGTTTATAGGACACAATAAATCAGGGGTCACCAATCTCGGTCCTGGAGGGCCGGTGTCCCTGCAGGCTTTAGCTCCAACCTGCCTCAACACACTTGCCTGGATGTTTCAAGCATACCTAGTAAGACCTTGATTAGCTTGTTCAGGTGTGTTTAATTAGGGTTGGAGCTAATATCTGCTGGACATCGGCCCTCCAGGAACAAGTTTGGTGACCCCTGCATTAAATAGTCCAAGAGTGAAAGTAAAGACATTTTATAATGCGTCTCTGTGTGTATAGTATATATATATGAGTGTTACAAGGATCATGTAACACTGACAATTGCAGTAATAATGCTGATACTTCTGTTTTAAATAACAATAATGAAAAAATGAGAACACAGTTATTTTAAATTGTAAGAATATTTCACAACTTTACAGCACGTTTGATCAAATAAATGCAGTTGTGGTAAGCAGAACAGGCTTGTACTTGTAATTGTACTTTTATTATGTGATAAAAGTCTAATAATTACCTCATTAACACTCCAGAGTTTTTCTGATTTCTGTTCTGTAAAAATGTTGCTTAAGCAACTTTTCTTTACTCATCCCAAACCTTTGACCAGTAGTGTAGTTGTGGTTCATTTGTTTTCATATAATGATCATATTCCTCCATCAGTCCACCATGGTGGTTCTTCAGGCCCTGTCTGAGTATCTAGTGAAGAGGCCTCCTCCGTCAGACCTCAATTTGTTGGTTCAGCTCAGCGTTCCTGGTCGGAGTGATGTTCGCTGGACCTTCAATCCCAACTTGGCTTATGTGGCCCGTTCTTCACGAGTGAGTTTATGGATGTTCCATCTTTTGAATTCCTTTTTGAAGACAAAGACAAGTTTGGTATGAAATATGACACACTTTTAATGTCTTCCAGGTCCCTCTTGATCAGGAATTCTCAGTGGCGGCTTCTGGGAACGGCAAGGGTGTTTTGGAGGTGCTAAATGTCAATGTTTACCAAGAATATCTTGAACTAGAATATAAAAATCGAGATATAATTCATCGTTTATGTGTAATAGGTAGTGACGGTTTACCATCAGCTTCCTGATGTGTATGAGAACAGCACATGCAACGGCTTTCAGCTGGACGTCTCCATCGCTGAGACTAATGGTGAGTTGACATAAAAGTTTGCAGTGTTTTCCCCCATACCGAGATGTACAGTGCAGGATTTATGAACTGTTGATTCTTTTAGAAATAATGTAACTTTCACAGACTTTCACAGTATTTTAATAAAGGGATTTCTCCCTCCTCTGACATCATGGGGTGAAAACTTTAGTTGTAGTGGCCTCACGATGACACTATACCCATGGTTTCAGAAATTCTTCACCCTGGAATGAGTTTTTTGTTAGAAATGTTTGGTTTTAGTCACCTGATACTTCTTTTTTCCAACTGGATTGACTGTGGGTTTGACAATACTTGTGTTCATGTCATCGTTCTGCCATGTAGCTTTATGAAAAGTCTACTGGATAGATTTCACCAATACTCTATTGTCCATTTTTAGAAAAAACCTCATCGGATGTAGAAAAGTCCTTCAGACTCAATGTCAATGTGAGGTAAGCACTTCTAAACGGGTTGACAGCTTTATAAATCAAGTTAGCATTGTGTGGTTCCTATATTTTTCCAATTTTCACCTACACAGGGCTCTGGAAGAACGTCAAGTGAGGATGGTTATTCTGGACATCGGCCTGCCTACAGGCTTTGAACCCGAAAACTCTGATTTAGAGTTGGTAAGACCAAACTCGTGTGACATTACATTAGTGACAGCAGCTAATTCTGCATTGTATACAGAACCTTGACAGCCTTTTAGGTGCAGTTCACCTCTAAGTTTGGCCAAATTTAGCATCAGACCATGTATAATAAAGAAGGCAATCCTATAATGCATTGTGACAAGCTACTTTTAAAATAGTGGACATCAAGAAAAAGGTCATTGCTGATTATAAATACTGTGACATATGTTTAATTAATGGTATTTGGTATAATTGTGAGCCCAGCATTATAGACGTGAACATCTGCCATGACTTTTTCAGCTCACAAATTCAGTGGATCGCTACATCAACAACTTCCAAGTGGTGGACAACCTGAGCGACAGAGGATCCCTCATTATTCACCTGTTCAAGGTAACCTAACAAGAACTTTTGACTTAGATGTCTTGTTAATATGCTGTAAATGAATGCATGATTGAATATCTGTCTTTGTGTGATGTCCCGCACAGGTGTCCAACAAAGAGGCAGAAATGATCTCATTCAGACTCAATCAGAAATTTAAAGTGGGGCTCCTTCAGCCTTCCACAGTCAAAGTTTACCAGTACTACAACAAAGGTTCATACTTTAATATGCTTTATATGTTTGCTAAGTGGTACTGCTCAGTGCTTCATTTGTAAATGGATCAACAAAATTAGGAAATTAAAGTTATCATGACCGACATCTGCCACACAATTTCAGTGTTCCTAGAACATGACGTTACTGAGTAACAGCGGAAAGAAAGGCATAAAATTTCTGAACAATCTTTAATTATTTTGTGCAATATAACGGTATGGGTTAACCCTGAAAAAGCAAACAAACATGTAGCTACAAACATAAACTGCATAAACATCACTCTTCAGTTTACTAACACCACTGACATTCAGTTCACTTCACTATTATGTGCCAGGAGAATATGACTTACTCTGTGACTTGAGATCCCTTTGCTTCTGTCTCCCGCTATCCTGATCCATCGGCGCAGTTTCATCTTCTCAAGATCTCTTTTGATCAGGCTCATTGTCAGATTTACTCGTGGTTCAAAAAAATAATACATGCTTGACTGCCTCTGGCATTTTGAAAACACAAATGTTATTTATGTAGCCCACTATGCCATGCCCATGAAACAATAATCACTAACCAATGAGAGTGATCGTAAACGTAAGAAAGCTGATTGGTCGAAAGTGACTACCTTTATGTATGTGCACGCACACACAATCCACACAGCTTTGCTCGCTGTTTTTCATTCGGACTCGTTTACATTCTCTCTCTCTCACACACACATGCAGAAATTCACCAAGCAAAAGTTAATGCCGGATCAGTTAAAATAAACATCAGAACACAAAACATGAAAATCTGACATTTGCCAGAACAGGATCCGGCTCAAATTAAGCACTGGTACTGCTAATATAAACTCTAAAGTATTAAACTGGATGTTCCTGCTTGCAGAGATATTTATGATTCTATTATTCTACTCTACTGACAATGCCTCTCTTGGCTGAAATATATATATATATATTTTTGCATTTATTATTTTTATGTTAACTAAAGGCTTGACTGTGACTTTATATGATTTATTGCAGATAAAAGCTGTAGCAGGTTCTACTCTCCTCCTGAAGACAAACAGCAGCTGGATCAGATCTGTGAAGGCGACGTGTGCCGCTGCTCGCAGGGTCAGTCTCTTTGTGTTTTCAGTTTAATGTCTCACTTTTATCCAGAAACATTATAAATTCTTCCTTTGCAGGTGACTGTTGTGTAATGAAGTAAGACTTCGCATTTTTTGGTAAAGAGCAGAGGAATGCTGCTGTATGCAACGGATTACATCATGGTGAATATTTCTTCAGAGTAAATTACTGTTGTTTATTATTCCTGTCAATGAGCAACTTTTCTTCAGCCTACAGAGTCAAGCTGATCAGCATCAGCCAGAGTCACTATTACCAGTATGAGATGGAGATTGTGCAGGTTATTAAAGAAGGTATGTTTGTTTAGCACTTTATGGAGGTATGAAATTGCCATTTGGCAGCAATTAATTATGTACTACTTATTTCCTTGTTATTCTGAACAATATATTGGAGAATAGGAAAGGTAGACATACCTTTTTTACAGTACTACCTGTAAATTGACATAAAATTACTCGAATGACTTCACAAGTAACTAAAAACTTCTCATTCTGGGAAATTGACGAAAATATTTTTCAGGGATTTTTTTAAAAAGGGCCCATTCACACATGATCTTTTCATGGCAATTTACCTGAAATCGTCCAGAAAGGTCTGTATTTGTGAATGGGAAAATAATGTGCTGTTTATGAGTTACACAACATTCGAGTATCGCTCCAAAAATCATTTCCCTGTCACCCTCACACATTTTTATTCACAAACCAGTTACAATTGTCTTACATAGCCTTACTGTAAATTTTACATATCGTAGATCTAAAATTTCTGGACTTTTATTCATGTATAATTATTATTTGTTCTTAAGTTTATTTTAGTATAACAAAAATATTTTTAAAAGTCATATTTTATGATGAAAATCAACTTTTGGAAACTTTTTGGACAGAACTGTGTGAAGGTATAGTGTGTCCACAGTCAAATTGGTGTGATATAAGCACAATAATTAAAGTAGGATCCAGATCCCTCCCATTTTGAGGTTGATCGCAATGTGACGTAGGAGTGCTGTTTTCCCACTCACCCATATAATCATATCCACGTGACAGGATGTGTGCAAAGCAACTGGGATTAAAAGATCTGTTCAGCTCACTGTAATCATCTGCACCTCAAGAACGAGTTTAAAACCTTTTTAAAATGTGCATGTTTGTCATAAAGAAAAGAGAGTAAAATCGCTGTACACAGCTGCATGTCAGTACAATTATAAAAGAAGACGCTTCAATCCTGGACATTAAATCAGGGTTATTTTCTACATTAACACAACAGATATCCATACAGCAGTGGATATTAACGTATGTCTTGTCACATTTGCCGTGCAAAGCAGAACAAAGTTATGTGTGCGCAAGTGTGTGTGTGTGTGTGTGTGTGTGTGCGTGTGTGCGCGCGTGCGCATGCAAAAAGCATTGAATAGAAAATAATATTTCAAATCAACTGTTTTTTTTGTAGTGTTTCCTTATATAATACCCCACATTTCAATTGAAGAAGCTCATTAATGTACTAAAACTTCTTGGATATAACATACAGCACACATACAGGGTTCAGTCTGTTTTTCTCATTTTATAGGCAACCTGCTCATGTGTCTATATCATGTTTTTAGGGACGGAGGAAGGTCTGAATGAGAAGGAGAGGAGGATGTTCCTCTCTCATGCGAGCTGCAGGACCAGGCTTAATTTGAGAGAGGGTCAGGAGTATCTGGTCATTGGGCCGATCACTGATGTTTGGAATGCAGGAAGCACAGTGTCCAACAAGTAAGTGAAGTACTACCACTGATAGCATATACAGTTGAAGTCAATAATTATTATTATTTTATAATAATTATAAATAATTAATAATTATTTACAAAAAATAATTATTAACAAACAATTAATTAATATCAAAAAATAAATTTTTTTGGTTTTTCAAATATTTTCCAAACGATATTTAACAGAGCAAGAAATCTTTCACAGTACTTAAATTTTTTTTAATTTTGTTCTGGAGAAAGTCTTTTTTTGTTTTAGTTTCACCTAGAATAAAAGCAGTTTTTAAAATTTTTAAAAGTATTTTAAGATCAATATTATTAGCCCCCTTTTTTTGTTTTGATTGTCTACAGAGCAAAACATTGTTATATAGTGACTTGAATAATTACCCTAACAAAATTAACCTAGTTAAGCCTCTAAATATCACTTTATATCTGGTAAAAAAATATCTAGTAAAATATTATTTACTGTCATCATGGCAAAAATAAAAGAAACCAGTTATTAGAAATTTGTCAGTTAAACTGTTATGTTTAAAAATGCATTGAAAAAAAAAATCTTATTTCTGTTAAACAGAAATTAGGAAACAGAAATATACGAGTGGGGTTGGGGGGGAGCTAATAATTTTGACTTCAACTATATATCTATTTGGGTTCATATTTGATCATTGATAATAATTTTGACTTCAACTATATATCTATTTGGGTTCATATTTGATCATTTGCTTGTGTTTGCTCTCAGGTATGTGTATACGCTTGGGAAAGAAACGTGGGTTGAGCGCTGGCCAGATGAGTCTGAATGTGGATCAACACTGCAGAAGAAATGTGACGAGCTGAAGAGCTTTGCAAAGAAACTGATTGAAGACGGCTGTCAGGCTTGAGACTAACTTCATCTTATGTGTTATTGTGATTCTTAAAGTCCACATGAAACAGAAGTGATGAGAAGTTTATTTCAGTAGGTTGATGTACTTTCAACTGAAACAGAATATTGAGTGGGGGGCGGGGCTTTCTTTGCGCATCATTCCCTCATAGCAAACTAACGGTAAGAGAAGCTATTAATAAAAGCAAATGGTCAGTTTGGTTGAAGATTACCAAAACAATTTTTTTCCAGTATATTAACTTACACCGATTAATTATTGACCTTAAGAATAACAGTGTGAGCTAGCAAAAATAAACACTGTAAATTTTGATTTTGCGCACACTTTAATATAGTTCTTTCATTAAAAATATATATTTGTCTTAACCCATTTCATGTTTCACCTAGTGATGGACCGTACATCCACTATTTTTCCACTTTTTTGCATTTTGTCACTAGTGAGGGTTTTCACTGTGGAAAAAAACATCAGAAATGTACTTTGTTAATAATTTTAAGAAAAGAAAGATCTAGTTTTCTTGCTGTTTCTTTCTTTTCTGCCGTTTGGGTTTTAAAATAAAATCAGTTGTCTATTGTCTACACAACTCTATTGTTTTGGTTTTGTTTTCGTAATGACTCAGAAAAAAATTCACATTAAAATTTGTATTTATTGTCCTAAATTTATTTGTAATCATCTTCCACATGTAGAGTTATTGGTGTCAGGTCATTAAAGTGGATTTCTAATTTAATCTGTACCAGAATGCTTGGCAAGAACAAACTATCACTGTTTATATTACTAAAACGAGCTATTTTCAATTAGCTTTTTGTTAGCAAGCTAAAAGTTTACCATAATGCTAACTGCCTAGAAATGTGTTTTAGATTAGCTACATGGTAAAAAAGAACTTGTTTCTACATCTTAAAGTAAAATGTAGATTTCTCAGTATGTCTGATAATATTTTTCTCCTGGAGAAAGTCTTATCTGTTTTATTTCGGTTGGAATAAAAGCAGTTTTTATTTTTTTTATGGTCAATATAATTAGCCCCCTTAAAATAGTTGTTAGAAACTTTTAGTATATGTATCAGACAGCTTCTCCACAAACAAGTAGAGGGAGAAATTCTCAAGACCATGTCTCAAAAAAATAATTTCAGAAACTTCATTTTGCATGATATTGCCATCAAATTCAAAACATATACTCAGGAGATGTGTAGCTTTTGACCTATGACTTTTCTGTATTGCTTCAGGACTAATTTCATATATTTGTTAACGAAATAATAAAATGTTTAGTGCGGTAAGTAATTTTTTTCCCATTACTTAAGCATCTATAACTTTTTTTTCCATTTTGTACATTATAAAATCTAGATGATGGATAATAAAGCACAGAGAGTCTTCTTTCCAAAGAAACATGAACTATGAATGTGGACCAAATTATTCAGCAACTGTTAATGTTTTAGTTTGAGAAGGTCAGTTTTGAGAAAATGCCTCTGACGATGAAGGAAAGAAGGACACCGATATAGTCTCAGAAAACGTTTTACAGAAATCTCGTTTGCATGAATGTTTTGCTGTGTAGCTTACTGGAGTCAGGAACTGTTACTATTTGAAGTTAGGTAGGTGTAAATCCCCAAAAGTTTAATATTAGTTTTTCAATTGCCAACAGAACAAACCACTGTTATACATTTATTTCCCTTATTACCATAACCTCCCTAATTATCCTAGTTAAGCCTTTAAATTACACTTTACTCAAATACTAGTGTCTAGTAAAATATTATTTACTCTCATCATGGCAAGGATAAAATAAATCAGTTATTAGAAATGAGTTATTAAACTATTATGTTTAGAAATGTGTTAAAAAAATATCTTGTTTTCGTTAAGCAAGGGAATATACAGGGGGGCTAATAATTATGACTTCAACTGTTTCAAATGCCTAAATCCTGCAGTGTAGTCCATCACCACCAGAGGGCGCATTTTAACAAAAAACTTTAATATTGAAGAAAGCTCTTCCTTTTTTTAAGCATTAGGTTAAAATTGTCACACATCACGTTTTACATACATAAAGTATTGAACAGTCTTAATTTTAATCTCGCCTTCAAAGACATGCTCGCTCTCTCCTAACATAATCCCATGTGCAACTCATAAGAAATTGTGTCTATGTCAAATGTGTGTGTGTGTGTGTGTGTGTGTGTGTGTGTGTGTGTGTGTGTGTGTGTGTGTGTGTGTGAGTATGTGAAAGACCCTGAAAGCTTAATGTCTAGTCATAACACAGAAGAAACTGTGCCCGTTCAGACTGAAGGGCACAGCGAGAGACGCCTCTTGTTTAGATCGTCGGCTAAGTTTTATAATATTTACAGTAACAGCATGTCCTCATTCTCTGGCTCAAACTGCTGCGGTGCCATTAAAAGGAGCAAACCAGGCACCAATCCAGAGGCACAATTACTGGCAACATCGCCTTCCTCATCGCTCTGTTCCTCCATCTCCATCACCTGTGCCAGCTTTTAAAAGCACCAACAGGTGTGCGGTTCAAAGATAACCAGTGCGGTTAAGCCAAACCCGCTTTATCTAAGATTAGCCTGAGATATGCATGACTGTACTGATGGACCATTATATATAGTCCAAGGCAAAATTATTAGCCCTCCTGTCATATATTTATTCTTTTTCAAATATCTCTTAAGTGATATTTAATGAAGCAAGGAAATTTTCTCAGTATTTCTGATAATATTTTTTTCTTCTGGAGAAAGTATTATTTGCTTTATTTCGGCTAGAATAAAAGCAGTTTAAAAAAAAATAAAAAAAAAAATTTTAAGGTCAATATTATTAACCCGCTTAAGGAATTTATTTTTTTCAATTGGCTAAAGAACAAACAACTGTTATACAATGACTTGCTGAATTACAAAACTTGTCTAGTTAACCTAATAAACCCAGTTAAGCTTTTAAATGTCACTTTTATATGAATACTGGTATATTGAAAAGCATCTAGGAAAATATTATGCACTGTCCTCATGGCAAAGATAAAAGAATTCGGGTACTAGAAATGAGTTCAATGTTCAGTTAGTTTCTTCTTTCCATTAAACAGAAAAAATATAAAAAATAATTAAAGCTGCAAGCAGCGATGAAACATTGCCAAGGCCTAAGATGACATTAACCAACATTTTAGAGTTTCAGAGTTTGTTAAAGTACAATGCCTGGAATGGCAATTTTGTATGTGTGCATGAAACATAGCTTGTGGGCCACTTCATGAAATGATTATAGGTGGCGCTGTCGAGCCAAATTAACACACCTACTTCTGAAACCCTTATTAAACGATCTTTTTTACCACTTCAGCTGTGTGTGCAAAGTTTCACGAGTTTTTTGAGATAATAATAATAATAATTATTATTATTATTATTATAATTATCAGAGCATTTCCAATAGGGCCTACACACCACCGATGCTCGGTTCCTAAAAATTCTGATTGGATGTTGAACATTGGAGTGCAGTTATTTTCAGATAAACCCACAGACTCTCATGGTCATTCATAACTTTTGATTCAGTGGCTAAATCATATTCAATTGTATGATCTCTTTTGTACATTTTAGTATGATTTGTTCATGCCCCAATGAAGTGTAGGGTTAGGGGTGGGTTCTAGGGACTAGCCTCCTTTTTTTAAATAATAGATTTTCATAGATACTAAATTATGTGAAAAAAAAAATTACTTGACTTCTAGTTGATCGTTTGGTCTCAGAAATGGTTTATATGAAAGGCAAAGGCCTCTAGTTGACACTTACCAAAATAAAATATGATCATGTCTTGATTTTAAATTATTTAATTAGGACAGTAAGGTCTGACTTTGCTTAGACAAAAGTCTTGACACTTAACAGAAATAATGTACAGTATAGAATATAAAGTCATGCTGCAGTGGAAACAATTAATATTGTGTACATTGTGTGTGAGCTTGGAGGACTGCATCCACACATCTCTGCAATGACTCAAATCACTTATTAATAAAGTCCTCTGGAATGACAAAGAAAGTGTTCTTGCAGAACTCCTAGAGTTCATCAAGATTCTTTGGATTCATCTACAATGCCTCCTCCTTCATCTTACCCCAGACATGCTCAATAATGTTCATGTCTGTTGACTGGGCTGGCCAATCTTGGAGCACCTTGCCCCTCTTTGCTTTCAGAAACTTTGATCTGGAGGCTGAAGTATGAGCAGGAGCTCTATCCTGCTGAAGAATTTGCCCTCTCCTGGGGTTTGTAATGTAATGGGCAGCACAAATGTCTTCATTCTTCAGGCTGTTGATGTTGCCAGATCTCTTGTATGCCCCCATACTGAATGTAATCCCAAACCATGATTTTTCCTTTACCAAACTTGACTGATTTCTATGAGAATCCTGCGCCCATGTGGCTTCCAGTGGGTCTTCTGCAGTATTTGTGATAACTGAGATGCAGTTTAAAAGATCATTCTTCAGAAAAAAAAAATCTACCTTCTGACACTTTTCTAAATGATCAACTAGGGGTCAAGCTATTATTTGTTGCTCTTATAAGTGGGATCGACAAGACTTTTGTCAGGTAGTGTAGTTCCAGATTTACTGCATTACAGTTCCATATCTCTGTGCACAGTAATTTCATTTATTTCACAGTGTACAACACTCAAAAATCAATAACAAACTTTATTAGTACTGCATACATGAACAGTTTAAGCACTAACTCTGTTTCAAAACAGTAGGTGTGTTAACCATAGTATAAGCAGAATTAACTCCTGTCCATTGAGTTATTGGATAATAATATTTACCTGGCCGCTTTACATTGTGGCTGCATCACCACCTTGGTTATACATTATTTTCTAATAACTCTCAATTATTTCTTTAACCCATGTATTTTCAATATTTAAAATGCTCAATGCTTACTATTTAAAAATGTCTTGTCTTCTTCAGGGTGATGGTGAGAGACCTTTTTTTGATTTCCATACTATTGTAGCAGGCTGTTTCTGTAAGTCATTCCATCTCTCATTCACAAGCTTGGACTTGCACTGTCAGCGCTGGCACTCAACATAAATACACTCATACCGTCATTACTGCACTTAAGCTTTTCTGGATTCTCTCATCTTAGAGACATCATAAGAAAATAAACTCTCTCTCTCTCTCTCTCTCTCTCTCTCTCTCTCTCTCTCTCTCTCTCTCTGTGTATATATTGCAGATTCATTTAAATAAACCATTCAAATCAGAAGTTTCTAATATAAACAATAAGTCACCTTAGAATTATAAGGTTCTTTCAGATATTTTTGTCAAAATTGATTCATTGATACATTCATATTAATTGGCAGCTTACGGGATATTTATATGTTGTTTACATTTTAAGACTTTTTGTTAAAAAAAATAATAATTTGTTAAGTGTTACACACATACTGTTTGCTATGGAATGCAAAAACTTTGAAGCTCCATATCTCAAAATCATTCAGTACGCAGATAGAACCTTATAATTCCGAATATTCATTAATTAATTAATTTTACTTCGGCTTAGTCCCTTATTAATAAAGGGTTTGCCACAGCGGAATGAACCGCCAACTATTCCAGCATATGTTTTATGCAGTGGATGCTCTTCCAGCCATGTATTTTTGCCTGTAATGGAAATTA